CTAATATTACGTCGTAGTTGGCAATATTGGCCACGTCAAAGTATCTGTCAGAGATGGAGTTTTGGTACGTGAGTTTGACTTTACACCCAAAGTTGATTTTAGATCGGGATCCCTGGACTGCCAGCTGGAGAGCTATTGGCGTTTGGAGCTCGATTTTTCGCAGACCCAACTGCTCGACTACCGTTGTGGACAAGAAATCTCCTAGTGATCCGGAGTCTAGTAGAGCGCGTACTGGGTGTCCGTTTATGTGGACCGTCACTACGATGGGTTTGGGGATAATCCGGGTTGCGTCCTTGGTTACTGCCGCATTTCTTTGTAGGGCAGCATAGGTTCCTCGCTCGATTTGTTGTCCGTATAGATTGACTGCGTTGATGAAGATATTGGTGCCCCTGTCGAGGTTGGTCCAGGGGCTAAGTTCTACGCTCGGATTCTTGATACGATCTTCGCCATATAGGGTGTGGATCATATCGAGGTAAGTGTCTTCTCCATGTTTAGTTGATTGCTGACTGGATAAGTTTGTTAGTCGCTTATTGTACCACCCGATCAAGTTGAACCATTTGTTGGCCAGAAGCGTGCGGGGAATCATGATTCGGAGATCACGATACTCATCCTCTATGAAGTAATTATCTGGGTCTTTGACATGGTATCCGACATTAAACCTGGCGTTAGGATGATCCAGGTTGAACTCCTTGTCTCCGCAAAATGGTGTGTTACGTTGGAGATGGATAATGGCGGCTTCCCGGAGGATGTCCGGGATCGGTCCTGGGCTGATCAAGTACGATGCCTGGCTTTTCGCAAGTCCAAAGAATTTGCAGCATTGTACGGCATACCAGTGAGGAAAGTTGAAATCAGGGTCCCAGAGAAGGTGATACGGTATGGGAGTTCTCCGATTTTTCTGCCATCGGTCGGTGATTAACGCATCTGAGTTAGATATTCATTTGATGGAAAACCTGATGGTGGTTAGCCCTCTATAGTGCCACCTGGGTTGTGATGGAAAGGGGTATTCCACATCCCCTGGGAAGCCTATTGCCTTACCCAGGTCTTCCAACGCGGCTCGGTTTGCAAGCAATGCTTGGTCCCCCATGGGGACATACTTATCCCAACTTCGTGGCAGTACTGGAGGTCTCAAGAGACTGTCAACTATATCAGCCTTAATTCCTGCCAGATCGTTGATGATCTCAGGGTTCGCGTCATCGTCTAGACGAAGGTGTGTAGCGTTGAATTCTAATTCGTGCAGGACTTCCTCAGCTTGGTCTGTTAGTTTCTCGTGGTTTTCGAAGTCAATATCAATGGCATGGGATGGAATACCCGGAGGGCGACCACCGTTTGGAGATTTTACTGAGTCCAATGAAGGGCAATCTTTGGACATATGGCCTTCCCCTTTGCAGCGGAAGCACTTCCCGGTTCTTCGGAGCTCATCGAGTTCTTTCGTGGAAAGGGTCGTGGGGAGCCTGTTTTTCCCTTTGTCCGTTCGGTTGTTGGGTTCCTTTGGGCGTGAATCCCTTTTCCGTGGAGGGGGGTTCTGGTTCCCGCTGGAGGAGCTACCAGGAGTACTCCTGTTCCTTTTTCCAGGGTCGTTTCTGAATTGGGTAGACCTATTGCCTTTTTGTGATTGGTGCTTGTTGTCAGGTTTGTCCCCTGTTTCTCCTGTTTGTCCAGGGGTTTTACGGTTATGGCATCCATATCGAACGCTTTCTACCATTTCCAGCATTTCGGCTGCCGCGACCACATCTACCCAGCTGGACACGTTTGGGTTCAGCTTTTCCCGGTAAAGTTCGGCACGAATATAGGCTTTCATGCCACTCCACAATTTAACAACGCGTTCCTGCTCGCCAATTGTCCCCACAATTTCGAATTTTTGTTTTAGGATTGCGGCGTAGTCCTTAACAGAACGGGTGCCCTGAGAAAAGGAATCAATTTCCTGTCTGGTCTGTTCAAGGAGATCGGCAGGAAAGCAGGCATCAATTAATCCTTCAAAGAATTCATCAATCGTCCATTCAGACATGTTCAGGGACACTTGTTGGGCGTAGAAATCATACGCTGCTCCTTCTAGGAACGATGTGATCGTTCGGATCCAATATTCTTCGTCTACTTCCCCCTGTTCAAGATAGGCAATGCTTTCGGTCATAAACCGGTATACGAGTGTCAGGTTAGCTTCCCCGTTGTATCGTTTGGGGGGAACCGGTTTCAACAGAGATTTTCCCTTTTTCTTAGCGTGTCGTTTTTTCTTGGAGCGCTTTTTTCGTTGAGCGTTCCGCGAGGAGTCAGATGATCCATTAGAGGATGACGCGCTGGTGCTGGAAGACTCGCTACTGTCATCAGGGTCCTCAGGCCGGTGGTGTTTGCGATCCGCTAGACTTTTCAAAGCCTTTCCAACGAAACTTCCAGCGGGAATCTGCTGGCTGGGCAAGTAATTTGATTTTCGAGAGATTCTCGGCTCAACTGATTTCTGTTTTGCCTTTTTGGTAGATTTCTCGATGTGATCGCGAATTCCTTCGGTGACCGGGGTGCGTGATGAACGAGTGAGCCGTCGTAACTGATTATTTTCATTCTCTAGTTCCGCCATTCGCTGTTTCAGCAATACAACATCCGGATCAACGGCAGGTGGGTTAGTTTGGTTGTTCCGGGTTAAAGCCTCAGGTTCTTGGAATAACTTTTTATTCTTATTTCGTTTCAGAAGTAAATTATACAGCTTCAACGCTTCAGCTTGGGCTTCTGGGTCCAGGTTTTCTCCGTCGAAATCAACATCTCCCCAGTTGCGAGGATCGGGGTATTTGCCTTTATCACCAGAAGGTTCGATATTCAGCTCGATTCTTTGTTCAGGAACATCAGGGTCGCTCGATCTTAGCAGGCGCTCACGACGTTCCAGGATTTCCCTCTGGGAGTTTATTAGGTTTTCATATGCCAAATCAATTGTATTGTTGGAGGATATTGGACTAACACCGGGTCTTAGTCTATCTATCGAAGGCGCACTATGGCGACGGCGTCCTCTACCAACGGGGATCCACTGTCCACCGTTGTCTGGCTCATTGACCTCATCCTGAGGTTCAATGTTTCTTGCTATTCCTGCATCAGGATTAGCGGCGTCGTCATGACTCATTCCACCGTCGGCAACATTGTTGCCAACACGTGAAGCATCAGCTGCACTCTGATTTGCGGCTGGTATGCGTGCCCCAGCAACATCAGCGTATGATCGCTTGTTGTTCAGGGTAGAGGCTCCAAGGGTCGGAGATGGTTCTAGAGAAATGGGGTCAGCATGCGGGGAGGAAAGTTCGGACTCGCCATTGCTAGGCGCAGCCTGGCTGGCGGTCCTGTTGCGCAGAGGGTATCTTGACATTGTTTCAAGTATCGAGTATAGGTTCCAATCAAAAGACTAGAATTTTGAGTCGGGTGCCGGAGGATTCTCAGAGGGCCAATCTGAGGGGACCAAGTGGCGGGGAATTGAGATGTAGTTTGTTGACGGTTAAGACGACGTTGAGAGGTTTGGTTCTGTCAAAAATATGTAACGCTAGCGGGATTTCTCACGGTAGCGCTACACGGAGCAAGTATGAGATGGAGAGGGAGTAGAGTTAGTCCTCGAGGTGACAGGTGTAAACTGTGGTTATTCAAGGGAACTCTGCCCCATATCTACATACAAGCTGGGTACTTATAGGAAATACGGGTGGTCCAAATATGAGCAAAGATTAGGAGAAAAAGGGGGATAGGGTGTAGTACCGAATAAGGAAGTAAAGTGACGCCCTAGAATTAGGCAGACGTTACACCCGGAAACTACCAGCGCAAAGGCTCGAAGGAGGTTGAGAGATGTCAAATGTTGGTCATACTCAGAGGCTTGACTCTGATTGCGCGGAACAAACATCAGCAGCAGCACATCAGATGCCTCACCTCGACGTCAGTTTCTCCGGACATTGCGCACCACCGCAAGCGGATCCACACCACCAAGACAAGCGAAGAGATGGAAGGCGTGGAGGGAGGTGTGACAAGCAGCTTCAAGCACCTGAAGGTGTAAGCTCACACCAGTCGGTAGAGCCAGTCGTCCGAGCGGAATAAAAATTGATTGAAGTGTACGGTAGTGTATTTATTTGTGTTGATCAAACAAGTACGAACATGAGACTCGACAAGGTCGTGGATCGCAGTCGAAGGGGTTTGTCAAAAGAGCGGCCAACAGTTACGATGCGGCGCCAAAACAATAATATAAATGCGAGGCGCTCTCATTTTTACGTAACGAGAGCAATATTTCAAGCCAATGAGGAGACGGGGACATTTTTTTTGGAAAAATAGAGACAAATAACGAAGCAACCAATCAAGACCCGAATAAACCGGGGTTAGCCAATGAGTGGCCTCGAAAGTGTGCCTGTACCAGCGCCTAAAACAAGAACGTACAAACGAAAGCCTCCATTTCATTTCGGTCTCGTAACCAAGAGTCATGCTCAAGATCCATCCGTGCATTCCTTCTCGTGCGTTACCCATTCTCGATATCGTTTTCAACCCTAAATGTAGCAGCATCGCGATAGGTTCCGAGAAGCTAGATCTTTATCATCGACGGCTTCGACAATCGAACTTTGTCCATGGGCGCAATGGTTGCTTTATGTGCGCCACAGACCGATTACTGCATACAACGGATCAGTGGTCGCAATCGCGAACTCGTTGTGTCGTCTCTATGCAGAAGCCTTGAAGAATGCACACGGTAACACAGGTAGCGCTCCTACGCGGGCTACGCAATCCCACTACATAAAAGACATAAACTTCTTCCACCACAACGCCTCTCCCCTCGGAGTAAACATTCGGAGATGCACCGGGCACCAGCAGCCGTCTTCGCAACTTCGCCAGTCTTTATTGATTTTCGTTCCTTGACCGTTCCTTGACTTCTCAGGCAGTCCGCTTTTTGGCATGAATGATGGCTGAAAGGCGTTCGAGCCTGGTTCTGGCCGTGCCGAACTGGGGGCCATCTGGTATTTAACCCCTCGTTGGGTAGATGCAAGGCAGCACTTTACGGTCTTTCAATGTTCGCCCTCAAATTCATTGCTCTTGCTGTTCTCGCCTTCCTTGTCGACTCCAACGTCGCGTCTCCCAATGTAAGTCTATCATAATCCAAAAAAAATGCGTCCTTGCTCAATTCATTTCCGTAGCTATCTCGCCGCGCAGCCCAGGCGTGCACATCGTCGAACGTTCCCCGATTCAACCCCCTCGCAGTATTCAGGACTCCTCCCGCATCGGGATCGCCGACGATCCCCATCCGTATGATTGACGCCCTCACAATCCCTCACATCGGCTGGGGCATCTTCTCAGCAGGCGGCTCTAGCAGGTGGCTCTTCTACAACCTCCAGAACGGCGCGATATTCCCCATCGGCTCGGCCCCGTTCCCCGCACCCGTCTCTGTGTCTCTCGTCACCGGCGAATCGCCCCTGTTCGTGTCCACCCAGTTCCCGCCTCCGGCGTTCACGGGATACTGTTCGGCGGTATGTCTTTCGTGCTTCGTTCTTCGTATGGGTATGGGGCGATGGGCTGATGTCTGGGGTTTGGGGTTTGGAATCGAATAGGCTGATCCCGCAGGCGGACCGGATCTCTTGACAGTGGGGGGCCAGTCACTGTGGGCCCTTTGTCCCAATACGACTGTTGGCGGGCGAAAGGACCTCGTATGGTCCCCCGTAGCCAACCACGCACACTATTCGCTGCCGACCTGCCAGGAGGTCGATATCCAGATGATCTCAGCTTGAGCGTCTCCGCAAGGCGCTGAGCTAGTTCGTCTCGTTGCTAAAGGGAGTTGCTTTACGTAGAAGACGATTGTATTTTGGTATGCTCCAAGGTCCGAGCAGCTTGAATGTATGCTCTTTCTCCGGTCAACGGCACCGACCCATTTAGCGTGCCAACGTGTGTGAGCCCATCTCCCTTTGTCATCTTCTTTCAACGCGTCCCAACACAGTATACGCTCCTTGGACCAAACTCTACTGTCACGCTCACGATTACTAACTTGGACAGTTGGGATAGCGCCTCTTAGTTGTGGTTTTTGCAACTATGGCTGTAGGCAGTAGCTAGTCTCGATAAACGGGTGTTCTCAGCTGGCTAGAAGTACTCAGATTTTGCAATCCGCGTTATATGACCATGCTCCATTGTGTATACTACTCCACCTGATTACACATCTACTTCCTACTTCCTAGTATTTAACGGTAGTAGTACTTCACGGCAAGCTGTGGAGTACGGTACGAGCCATGCTACTTCGTCATATCAAACCTCCCTTCCCTACTGCACACCGACATATTCTCCATCCATCATATCTAGGCAATTTTGTTTCATTAGGGGGTAATCATATCAAGTATTCATTATCCAAGGTCGAAAGGGGAAAGGGAGGGGGCTCGTGGAGGCACTTATGCAGCGCCGGTGGCAGCAATACGAGCTTGAGCGTCTGCCGCGGTGGAGCACGTAATCGACTGCAATAGAGATCAGCATTGCGTCTCCCTGGAATCACGGCGGACTTACAGTTCCCCTTGAGTTCACGAGTGGCAGCGCGAAGCACTGAGTCCCTCCAGCACACCCAGTCAGCGCAAACTTGCCACCGACACACTGTCCGAATTGCCCGTTGACGCAAGCTTGCTCGCCGTCGTTACAGGGAGACGTGGCGGTGAGGCCAGCGAATTTTGCGTTGAGGGCAATGGCGTCCTGGCCGTTTGCTAGGGTGAATGATTTGGCGTTGGCAGCCGGGGCCGCAGCGGCTGGTGGAGCAGCGGCTGGTGGTGGAGGGGGTGCAGTGCCTTGACCTTGCCCAGCGAGACGCACATCGGGTGCGTTAGCGACATCATCAGCAGCACCGCCTGCCTTCGCACCGGCACCGGCGTTAGCTGCGCCAACACCAGGGTCTTTGACCAACGTGTTGAGCTGGATACCATCCGGGACCGGGCCGTCCTCCTTCGCAGGGCACGAGCCAGGGGGGTTCACAGCAGACAAGCCGAGCGGGAGATTCCCGGTCTGGTTGCCGCTGAATTTGGTGAAGTCAGAGCCAGCGAACTGGCAGTGGAAGAGCCCCGTAAGCTCCGCGTTCTTGGGAGCCTGCTGGCAGTAGGGCACTTGCAGCGAGTCGGGCTGCACACAACGGCTTCGGCTTAGAACTAGAACGAATGAGAGTGAGATTGAGTAAAGGTACTGACCGCGTTCCTTGGCTGCTGGACGAACAGCTGCGCGAGCCTGATCATCTCGGGGTCGTTGTTCAGCGATTTGGCGAGATCGACCATCGAGTCGGCGGCGTTCTGCTGGTCGCAGTTGCCGCCTGCTGCCAAGAGCGAGGTGAAGGCTGTTTGGGAGATGGGGTTGCATTTGCCGGCGCCCCCGGCTTTCAGCTGTTACGATGACGTTGAGTGAGATGCAGGCATCGATATATGGGGAGGAAACGTACACAAGCCTGCTCCCACTGAGCAGTCGATTCAGCGATAGATTGGGCGATGCGCTTCTGCATGTGCACAGGCGCAGCAGAAACGAGGGAAGCCAACGCGGACAGGGCGAAGAATGCGTTGAAGTTGATGTAGACCATGTTGAATGAGGAACACTTGAAGATTAAAATGAAAGTAAGGGGTGGCGATGAAGAAGAGAAGAACGAGAGGGGAAGGTGCTGAGTTAACGGGACAAAGGTGTATTTACGAAGAAAATGAAGTCGCGAAGGCGGAGAGCAACCTGGCTCAAAAGAAGGAAGTATGTAAATAAAAGAGTAGGAGAAGAAGTGAAGTGAAGAGGAATGGAGGGGATGAGGATATTTGGATTCGGAGCGTCGTATTTATATCAAAGATTGCGCGACCATATGGTGTAGTACAGTGTGGCATGACGAGTATACGGCTGAGTGGTAGGCAACGCAAAAGTAGACATCAGAGAGACTGAAACAAGGAAAACGAGGAACTGCAGCCTACAGATCATCTGGCCCCCTCTAGTCTCCTCTGGGTAATCAATATCATTGCCGTATTGGCGACCATCGACTCAGGATTCCTTGGACGGGGAGCCCTCAGAAGTCGCAGCAGCGATGCACACTCAGATGGTTGCCGTTGACGGTAGAGATCTTCGAGCAGCATCAAGTATCAGCAAGCGATCAAGCAGGAAAAGTCGACCCACATCAGGTAAAGATAATGGCATACATGAGTTGTACCTCGTGCCTTTGATGGCTTTCCAATACCATCGGAGGATTCGTCGGCATAGCGTCTTGCTTCGCGACGACGAAACTTATTCGTATAACCGCGAGTGGGATCGACATGGAGTAGCCGTAGTTCCAAGTGGTGGCGGCGATATCAATCAACATGACGATGTGATGATGGAGTTGGGATAATCGACCAGAACAACCGAACAACCGAAACGTTTACTTATCCACGAAGGAAAGACCGGGGCGACTGCCGAGCGATCAAGCGCATGGACGTGGCGGCAGCAGTTCCTAGCATTCAGCATCTCGGCATTTGAGGATTCAGTGATTCAATCATCGTTGGGCAATGAACGTTTGAACTATGAGAGGTACAATCTTTGACTGGTTCCGTTCGATACGCCATGATGCGGTGGATATCATCTACTTAGTGTCGCAAAGATAATCAGGACCCTAGGCTCTAGAATCGACAGGTCACTTACTTACACGCAACATATGATGAGTCTGAGAGATCAGACATCATGATGCGAACTCAGGAGTCAGCACGGTGCGGACCTATCTCGACGCAACATCTGAGCAATTCGACAAAGCCATGCCGAGCATCATGCATGCACATGGACGTGTACACGACATCATTCGTTTGCCCCGAGGAGCTGACAGGCGTGCTGGAAGATTTTGACGAGGGGCAGTAGAATGACCCACTGTTTCACCCTCTGTTAGTTACCCGAACGGTATCCTTGACAGTGGGGGGTACTCACGGAGCATACACTGTAGCGCGTAGGAAGGAAGGAAGAGAGATGCAGACGCAATTGAGGCTGCACGTGGGGGCTCGAATTCCTGAGTCTGAGTCGCAAAATAATGATACGGAGGATGCTAACAACCCTATCGGCCTAACATCTAACGTCGCAGCCAACACCAACTGAGCCCAGCGATCCTTTCAGAATACTACATCTGCTATCAGCCTTTTTTACGCGTTCGCCAGGGGACACGTCGGGTGACACGCCTCAAGTTGCGCAGCACTGAAAAGCGTGATATTGACACCTTAACGAGACCTACCACACCTAGTTAGCCGTTAACGATACGAACCATTGGCCGGAATAAACACTCACGAAGGCACCAACTTCAGGTCCAGAGCTCCAGGGATTGAGTTCACCAAGCCTAACGCTGATTCGATTATGTATTTCCACGAGTATTCGTCCAAGCTCCAGTATTTACAGCAACCAGCATGCTCATACTGCATGGGACAGAAGCGAATCCCGGGCAATATTGAAACAACTTGCGAACACTAAAGAAATGAGAATATCAGGAGAAGTTGGCGCTAAGCATAGAAGACGAACCTATAGATCTCACCATAAGTGAATTATTGGTCCCCAGGGAACATCAAAACCGATGAGAGTCGCTGATATGGATAATGGAGAGGAAGACGCGTGGCGAGAGTCACACCTGTGACTTGGGCGCTTGTGAGACTCGACTTGGCAACCTTCTACCAACAACAACAGAGGACATATCGCATTCGTTCACCTATGAATGTCTGCAGATGAATCTAGACGCTCGCTTTAGCAACGGGTTGGATTGTCACCGAGGTAGAGAGATGAATCTCGAACACGTAGTAAACGGTGAGTCTCGACACCACAACTTGGAGGTGAGCTAGGCCACGGCGTTGAAAGCAAAACTACGAGTTTTACACAGCAAGAGAGGCACTTGTCGTCGGTAACATTCTGATTCGGCTTCCAAGTGGTTGCTACAGTAGCCATAAAGCGAGATGTGCGAGGTTGCTTGAGCGGCAATAAGTGTCTTATTGCAGCCGGGGTGAACATGATAGTTCCGTGCGAGGGGGATATTTCGAATTAGGATGGCTATCTCAAGACACAGTTGAAGATAGGACGAGACTTCGGAAATCGGAGTAACAAGAGGCCCCCCTCAATGATAATTGCGCTGACCATCCCACGCAGCGAAAGAAGAGTGGTAATTGGTGATTTTTGTCATTTTGTTATACATGAGTATTGAGTAGTGTTAGTGGCCGCGCCAATGCTATCCTTGAGTATCGATATTGAAGCGGTCTGAGATTCATATTGACCTACGCCGCAATTCAACGAGTTTACTCTATGCCTCGAATCCACTTATCCTCAAGAAGGTCCTTGGCCGTAGCACGATCTTCGGGGTTCAAGCGCAGGCAGCGTTGAACGAAAGCCCCCGCAGCGAAACATTCTTCATCAGACAATATTTTGTGTTCAGCGATGAGCTCTTGTATGGGCCAACGCCCAAGAGTCGGCTCCTTCTTCAGTTCACCTGGATCAAAACCGTTGACGTATACCGAAGACGATCAAAGAGACCACACCGACAGTTGCTGTTGAAGTACTCCCCGGCTAAAGGGCATATACTGAGTTGAGTCGGTTCAAATTCTTCGCACGCGTGGAACATCATTTGATATAGCAGGTTCTCAGTCTCCGTCAAGCCGAAGTCATCGTAGGTTCTATACTGGAAGAGAGTTTCGTTGGTGATAAGTTCGTACGCCTAGCAGATGATTCAGCAAGTAAGATCACTGATGACGGGGGATACGAATCACCAAACATCCGAAAGACCATATGTCGGCCGGTGTATCCCACTCCCCACCCAGGAGGACTTCGGGTGCTCTCAAAAGGACAGGTGTGATGTTACAATGAGCATGCCGTTTGGAAGGGAGAGCTGGACTTGCATTGAGGGTCATGATGGCATAGATGGCGTCTGCGGCTTACCACAGCCAAAGTCTGCAAGGACATATGTAGCGCGCAGCGCCTCCTCTTCAGAGGGTAGTTTCATCGGTTGCGATACTGCAGATTTGACTACGCCATCGCTGGAAAGTTCTGGGGGGTTTCGGCGCGGCGGGTCTTCCTGGATCCATTTCTCGATGTCTTCAGTCGTAGCAGGCGTTGTAAATAAGACATTGTCGAATTTGAGGTCCGTATGGACGATCCCACGTTCGTGTGCGAACGCGATTCCACGGAGAAGGTGTAGGAGGATACGTTTAACTAGCGGAAGGGGGAAGGGGGAGGTCCGAGACTGGATGAGAGACCTGACGTCGCCCCCGTAGAGAGGCATTGTGAAGCAGAGGTGAGAACCTGCTGAGCCGCGGCCTTTCATCGTGAAGTACTCTAAAATGTGAACGCAATTCTCTGATACAGAGGGGAATGTAAGCCGTTTGAGTGCCTGTTCCTCCCATGCCATCTTGCGCTCGTGCAGGTCTGTCGCGTGGCCAGTCAGTACCTTGACGGCCACGTATTTGTTGAGTCTATTAATGGCTTCAATGTACGCGAAGATAGAGGAATTCATTAGGTCTTGCTCACACTTCGTTCCACGCAAGCCAAGTGCTGGAGTTCTTCCCCCAACCTAGCTTCCGAGTGATGGTGTAGCGTAAATCGTAGCCAATCTTTTCGCTAAATTCGAGCTGAGCCCAGCCGTAACCCTTTTCAGCGGGCAATCCAAGCCCTTCTGATTGAAATGAGAGGTCGACGACCTCCTTACCGTCAGCATCAAGGGAGAAATGTTGGTTCGTTGTGCGCTCCTCGCTCCTTGCTGCCGTGGTCGTGGTCGTGGACATGTAGCGGAATGCGTGGAGTCGAAGGGATCGTCTAGTAAGGGTACCAAGGATTGTCGTCAATCGCATCAAATCCGAACTTAGAAGCCTGGCGTTATGGAGCGGGAATATATGATGATTGCGCTGAATCACGTGTGCGTAAGTTCGTAGCTTTAGTGTGGCCATGTGGGTCCACCGTGGCGTGCGTGGCGTACCTAGTTGTAAGTGTTTGCTACAGACCTGGCGAATCACCAAGTAAAAAGTGGTTATTTATCTATATGGATAAGCGATTATGGACTGTCAGGCTATCAAAGTCATTGTAAACTAGTTCAACGGATTGTGAGATAGAGCCGCGCTGCTGAATTACAGAATAAAATGAGTCTTTATGACGAACCGCTCATTATCAAGGTCATAAATAATGCCCGAGCGTGACAAAGAACTAGTTACTGTGTAAATCGCCACACGTAGCAGAGTAAGCTGTCTGCTTTTGCTTCGGCTGTGGGAGGTGAATCGATTTTCGCGCAGTTTTCAGACGTACTTGGATGAGGCCACCAGGATTAACTTGAATGCAGTAGCAGAGGAGGCGGAGGCGTGCAGATGATGCGAAGAGGCGTTTCACGGTCCTAAGTATAAAGGTGTTGTACGTGCGAAGGGATACTCGTGTCGTGAATGCGAGGACTGGGAATGGTGTGTTCCCACCAAAAGACGAAGTAAGAAGGAACGAATGAACGCGATCCGAACGCCACGTGACGAACGGAACGGAGATGGAACGCGAACCAGACAGCGTGCGACTGCTGGACTCGACTTCACAACGCAACTGAGGGGGAAACTTGTTGTATTCATAGGTAAGCAAGTAGGTACTATATATACTGGTAGTATATGTAAGTAAACACACCAGTTCTGCGTGTGTAAGTAACTAAGATAATACCTAAGAAGGAGTGCAGCCGCAGCTGATGACGGACTGAAACAAGTAGTAAGCGAAACGATGAGATACGTACAATATACGGTGAATCCGGGCTCAAACAGGGTGCCAACCCTACAGTGTCGCTTTATAGTCGCTATGTCAGTAACAACCGGCCTTGAGAAACACCGAAACCTCCTCTACGATAACCCCAGCTCTCATCTCTACAACGTTCAACTTACGCAACATCGCAATCAGGCGGGGCAGCTCACTTAGCCAAGTAATCACTATGAAGATCAAATCAGCCTCCATTCCACAGCAGTATGGGACGACGAGAAGACTTACTCGAAGCAGCCAGAGATCCGTAAAGCAGCCTTGAATACCACCTTCAAGTACGCCAGAGTCTGTGGAGCCGACAAAGCAGGGGCAATGAAGACAGAGATACGGTACGTGGGTTCCGGTTTATACAAACAAAAATGTTAATGACTCCGATACAACCAGGGGCGGCTTTCACACTAGCTCGGAAAGAGATTCGTTCAAGCACCTGACTGTACGCTTCTTTGACAAAGACGGACGCCAAATGTACTTCTACCGCAAGTCGGACAAGTCGTTCTGGGATGTCCTCCATGTTCCCGAAGACATAGCGGCAAATAACGCAATTTGGAGGATCGAGGACGACTATGCTATTATCACTGAAGCTGAGTGCAGAGCGTAAGATATTTCTCGTATAGAGGACCCAATAGCTACTTACCGAGCAATCATAGGAAGAAATTGAACGTGTAGGAAGTGGAGTATCACATTCGTCTATTCTTGAGAGTCGGCTTTAGCTATATATTTGTAGTTCATTGTATTAATGGGGGTATGGGTGTGATGAATGTATTAATTACTGACGTGGTTCCGAAGAGAACAGGGGAGGTTTTGAACGCCAATCGTGCCACAGCTATGTGAGTACAGTGAGTGTTTGACGTTCATTCTCAACCCAGCATCCGGTGCAAAAGATCCGACAAGGGACCCACAGAGAGCGGAGAGGTTAATGCCCTTTCAATGAGACGCTCCTACGCAACGAGTAGCGAGTGAGGATTTTATATTCAACTTGGGAATTCGCTAGACATGATTGACGGTAGTGCAATATTCCGATCGTAAGATGCACCTACGCCACGAAGCAGGACGTCTATTCAATGCCCTGCAGCCACTCATCCTCAAGGAGATCCTCGGCTGTAGCACGATCCTCGGGCTTCAGGCATAAACAACGTTGAATGAAGTTCCCGGCAACGCGAAGTTCGGCATCTGGCATAACCTTGTGTTGGGAGATCAGGTCATGGATGGGCTGTATCCCCAGAGGTGGCGCCTTCTTCAGCTGACCTACACATACACGGAGGTTAGGAGACGTTCCGGTAGGGTATAGCAAGTTACACCTACAATCGGGGTTGAAGTACTCGCCCGCTAGCGGACAGACATTAAGTTGAGTCGAGTGAAATACCTCGCACGAAAAGATCATCATTTGATACAACAAATTCTCGTCTTCCGTTAGGTCAAATATCTCGAGGGTTCTATACCGAAATAGAACTTCGTTGGTGATGAGCTCGTAGGCCTAAGTCAAGATTTAGCACGTTGCACAAGATGACAATGGGATGGCAGCTACCAGACAACCAAACGACCACATGTCAGCTGGTGTGTCCCATTCCCCGCCTAGGAGGACTTCCGGTGCTCTCAGAAGGATGGGAGTGATGGTACAATTGGCGTGGTGTTTAGAAGGGAGAGCTCAACTTGAGATCAGTCTCATGAGAATACAAAGGAGTGCGTAGTGGCTCACCGCAACCAAAATCTGCAAGGACGTAGGTAGCGCGCAGCGCCTCCTCCTCAGACGGTAGTTTCATTGGCTGGGATACCGCAGATCGGAGCACGCCGTCACTTGAAAGCTCTGGGGGATTTCTCCGTGGCGGGTCTTCCTGGATCCATTTCTCGATATCGCTGGTCGTGGCAGGCGTTGTAAATAAGACATTATCAAATTTGAGGTCCGTATGGACGATCCCACGTTCGTGTGCGAAAGCAATTCCACGGAGAAGGTGTAGGAGGATACGTTTAACTAGCGGAAGGGGGAAGGGGGAGGTCCGAGACTGGATGAGGGACCTGACGTCGCCTCCGTAGAGAGGCATGGTGAAGCAAAGGTGAGAACCTGCTGAGCCGCGTCCTTTCATCGTGAAGTATTCCAATATGTGAACGCAATTATCTGATTCCGAGGGGAATGTCAGCCGTTTGAGCGCCTCTTCCTCCCATGCCATCTTGCGCTCGTGCAGGTCTGTCGCGTGGCCAGTCAGTACCTTGACGGCCACGTATTTATTGAGTCTATTAATGGCTTCAATATACGCGAAGATAGAGGAACTCATTGGTCTTGCTCACACTTCGTTCCACGCAAGCCAAGTACTAGAGTTCTTCCCCCAACCTAACTTGCGAGCGATCGTGTATCGTTGGTCATACCCAATCTTTTCGCCAAACTCGAGTTGCGCCCAGCCGTAACCCTTCTCAGCGGGCAAGCCTATCCCTTCTGACTGAAAGGAGAGGTCGACGACCTTCTTGCCGTCAGCATCGACAGAGAAATGCTGGTTCGTCGTGACAATGGGCTCTTCTGGTGCGAGGAGTATCGTAGACATGGAGCGAAATACGCGCAGTCGAAGGGGTTGAGAGACAACTTGGCGCGACTTCAGGGAAGATATGGACCTCATGAAGAGGCTGGACATTGGCCGGGACATCGTATCGATAGTGCAGCATTGCGTTGCGCTGACGTTCGGAGTGTTCGCCGTATGTTTTACGCCCACAAGCGCCTACATCACGGACACGTGCGACGCCTGGCAACTTAGCACGACGAGAAAAAAGTGAAGTTGTGGCGTCCTGATTGCCCTTCTTCACTGCGGCTATACTCGACATAAGGCGAGGTCCGCAAGGTCCCATGAATGGGGATGAAGGTCATGCTGCAAATAAGATGGCCATTTTCTTCGCTGGCGAACGCGACACAGTCGATAGGGGTCAGTCACGGTGGAAGGGGACAACTCACACGCGCTCATTGACATTTTTTCATCAGATGTGAGTACCATTTCGATCATGAACGATTATATATGGGACGTGTATCTACTGATTTGCCTGGTCTTCGGGTAGATTTCTTTGTGCAAGGCAAGGATATGCTCGATACAGCTCCCACTCGCGATGTTCCACGACCTCGACGCCCGGAGACGGATGTCTTGTAAAGGCCGCCGTTCCCGTGTATTCTACCACGCGAGGGCGATGATGCTGAGTACCATAACTCGAGGAAATGATTTGGGGAACGAAACTCACCATGCACGACGAAGTAGCGGGGAACGTCTTGACTTTCGCGGCCCTCATCGATCCGCGTCCCCACCTTCCCGCTATCGATGCACTCGAAGACCCGTGATCGCACCCACCCATCCGTCGTCGCCATGATATCGAGGCACCCCTTCCACCACGCCTCCACCGCACCCTCATCGCCGCTAGCAGCACCACTGACCTCAAGCCCATGGGTGATCAAGACCGGTGTTGGATTGCCGCATCGCAGCGACGTCGTCTTCTCCCAGTTCTCCCCCGAATCCAAGTACGCGCACGCGGCGAGGGTTCTGCGGTCGAGCAGCTCCAGGCGCTTGATCAGAGCGGCTTCCCTCGGACTGCGATGCGAGCGCAGGCGCGTGTACGCCTCGTCGCCGAACGCGGAGGTGCTGGCGATGTCGTAGAGCGCGATCCAGGACGGCGTGCGGGCATCCGATGCGCGGTATCGCGCGCCGGTAAGGAAGGCGGGCAGGTTGTTGAGCCGGAGCGGGATGTGTTCGTTGTTGTACCAATCTGCGGGGGGTGGAAGTAGGCAGACGGCTTCGTGTGCTCGATACGGAAGGACGAACCGTGGAACTCGTCCAGGGAGACCTGGGACCCGGGCTCAGACAAGACGGCCAGGAATCCTGCAGTCATGTGGTAGGGAAGTGCGATTGGAGGTGAATTGTGAATTGAGACGACAGTGGGTGGATGATGCACATCGTGAGAGTGACAATTAAGGAAATGACTTTAGCGCTGGTGAGCCCAGGTAACTACGCCAGTGACTAGTAAGTACGCCTGATGTACAGCTCAAGAGCGAGGGAACAGAGTAGGGGGATTTGGTGAACTGGGGTTTTCCTTATCGCCCAACCCCCACAATAGCCACTCGACACTCATTATACAAGGGATGTTTGCGATTTGGAGCATAAGTCCATTGTCCGAAATATTGGGAAACGGAAACTGTGATACCGAGTATAACAATCGCATGTATTGGACTTCGAAAATGTGAATGAAAATCAAGTATTCTATGTTTGAGCGAGGGGTAAGCAGTGCCACGGAAATAAGACAACACGGTGGCTCACATATATTTATCATGAGTGCGGCAGTGTTAAGCCCAGTTGGCTGGCACTGTCGTTGGCGGCGGCGGATTCTCGTTCTCCTCCTCTGATTTCTTCATCCGTCTACTGCACCAAAGACAGCAGCAAACACACAACAGGCACAAAGCCGCTATCGCTCCTATCCAAACGTTCGATACGCCTATTCATTCATGTGGTACGCCGGGGATCCGGAACTCACCAGCGACGATGCCGAGGACGATGAGGAGGAACTTCTTGCCCTTGTGCTTGAGCGCCGACGCAGCGAGCGCATGGGGTATGAACGCGCTCAGTGCGAATATGCACAGGAGCGTCAGTATGAAGGGCATAGAGAGGAGGCAGGAGAGAAGGCCGTCAAATCTCAATCATCGTGCCCTACCCAAAGTACCTGCTAGTACCACACGCGAATGGGGCCCGGGGATTTCAAGACAGCGGGTATTGAACTAGAGCCTTGCGCTAGGGGAGAATGGCATCGAAACCAGTCGTGGGGTGACCGTCTTGCGTGCGTGGGCTCGGTGAACGAATTCTCGGGCGGCGCGGTAGGCCGCAGAATTATGATCTTCAACGATGGAAGGTATTTGCACGCTCGTGGTCATTGGAAAAGTGTTTGAGGTGTTGTACTCTCCTGCAAAAGACTAGTGGATTCTAGTATGGAAAAGTGATGGTGTGAATGGAGCTAAAACGATTGGGTACCGGAGTGATTTCTTTTGGAGCCCACGTAATCTCCGGTCTAAATTTCTGCTCATTTGGGTCGAACTTGAGGGCTGCTTGAGCGCTGAGCTTGAGCCTTTGGACTTGCAAGCAAGAGTCCCGCTAGAGGTCCGGGTTCTGGACAACACGGGGGACACAGATTCGGATAGGAAGCTAGAAGGCTCAACGGGAAAGGAGAGAGGCGTTCTCGCCGGGTTCATACACACTGGTCGTTGATTCGGGGGACTTTCGGACATTTGGGATCGCAAACTTGGCTGAAATTGTCAAATTGAGTTGAAAACGCGTAACGGTCACAAGCCGATCATGATCGAACCGTAGCTCTGTCACGCACCCCTTTCTAGCCTATCCCCTCCTTTTCTTGTACCTGTAACACCATCATGCTGAGACTCTTCCTCGTGTGCTGCGGTGGCCTTGACAAGAACTGTGATATATGGCACAGTGTCAGGACCTGTGCGCTTAGCGGCTATGACCTATTCTTGACGGGACGCGTCTTTTGCGCGTCCTCGGCTTCATCATGGAACATGACGGACCTGAAGGTACATGTATGCGCCCAAGGTATCACACTGGCGAGAGGCTCGGCTTCGTTACATCAGATTTGACGACGTCAAGTGTCCCCAGTAGCGAACGACTTGGGTGGGATGATAGCTCAACGTCTGGCGCTTGGAGGAACACAAGAGAGACAAAAAGGAAGACGTCAAAGGAAGACGTGGCGGTTCATCACGATCTCGGCGCCGCCAGGACACCTCATGACGTAGCGATCCGTACTTGGACTTGTACACCGAACACTCCGAAGGATCAATAGGCAGTACTCTGGCACCTTGTCCTCGCGACACCGCTCAACCGTACTGAGGTCACGCGGTACGATCTAACCCGTAACTCTGTAAAGTAGTCAAGAGGGCATTAAGGGGAACTAACAACAGAGACGTTGAGGACTTTGCGCGTTGGCTTGTAACATGACACATCGTTAGGTCCAGATCTTGCAGTGTACATCTTCAAAGATGGGGCAAACAACGATGCATCTTAGAAAGTGTCGCATATGTCTATAGCTCAAGCATCTCCCATGTCTCCAACGCCCCCCCCCCCACACACACACTCTCTCTCTCACCGGCTCTTTATTTACTTTCTTCTTTCTTCGCAACCCTTCGGCTTTCCCCTTTCTCTTTCCTCCCTGCCGTCAGGGGAAACAGGAGGGTCTCAAAGTGGAAATCGATTGTGATCGTGCGAACTGGTCGCCGTATTACGCATTCGTATACTCGATTTCGACAACTCGCCCTCCTTCCACAATGTTTGCCGATGAACGACGCAGAAAGATCAATCTGGGCGGCGCATCGAGCGCACAGAGCCATGCCATCATCCTGGATCAAGCCAAAGCTCGAAGATTAGAACGCGAGGCGCTTCGGCGAAAGCAAGAGCAGGCGACTCGTATTCAAGCATGGTGGCGCGGCCAGAGGGAAGCCAGGCTCGTGAGAGCGAGGATGCAGGAGCTGTTCGCCCAGGATATGTTCTCGATCACGGGCTTGCGGTGCTTGGCTTTGACCTGCGATGAGACAGCGCTGGAGTCTTGGTCGACTGCAGTCAGTCAGGGTGCGTGCCACTCCGTTCTGTACCCCATATCAACCTGACTAGCTCTCAGACGGAGCCCTTGCATTTAGATCGGCGGCGGCACCTCATCAACACCAAACGAGCTGGCTAATCTTGATGCGGCAGATAACGCTGCTACTCCTCAAATCGGTCGCAAATTCGCCTCGGTGCGTAGCTCGATAGCCTGCCGGTTATCCGTGGCACTTACTGTGAACCGCGCAGACTCAATCGCTCAGTTGTGCATCTTCGAGTCCTTACCTCCATCTTCTCCCCGAGCTGGTACCGCCCCACGTTCGGCAGCGAAGCCACAGACGCGTGTGCGGCCATCACGCGATACACCCTAGATCACGGTTATTATTCCTTAATTTCGCAGGCAATATTTGCCATCGTGAGTGCTCCTCGATCCCACCACGTAGCCATACTGACTGACCCACTCTACTAGCCGATACCCGAGGCCAAAACATCCCAGTCTCTCCCATATCTAGTCGTGCTCGCTACGCAACCCTTCTCCATCCTGGCCACCTCCGATCCCGCTTACTCATTCGCACTCGAAGCCCTTCTGTCGCGCATCCTCGTCATCCCACTGCTTCCGAACCGGATTCCCATTGCATCACTCACCCATCTCGCGGGCCACTTGCCGTTCTCCACTCTGAACCTGGTCGAGGACCGCGTACCGCAGGTGGCGCACGAAGACCGGGTGCACCTCGTTGCGAACCTGGTCACGTTCACGTCTCCCCGGTACTCGAAGCTCCCGAAGGCGGCGCTCGAGGCGTATGCAGGGCTGGTTACTGCGCTGCTCAACGCGCTTCCCATCAATGCTCTGGATGCACGGCACCCCGGGGTCGAGGAGTACGACTCTGATATGGAGGCGCACGCGGAGGGCGACGTCGTGACTCTTCCGCCGCTGGATCCCCGTACGACTAAACGCCTCGATGTGCTATTTTCGACCGCGCACATACAATCCTTGACGTCGGCATTGCAGTCGCGCACAGCACTGGTCAAGTTCCTGCTATCGCTCGCTACTATATCTCCGGCACGTAAAGACGATGTGCTACGCGCGGTGCAAGTCAACAACGGCGGAGGGCTGGTGCGGGAGATATACCGAGTTTATGTGAGGAGTTCGGCACTTGGGAAAGATACCGAGATGAATACGCTCGCAGGTAATAGTGCCTGTGTTCTCGCTGCCTATGTTGCTAATAACAACTTGCCTCAGACACGGCGAACGCCCCTTCGTGGACATACTTACTGTTCCTGACATACCTGTACAACCAGGCGCTGACTACGATGGGTGACGACGAGTTTTTTTCGACTGCCGCGCCTTCATCGACAGAACGCTCTATCGAACGCAATCCCCTCTCGTTAGATGATCTGACCACTTTTAGCAGGCAGCTGATGAATATTGCATTTACGCTATATTGGCGCACACCTGGTGAACTGTCCAGCGGCCCTGTCCTGGCCCGTGCTGGCATCCGGTTGAACTGGGAGGGCGTCAGAGACATTATAACGAAGTGCTTGGTCGCTATTCATGCACGAGAGTAAGTACCATCCACAATTTGATTACATGTTACTGCTGCTGACCTTTTCCACGCGTGCAGTTCCCGCAAACCGTTTACTCCCCAGGACCACTGGTTGGTGACCTCGAATTTCGACGTGCAGTCGTTTGTTGAGGCGGCGATATTTGAGGAGAAGGAGCTCACGTCGGACAGTAACGCCGAGGTTGTGGTATCCGGCACGAGGGTTCGTCCGACGCATAGTCTCTCTGCGCGCCAGCTCGCATATCTGTCGCCACGGCTGGGGATCCTCAACAACATCCCCTTCGCGATCCCGTTCCCCGTCCGCGTGTCTATCTTCCGCAGATTCATCCAGAACGACGCGATTGCGCGGGGGACGCCTGATCGGTATTCTTTCCAGGGAATGAGCCATCGGACGCGGGTGCATATTCGCCGTTCGAGCGTCGCGCAGGACGGATTTGACAAATTGGCCGGTGTGGATCTGAAGGGCCCGATAGAGATTACCTTCGTAGATCAGTTCGGCCAGGAAGAGTGAGTCCCCGAGGAATTCATTGCTAATCCCCGCCGTCGTGCCCCTCCCTTTGCTCGCGCGAGCTGACCTTGCCCTTGCTGTTGTGTGTATACAGGGCTGGAATCGACGGGGGCGGAGTGTTCAAGGAGTTCTTCACGAGCCTCTGTAAGGAAGTTTTCGATACGGATCGTGGGCTGTGGCTGGCGACTAAAAAGAACGAGCTGTATCCAAATCCCCACGCTTACGCTACCGAACGTAAGTGGCGGTTTCAAAAAGAAGAACGTCCGAAGTCTAATGTTTGCCGTGCATGCTACTAGCGCATAGCCTCAACTGGTATCGATTTGTAGGACGGATATTGGGCAAGGCGCTGTACCAGGGTATACTCGTGGATGTGGGCTTTGCGGGGTTCTTCCTGGCCAAGGTATGCACCCCTTCGTGGTGGAGTAAATGGGATGCGTGCGGAGTGCTGACGAGCGATGTTCCGTTTGTGCGATTAGTGGCTCGGCAAGCAGAGCTATCTCGACGATCTGGCGTCTCTGGACCCAGATCTCTACAACGGGTTGACGTTCCTCAAACATTACGAGGGGAATCCGGAGGATCTGTCGCTGAACTTCACGGTCGCCATTGAGGGTGTGTACCTCTCCCGCCGCCTCCCACGTCGGCTGTCACGAATTCATATTCATTCCATATAGAATTTGGCACGACTAAATCAATCGATCTGATACCAAATGGAAGCAACACGCCTGTGACGAGGGAGAACCGCCTCCAATACATATACCTAATTTCGCATTACCGCCTCAGCAAGCAGATCAAGCTCCAGAGCGAGGCGTTTTTTGAAGGCCTTTCGGATATGATAGACCCTAAGTGGCTTCGGTGCGTCGTGCGCGTTGGGCGTTCATGCGTCTTCGTGAATCATGCTGTTTTGGCAAGCTTTTAGCTAACCTCGTTCCTTTTGCAGCATGTTCAACCAGCAAGAGTTTCAGATTCTCCTCGGAGGGGTTAACTCTGCCATTGATATAGAGGACTTGCGTGCTCACACCGTGTACGGCGGCTTGTACGATGAGAAGCATCCTACTATCATGGCGTTTTGGAACGTATGTCAATTATTCTTTTAGGCTGTTCCCTCAAACGCTGTACTAACGTACACGTGCAGGTGGTGGAGTCATTTGATCACGAGCAGCGACGAGCGCTATTGAGATTCGTATCAAGCTGTAGTCGTCCACCCCTGCTGTAAGCGGCGTTCCGATCCGCTTTGCTATGAGGTAACTGACTTTTGATCGTTCACCTCCCTTGAACGTGAATGGAACATAGCGGTTTCAAGGAATTGCTTCCGAATTTCTCTATTCGGGACGCTGGCTCAGATCAGACACGCCTTCCGACTGCGAGCACATGCGTCAATCTTCTGAAGGTGCGCCCTGCTTTCCGCTTGGGTGGGTTTTATGTCTAACGTCATGTCGGTTTCATAGCTACCATTGTATCAAAATGAAGCCGTGCTTCGAGAGAAACTCCTGAAGTCCATCACCTCCAACGCGGGCTTCGATCTCTCCTGATGAGTTACGCTGACCGTGCCTCTTTTTCACCGCGCCTTTCGCGCCGCATTTCGCATTCGCACATTTGAGATTGCGTTCAGCCATATGCTGTTAGATATCTGGAATTTGCAATCTTCGCCGCTTTCCGTTCTGTTTCTGTTCTGTCAATTGTAGTTTACAGCAGGACTTGCCATCATGATTTGTATAATAAGTATTGACGTTATGTGTTAGATATAGATAGAACTGTATCGCCAATGACAACGGTAAGTACACGGGCGATCATCGGCAACCATCTACTGATGGACGTTCTCATTTCTAGACATTCCCCCTCTGTGTAGAGAACTCTCTGACGGGATTCACGCGGTTCGATGAGCGTAATAACGGGGTTCTTTACCGCCGTTCTTGAAGCCACTGCGGATATGACCTTCCCTTAGCCGAAGTCCAGAAGCCAGAAGGCAGAAGGAGGACCGTTGATGAGGTACGTTCCTCGGTGTCCCCAAAGCTTCTCCTTGATGCCTACGTCTCCAAAGCTCGCGGTGTGGACGTAGGTTGATCCTTCCTCCGCATCGTCGAGCACCTTTCGTTCGTACCATGGTACATCAGCACCCAGCTGATTGCGAGCTGACTATATGAAGCATCCCATGGCTTCCATCGGGCTTCCCCCGCTTGGAAGAAAGTCACGGCGAGCCTATTTGTGCGGTGAGAGACGTCAGGCTTGCCCCCTGTATCGTAGGGTTGACTCATCCAGATGAAATGCAGTCGCCTAGTGGGGGGAATCCGGAGTCGCGGACGAGCCCTAGTCGCAAAAGCCCTCGGCAGACAGCTAGGTCAAAGGTAATATTAAAAGGCAAAAGCATATCACTAATCAAGGCGACGGAGTAGCCTCGCTTTATCCATGTAGGTATGACGGCCCCCTTGTCTGCGCCTGTCTCCGGGCTAAGTGATGGGAGTGGGACGCACGATGACCCACCTTTTCTTTGCGGTTCAGGTCGGGTGGTCCATGAAACCCACACTTTTTGCTCGGCCGGTGGGCGACTGGAGCTGGCATTCTTGGTTTTCTGATTGGGGTGCATGCATATCGGCAGCGACAGCTCAGGAGGTGGCATCTCCGCGGGTTCTCTCACGATCCAAGATTACCTCTGCATTCCCACGGCAGCTATTTAGAGCCCTGATTCGGGCTTCACTTCGAGGCTGAGCCTACAAACACGTACAAGAGGGAACCTACTTATGTACCATCTGGTAGCACGTGCTCTTTTTGCATAGATCCAACGGTACGTCCATGCCATCTGCAGATTCGCCTTTCATTGATATATAAGTCCTCCGTGTCCCTTACCCACCCTCCATATTCACATCCACTACCATGTCCCTCGCCCGTGTAGTCCTCGTCCTCATTCAGGCTGTTTCTAACCAGTGGGCATGCACGCCTCCGAACCCCACGCCCCCGAAAGCCAGATACCATACCGATGAGTTGTATATTCTGCAGATAGCGCCGTTCATTTTCAAGGTACGTTCGCCTCCTCGAACATGTTCTCGCCCTTTTAACATCAGATACGCAGGTGCACCAGGCAATTATATGGATATGCACCACATTCGAGGTGTTATTCTATCTGGGATCGCTGCTCCCTGTGTCATCGCCCACCTCCTTCATAAATTCCCTCGTCTGCCCTTCGCAGTGCAACCTCAAGGTCACTCCCCTTTTCGTCATCGGCGTAATGGCTTCCGTGCTGGGTACCTATGTCCGGCTTGATTGTTTCAAAGCACTTGGCGAACTCTTCACTTTCGATCTTACGGTCCTTCCCCAACACCGTCTCGTCACAACCCGATTCTACGCCCATGTACGCCACCCAGCCTACACCGGTTCCATGCTGCTCGTTGCCGGTCTCGCCTGCTCCCACCTCTCTCGAGGCAGCTGGCTGACTGAATGCGGTCCCCTTTACGCACCAGGAAGTGCTATCGTCGTCTGGGCTGCATGGTGGATCTGGACTCTCGCAGTCGGCATCAGCCGTGCCGATGCGGAGGATAAACAAATGAAGAAGCTGTTCCAGACAGAATGGGAGGAGTACGCTGCGAACGTGCCGTGGTGGTTTTTGCCGGGGTTGATTTGAAAACGTTGCGTCGTGATCATCATCGTGTGCGCTTTCTACCTCTTTCGCGCATCTTCCCCACTGCCCTATTTGTATATCCATCCTTACCTACGTTGTCCCCTTTTACTTCTGCGCCCCGCTTCCTCCACTTGGACTCATGATATAGATATGCCCCACCTCGAATGCCCCACTTATTATTCCTCGTAGAATAATACACGTCCGTACGTCTTTATGATACGTGTTACGAACAAACCAATCGCCCGGGTTATTCTTGCGGCTACTTACTACCCAACGCACTATTTCAATTTTCAAATCAAGCAAAAGTACACCACATTCCTATCTCGCCCTTCTGGATCATTGTCTTACCTATCTACACACCAGTTTCACTTGTACTACATATTGTCGATTGACAAAGACTTAGGACCTATCGCTGGCAGTATTGGTCTTTCCGCCCTGCCCACATGTGCGCGGTCCGGCGCTTCCTTCCGCCCTTCGAAGATGATCGATGATCCTTCACCGCGTCCACCTCGGAGGAGTATACCTTCGTATTACATATCTCGCTGATTCTTCAAGCACTTACACATTGCGGACAACGAAAGTCGATTGCCCAGACAATTGGGACTCGATGGTATTCGCGCAGCCGAGATCCTGGAAGATGTCTCATCGTTTCTCACCAGTTCCAACGCGCGTGCCTCGCCCATTATCAGTATTCTTCGATCGAAAAGTACGCTCAAAATACTTGCATAGAACTTGGGGACCGTGAGCTCATATCTACTAGTTGGTCCTGGGGCCATTCTTGCCGACTGACGACTGGGAAAATACTGTTCAAACTGCCTTCTTATCATGAGGAGCATTAGGTATTGTTGCTAACGAGAAAGCACGATGGAAGGGAAGAGAGAGCTTAGGAAATAGTTGGAGAGCTTGAGAGTTTTTCGGGGCCTTTTTAGACTTTTCGCCAAAGGTCTTTGGATCCTCTCGGCTCGACTAAAGAATCCTATGGAGATGAACATGCCAAATGTCCAATCGCTGCCATCATGCCAAGGACTCTAGGACATCGGCCGCGACTCTACGAAACATCGCCCCGCTAACACCATATGTTTGCGTTCCCTTCTCAAACAGATCTTGTGCGTGTGTCTCGGTTCAAAGCTTTACGGGCATAGTGAACCTGGAGCGGAAACATATAGTGACATTTGAACCTTTCAGCATGCTAATACTTGTAACAACGTCGACTTCGTCAGGGTTGTGGATGAATAATTTGACTCCGAAGGCACATACCGTGGAATGGTTGTAGCTTTTCCGGCACATCCTCCCCCCTGTCCTGTCCCCTATCCCTGCCTTCCTCGCTGAATCCCCCTCCTTCCTCGTCGCATCCACGGTACTCATACTCAGAGCCTACATATGCTTCAGCTCGGAGTTTCTCTAAGCGTACCACTGTATCGCTCAGGGGTGCTGCTTCCCTGAAGGGTCTCACTGGCACGTCGATCGGTAGACACACGCTCGAACGAGGCTTTCTAGAGAAGGGGTGCATCAAGGAAGGAACTCGAGATTAAAAGAAGGAAAGAAGGGAGGCAGTGTGGGTGCGTGCAATGTGCACCTTATGTCGTGAGCCGCCATGCCATGCGTGGAAGCCCTTTTAAATCCGCGGGAACTGCGACGAATATTGCGCCTGGGGTTCTGTGTGTCAGCGCCATCGCCTAAGCGACATGGAGTTATGTTATGTCTGATTGTGATTGTGATCTGCCGTACTGAAATAGACCGCTGGGAATGTTCGAGTACGAGTGCGATATTGAGGTGGAACTGGCTCTGAGACGTTCTTCTGAGGCAGGCATTAGCGATCCGAAGGGCAGATGCATCAAGGCGAAGGGGTTTAGCCTGAGCACTTGCGATGGAGGCATAGAACAAGAAGCTTTACAGCAAATGATTCGACAGCTATCAAGGAAAGCATTGGAACGATATGATTGAGATAACAAGCTGTCGCAGCTCCAATAGCAATCAAATCGCATTCTATATTTGCCATCCTCTCGCGGAGCACGTCGTTGATCTAGCTCCCCTAAAGTTCGTGCTCTTGCCGCTAATCATAAGGTGTCCTATCGACTTATTGGAGTGGGTAGATAGGTCACAGGTGGCCCTGAACCCCGGTCTCACCCACTTAAAGGGATTAGGTCTGTTACTCGGAATAGATGTGCAACACAAGATGAAATGAAGGATCCATCACAGCAGGACTGCATAATGAAAGAACTCACGGACCGAGACCTCGCCTCTCCGCCCGTGCATCCAACGCAATATGCAAAGTTGACGTTTGGCGTCATAATCGGACCGTTGATCATATCATAGAGCATTCTATCTATACGCGATGCGGGATGATGAGCGTATTCAATAATGATCCATCGACGCGTTGCCGAGAGCTCTCAAGCATTCAGGTCAAGGGTCCAGGGATCTCCCGCGAAGGGCTTCACGGAAACGTTTGACGGCGGAAGCCGAGAGGTTGGTATAAATAACATGCGAAGTGAGAATGTAGGATGTAGAAAGAAGAAGGGGACCATATGACTGCTGCTGGAACGAAGCCGACTAGAATCAGAATCGAATGTGCGGAGTGAGATGGAGAGAGATACGTACACAAGGGGGCCGAAGAAGAGACAATACGAGGCCGACTAATGGATGATTAACGACAGACTCATAGTGGGGTGGGAGATACATACTAAAGGGATGCTGCAAGCACCAGAGACTGGGACACCAGACGCCAAAGCATGACCTCCCCTCGAAAAACCAAAAGTAGAGCATCCCACGAGAATCTGCCGAGGGTTGGTTATCTATGACAAACCGGGGTCCTAAAAATGGATGCCCGCAAACTCTGGGTGCTAGCTTAAGACGTTGACATCTGGGGAGTTTCCACCACTGGTTGAGGTGACGGCGGCGCGTCCCGGGTGCGGGTGCGGGCGTCAGCTGCACAGGTGAGATCTCATCAAAAGTCGGCTTATAAAAGACCATAGGTGGAGGTGAGACTGTAGCATCGGCACGGTAGGTGCGCCTCGGGAAGTGCGGATGGTAAGCTAGGCAAGCATGCCGTTTCCTTGGTGGAATTTGGCCCCCTGCGAGCGTCTTGGATTCACCTGAGCTGTATAGCACTGTGACCGTCGTCGCAGGAGAGCGGTGGCTAAATGTTGTTCGACTAGATCGTATGAGGGTATGCCAAACAAGCTAAGGTAAAAGAATCTGACATCGGTGACATTCTAGAGAGGCCGCGGAACTGTGTTGCGTGAGATATCGTGGTCCTGCATCGAAGTTACGGGCTGAAAATACGGGGCACCTCTGGCGCACGAACCATGTTGAGGCATGCTCATACACGCGTCTCGAGCCTCCGGCCCCGTATCTGCTTCATGCAAGGCAGACAAAACTCCTGGGCAAACTGGGATGCAGCGGCGTAAATGCTACCTCGTGACGGAATACTACACTCGTGGAGGTATTCCGGCGTTAAGGGCTCGAAAAGTAGGTAAGAAATAAGATTTTTGGCTGATTCGAGTCTTGCGTCTGCAACTACGGTATCGAAGGCACCTTCAAGTATGATTAATTAGCAAATTAGGGCCCAAATCAGAAGGAGTATTACAGCACGGTTTGTATTTGTACCCCTGCTCGTGGTCTTGGATGCGGGACGTAGCACAGCAAATTTGAAGCGGCCAGAAAAAAGGGGGTACGAGTACCTTGTAAACCGAATCTTGAACGACAGAGAATGTGAAGTCAGTCGGTTCGCGACCACGGCCCAGGGTCACGGTGCATCTTCCTCGCGACTTACGAGCGGTAACGGGACCAGGAGGTTAGGAGTGAGCGAAGGCGATTCGGTGTCAATTTCAAGGTCTCCTGTGGAGAAGAGCGGCGACTTCAGACATGTCGTCGGGGGCGAGCACTTGAGTGAGTTACTGTCCAGTGTCTCGTGTGCCGCTGTGCTGACAATTATTGGCGGAGCCTCAATGAGCCTAACAGGCGCTTAACACAAACGACAGCTCTACTATCTTCGCACCCGAGTCTGAATTCATTCCGAGAGACCAATCATTCCATTATAAGGTGCTACGACTAGTATATTTTCTTCTTCTCTTGTTCCTCTCGCCCCGTCTCGCACACAAAAACCATCGAGGTGCTTAAAATGAACCTGTCGGAGCTTGTAACCACTTGAGAGGGGGGCGCAGCTTGCCAACCACGTCCATCATGAAACTCAACTTCTGGTCCTACTTCCCAAGAGCCCTTATTTTTCACACAGATTACAGTTGGGGGAGATGACTCAGTCAAGTAGCTCTTGGAGAAGATCCACGAGAAGCTCGTCGCCAGACACTACGGCGTCCACCTGATGGACCTCGCGCTTTACAAGGTGCGCTACCACATACTCTGCGATGCCAAACGACTGACTGCCAGCCAGACAGATATGGCGATGCAGCCCACGGAAGGGCGAACAGCTCGTATCCTTCCGTGGCTTCACACCCAGTCAGAAGCAGACGAGCTTGATGCTACACAGGCCCTCGGAGTCTTGTTCACCGATGGCATGTTGCACAAAATCGTTGTCGCCAATGCCGAAGGTCCGTTTCTCGAATGTTCTCATATCCTTGCCCTCATCCTGCTTCAGTGAAGGAGTTACTCGACCACGTTGATGATCCTGAAGTATGGTCTCGAATACGTATCAGGAAGGGTAAATGCAAGTCCACCCACTCATCGCTTGCTCGATCCTCATTCTTTTCGCAGACCTTGACAAGCGTATTAGCAAACTATCAGATATCCCCAGTCCCACTTCCATTGTCGGCAGCGCTGCCACTCTGAAGAAGTTCCTCAACGCCGCTGGTCACCCTGTATGCATTGATCATGTCCCGGCTACGATACTCAGCTCGCTGCCCTGCAGAGGAGACTCTTTGACCTCGACCATGTCAATGTCACCCTGCAGGACATTACCTACGCGTCTAGCTTCCTCAGTGCGACGGTTGAGTTTTATGATGATGAGGCCCAGCGTCGGACTGCCATTAGGCCGCGGGTCAACAACTTAATGGCGGCTGGTTTATGGGTCACAAAACTCGAGTGGCTAAGCAACATTGAGCTCTGCTGGACAGCAACTTCGGAGCGATTCGTTGCCAGTCTCAATACCGGAACGGTCCATCCCCCCACGACTCTCGCCAATGATATTCCAGCGCGCCAGCCCGATTTAGACTCGTCCCTGACCGCATGATATTGCATCTCGGGCTTTCGCTGGGGAGGGAAATGACGGGCAAGGATCGAGCTGGATCGAGGAGTGGGGAGTGACGCGTTGACGGCGCGATCCTGGAGAATCACAGGACAGACTTGTCTTTTGTCGGAGTTACGTCCATGTTTCGTTCGTGGGTTGTTTCTTGCACCCCTACCCCCGTGCGCTTTCAGTCTGAGACGCTTGACGAGCGGAGAGTGCGTGCACTGGATGGTTGGGGATAGATACGCGTTCCCTTTTCCGTCCACAACCTAAACAGAAAAGGTCCGTTCTCCCCTTCCGACGTAGTTGTGATACTGTCGGGAAGCGCCGAGCCTGGGTCAAGACTTGGGAGCGTCGGGGTAGGCAGGGGGATACGTGCTCCGGATCCGCTGGGGGACAAGGAGGGGACTTGAGAGCGATATTATGATGTCGGTACGCTTGTGCCCTTTCCCTCTTTTTCTTTCATTCGGTCAACGTCTCTCCTCGTAAATTTCTTCGTGGTTCGTCGAGTAGCGAACGCGCTCAGAACTCTGCCAAATCACGGAAGATCGGTGTAACGTGAGTTTTTGGTCTTTTATGACGGATTCATTCACTCACTTGTGAGGCACGAACGAGAAGTAGGCTATCAAGAAGGTGAGTGACTCACTGTGCCCGTGGAACGCAAACAATTGGCCCATTGGATCATGCTTGCCGTTCGCTTCATGAGACGCGATACTTTGGTACGAAATCTATTACATAGTCGGAATCTGACAGGGTAGTCGATGTCGGTGTATGCCCTAGGACGAGATGCAAACGAAGTTTGCCACAGGGATGCCGTCCTCATCAGGTAGATCACTACATCTGCGGACAGTATCCTCTATAAGCCAATCAGAAATAATCGGTTCCTTCTTCAGAGACAGACGATTACCAAACCCACCATCTGTTGACTCGGAGTATTGGGTAGCAAGAGGGTCGCATTACAACCACAGAACTTCTTGAGGACAAATGGCTTCAAACTCAATGCCTGTTAATGCTGCACTGACGGTTTTAGCACATAATGAAAAACACCTGTATAAGCTCCCGAACGATAACCATATAAATATGCGGACGGCGGGCGACTGGGTATATTATCTAAAACCAATGCCAGACGCCGTATTAATGCAGGGGAAATTCCAGTATATTTACGACGCAGAACCGGCCTCCCGCGAGGTCATCTGGTTGACCATCAAGGCAGGAAGTGTATTTATTACAGGCTCCCAGCTATCCCAACGCTCCTCCCCATCGTCGCTCCAGCCGTCCAAGATTCGGCTAAGCCGGCATCCCGCTGGAAGGATGCCGCTCAAATAGGTCGCTACCTCCGGGGCCGGGGAGTGAAGGCCGACTGGCCCAACGTTGAGTTCAGCCAAGCATCTGAAGCGTTCGTTGTATTCGAAGGTCGGCGCCGACGCAGGGAGAGAGGTATTCAAACAAAGGCACAAATATACCAACTGCGGGCGTATCACAGCTAGCTGTGGTAAGACAGTGATAGGGAAAGCGGGGGTACCGTCGATGGTGCTCGACCGCCGAAGAGCGAGGTGCGTCAAAGAGGGAAGATTCTCGGCAAGGTAAAACAAGGCTGAGGTGGTCATTGGTAAATCAATGAGGGAGAGGTCCGTCAAGCGAGTAAGGTGGCGGAGGGGCGCGAATGACTCCCATGTAGCCAGTGGTATCTTCTCGTACTCAGAACCATTCCTACAATGTTTCAGTCTCAGGGTCTCGATCTGTGGGCAGCACGAGCTTATGATCTCGAAAAAACGAAAGTGATGTTCTCGGGTCTGCCGGGTGTCTGGCTCAAGTACGAGTTTGCGTAGGTTGTTGAGTTTGTATGTTTCTAGGAACGGCGGGACATTGTCGGTAGATATTTCAAGCAACCTGAGCGACGTAAACCGTTCGCTTGTGTCCACGGGCGGACGTGAAAGTTGGTTTTGACTACGGACTGGCCATCTATGGGTGGATCGGATATGTTGTAGGCGCGGTAAGCATGCAAGAGTGTGCATGACACGTGGCGTAAGCACCGCGGGTGCGATTTCAAGCTCGGTCAACCGAGAGAGGGGAGTCAGGAGCTTATCTAAACCGATCTCTTTATATTCATATTGTGTTATCCACAGATCCAGGCGGCTGAGCATTGGGCATCTGACGGGGAGATAAGACAGAAGTGATTTTGCTTTCGGGAGGCTCGTCCCAGTGATACCAGCAATGGTTAGATCGACGAGACGTCGGTTGAGGAGTAACGGTATGAAATCGCGTAGGCTATAGGGCTGGCAAACGAGGTTCCGCAAATTGGGGATAAGGTCGCCCTGAGGCTTGTTTAATGCGATTTCGGTGAAAACGGAGTGGGAGTATAGTTTGGTGCCTGCAAGGGGAAAGGATATGCTGTGCACACGCCAGGAGTATTTTAGAAAGACGGTCCAATCGTGGGACCAAAGAGGGCGCTCGAATGCCTGTTACCATCGGATTAGACGATCGCAACCAACATCAAAGGCATCGATGGGGACTTACATATGTTACGTCCTCTCTCTCCTTCACCAACGGAGCCAGAAGGCTCAACAAGGGATCCATCGAGTTGAGATGTTTCCAGAGAGCACTCAAAGCTTCCCTAGACCAGGTCTTCGAAACAAGCGCATTGGAGAAATTGTCGCGCCGGTCACAGTACTGAAATACGAGTCGAAGAAGTTCTTCGACGGCGAGAGCATCCATGCAGAATATTTCTTTTCCTTGGAACTGTACGCCGGCGGATCAAGGAAAACTGTTTACATAATAATTATGTTTTCACCGTCAATATATGAATTTGGAGTAAAGGTGACATTTGGAGGCTCAGCGGCATCGGACAGAACGTAGTCCCTACTTTTGTTCCACCTTTGTAGCCGGGATACGGCTTATGCGCGACCCCGCGTAGAACTGTCCAGGGCGCGGGGAGCGGGAGGGATAGCATGAAGACGAAAACAGGGAACATAGACCCTCGTGTCTTGTTCGTTATATCGTCACTTTACTTCGAAATTCCTGTAAGTAAGGGGAGGTCGCTGTGCAATATTCGGTCCTCAGTTCAGCTACCACGAAATGAAACAAACAGCCACGAGATGCACGTTGAGAATTTCGATGTCAGTCGGCGTAATTGTAGTGACCCTATATACGAATGAAGAGCATACAACGGGCTTGAGAATGTAAGAAGGGTTCAAAAGTGTGGAAATGATGCGAACACTGTGGACACAAAGGGGAGTGATTTATTGATTTATTGTCCATTCACGAAGACATAAACGTCTCCGCGCTATGAACGATGACAGCGCTGCACTGTATCTATCGTCTTCGACACCAACATTTCTATTATCTTGTCCACCATACGAGTCATGAATGTCAATCGTGTGTCCGGGCCTCTGTCTGAGTGGTCGTTCGGAGGAATCATGTTGTACATCCAGTGAAAATGTAGGCCAGAAGGTGGCTCGACATTGGTGTAGAAATACACAAGATATACAGTCAGGAGCCGTACAGAGATGTTCACTTTACTAGTCCTCACCATCCCCTACATACCTCCGGTATATAGAGGAAAAACTTGGCCATCCAGCTCCGGTTCGCATAGCGTAGACAGCTCTTTCCCAGACTTCGGCGGACTTCAAGCAGTACGAGCAACCCCGAAGAAGACGTTTGTTTCTCGTGATGATTTCTTCGAGGTCGCCATCAGGGTCTGCACTGAATTCCCTGGCGACAGCCTTGTAATAAACATGCCAATCGTCGCAGCGGGGGGCACCTCCCTTGTGCTGAGTCGCAGCAGGGGGCCTTAACAGAAGGCACAGTTTCTCATTGCGCAATCCCTCGCGCTGAATCATCTTGTTGCTTACATCAGGATCTACATCTAGAGAGAGATTAAATCTAGATCACGTACCCAGGTTAAAAGAGTCGTCTGCCAATCTGCCTGTCCTCTAATGGCGGCCTCGACGGTGGATAGAGGAAGATCAAGCGTTTTGGCAGCGGCCTCATCCATCAGGACAGATAAACCCAGTTTTTTCGCATTTACGAAGCATTCTATAGGGTGAGAGTTTAGGCATAGCCTAGACTTCCCGAGTGAGTTCGGTGTTTCCGTGGAGCACGACGGGCGCGAGCTTACTTCACAGCACGGTCCCTGAGAGCATCGTAGCCTGTATTGCTTGCATACTGGAGTACTTCATATGGGTGTTCCACGACAGAATATCTGAGACGTTGGCAAATTTGAGGAAACCCAAGAAGTAAAAGCAAGGCACGTACTCCATCTTAAGCTTGCACATGGCCATCGCGTTATACACTTTGTACTTCTCCACAGCTGTAGACAGTCTGCAAAAGGTCTCCCAAGGGAGCGAAGATATATCGGGCTGATGTCGGTGGTGAGCGAACCTGCAAAGTAAGGAGACGACTTCGGCGTCTTCCGTTAACTTGACCAGCGAGGAGGGATCCCGATCCAGAGGTAGAAGTGAAGCGCTGAAAGCTTCGACATTACGAGCATGAGCTCCATACAGGGACCCATCGTTGGCCTCCAGGACCACGTCGACTTGAAGACGGCATCTGTCAACTTCAGAGCCAAATGCAGGGGTACATGCTCAGTCAATCCAAGAATCAACGAAGAAGGGGGGCTCACCTGGGCAAGGGGGGGCCATTTCAGAAGTACCTTGGTGGAATATCTAATGTTGGTTGCGTCTAGTGTGGCGCAGTGTGGCTAGGTGCTACAGCGCTGGGAAATGTGGTGCGGCAAGTCGGCATGGGACAATAGAGTAGAGTGGGTTTGGGCGTCTACTCTCTTAACTCACTTCTGCGTTCAACTACTGAGTAATTCTACTCGAGTACTCCGCGAAGGTGCCGCGCTGAAACAAAGTGTATACTCCTTGAGCTTCGGTGCGCAGGCTAAGATCACTGCTCTGTGTTTCCTTCCACCTCCCATATAGGACGAAAAATGGTAATGTGATTGCCAGAGGGTCTCGTATCGTGTCGACGCTGCTCAAGCAGGAAGAACACCGGCTTACCATCGGAGTTTGCAATGACAGGGACGCAACGCGCGAAAGCCACTAGATTCGACCGCCGGTCTTGTTTGCCTCTTCAACGTCAAACATGGGCAGACTACGTATTTTGGCTGCTGCTTTGCCAACGAGACGAATCATTTCTAGCTCACGAAGCGCTCGTTTGGGTTCACTAGGCAGGCTGTGAGTGCATGCGCGTAGGACTACCGTAATTCAGGCAAACGGTGGCTCACTCTGAGAGGTCCATAGTCCATGGCTCCCGCGTACCGCAAAAGTGGGTGTCCTCGACAGAATACCTGTAATGCCAAGACATTTGCAGGTATTGGATGCCACGTACTCCACCTTGAGTTTGCATACCCTCATGGCACTAGATAAGGCGCTCGTCTGCGCAGTGGGGAAGTTGCAGTCATTCATTCAGTTCAACGTATAAATCCTTGGCGGTGCCTCTTCGTGAAGCGTGATGCATTGATGCTAGAGAGTATGGTTATAAACGCCGGGAGATGAAGCTCGGCATCAGCACGACGGTATCACAGATGATAGCGGCCCTTACCACGAACTTGGGGGCATCCATCCGGCTACGGTGCCTTCACGCGACAACGAAGTTCCTAGCTTTCCTACCAGAAATGTAGGCGTCGATCTGTATGAGTGCAACCAGTTGGAGAAGCTACCGCTGCTCGGGATCTTTAACTCGCGGAAGTTCACCGCGCTCCCACCGCAATGGTGGCCTTCGACAAGAAACGGCTCCGATGTGCATTTTCGAGCAATATGGGTCCCGCCTCGAGCTCTTATAGTCACTGTTTTCCCTCCGTCTGGCCATTTTCGCATAGGAGTCCTAAAACACCAAACAAGTGCTTCCCAGTCACCCTAATCACTTTGGAATAGTTAGCCGTTAGACTTGGGATGGGTGCTTGGAAAGCCCTGGAAAGCCACGATTGGGTGGCGAAGCTGAAGCACGATCAGCCAGCGGTGGAGGTATAGATACCTCCAGGATCTGACCTCAATTCCTCATTCGAATTTCTTCGTCTTCGTCTTCTCGTCCGCATCCGCATCCTCGCAAACATCGGCGTGATTACTGGCGAGTTCCGCTTCCAGTGCTCGCCTATAGTCATCCTTATTGGAGGTGGATCCAAACGGCGAGTCCTTTCGAGCACATTCTTCGATGACAGACATGCTCATTCCCTTTGGTAGTTCCAGCCAGACAGTCTGCTGCAAGGATGCTAACTTCAGCAAGCCCGAATCATTTGTCCGTGTTATGAGGAATAGCATGCTGACCTGACGCTTCGCTTTCCCTTTAGACGGTCTGATCAACATCGGACTCTAAATAGCCTCTTGTGACAAGGGCATCGCCGCCCTTATATGAATGTGTCGGAAGGATGTTGGAAAATACTTGACTGTTATTGCAACGCACAACGAACAACGAATAATCGTTTTCTCTATGACCGTGATGAGATCCGAAAACCATGTTGCGTCGAATGCCTTTCCATTAAAGTGTGGTCCCCGGGGGCGTCAACGTTAGGCTATGTGCATCCATCGTCGGGACGGTGAGGATGGGATTAACCTAACGTGTTGATAACGCCCTTTTCACTGTGCCAGCGAAGCATTGCCGTCGTCGCTCATGAAGACAAGTTCCAGTAGGTGTTGTCCGGTAGGTGTCTAGTTGTGCGAGTTGCTGCAGGATAGAGGTCCTTTCTTTTTTTAAGTTTTCTGCCTTGAAGCAGTGGCGAGGAATTCGCGCCACAGCATTGGTCGGCAAACACTGTGAATATTGAAGCGCCGGAAAAGAGAGAAGACGAACGACAAACGCCTCACTGCTGGCTAAGGGGGGAGTAGTGGCACAGCGAATACATTGAACGATGGGATCATTCTCGTTGAACACGGTAAGACTCGCATTCTTGCGTAGGTTGAGATTGGGGATTGCAGGGCATTATATGGTCGTTTTCCGGCGCCTGTTCAAAAGTTACATGGAAACGCTGATGAGGGCCAGAACGGCATTACCAGGGGAGGGGGGTAGAATTGAGTAGAAGGGATTCGTGGGTGTCGTTGGGAGAATACTGAACTAGCAGCGACGTGCGGATGATTTCCTCTCTTGGGCGCTCTTCGTCGGGAGTTGGGTGGCGAAGGTTCATGGAGGTCGTATAAGCGCACGGTGTTAATATCCGACGAGATGAGAACGTAGTACGCTGGAAGGCCCCAGGAGAGCTACAATAGGCTAGATAGATATGTCAGCTAGATTCTGACATGGGAAAGTTCTACACTAAAGGCAAGATCTCTTCGATCTTTTCATTACGGTATCTCTAACTGAGTAAAACAGTAAGTCTCCTGTAAGCGCAGGGTATATAAGTGCCATTCAGTTCGAATACCCGAGCGCACACACGTTCTTGCTTTCATCCCATTCTTCGGACCACATCCCTGCGCTTGGGAAGAACAACGCGTGGATCACTGAGGCTGGCTATGTCTTCGAACTGAAAATAGTAGGAAGCCGCACAACCAGGATACCACTTACCTCCAAGAATCGAAATGAAATAACGCGGCGCGGCGCGGCGCATGCGCTCTTGCCTCCAAGTTGTTCTCGGTGTGATACTGACGAAGCAAAGAGGGTCTGGGCGAGCTAATTCGACGCTGCACACATCACCTCAAATGCTGCACTCTCTGGAATCTTTCGGCGTACAAGGAACTTACGGGGAGATGCCAACGCCGTCGAAATGGCCCGACTTCTCGTTCGGGGCCTTTTTTACACTTAGCATCATGAACCTTGTCTTTGCAGGTGTCACAGCTTCGCAAGCGTCGAGCTTGTAAACAGATCCGTCGCATGCGTACTCTCTTGCTTGTCGCTGGAAGAAGGGATTCAGACGTCCGAAGCTCGTATATGGATGCCAAAAGCAGATTGCCAGAGCACTGGGAGCTCAGTATCGACACCCGTATCTGATAGCCAAACTGTACTCAACGTACGTTAGCGGAAACAGCTGACCTGCTGCTGGAGCTTACCTTCGTTGTAGTCCCCAGTTCTATAGCATCAGCGCATCCATATGACCATGTATCCTATCGAGGAAACAGCGTCGAGACAGGAACCAGTGGCCCAGGATACTAATGAGGCGAGACCACCTAGATGCTGCATGCTATAATGCTGAAGTGTAGGCTCACTTCTCAAATTCACAGGAGTTTGTGAAGAAATTGCAATGCTGGTGGAGTTGAGGTACAGCGACAGGGTTGGAATTCGACTAAGCGCCGCCCGCGAGGCCCAACGCAGCTCTTGACACATCCCAACACATGCGTGAAAGGCAAACGCATCTTCCTTCTTCACTTCTCCCTTTACACGACTGTGGGCAACTTCGGATACCACTCCCATGGGGTCAACAGTCTCTAAAACGGAGGTTACGACGACCAGTAATGACAAAGGGCCCGCAAACGACAAAGTGGAAACCGATGGAAAACTCACGGTTGCTCAGGACATTGCGGGAATCGTCCTTGCTACTCTGCAGCAGGCTGCTGAACTTGCGCCTGTACCTTATCTGAAAGAGGCCGCTGGGCTGGCCGTCGCTTTGTTTGACATGGTGCAGGTAACGCCTGTCCTTTATTTTGCTCGTCTGTGGCACAAACGGGTTTCACCTCGCATTTGTAGAGTACATCGGACAACAAGTCGGCGTTCAAGGCACTGGCGAATGATGCTTGCGAGCTAGTCTATACTGCAACAAGCGTTTGGAAGGACCGCGAAGAGGACAACAATGGGAAGACACTTCCTCAAGATTTGATGGATCACCTCAAAGAGTTGCTCGAGTGAGTACCTTGACTTGTGTTCCATGATTTATCGGATTCTGTGGATGACCAGTTACCAGGACGATGACCGATGTCATGGATTTTGCGAAAGCCCGCGCATCGAGAGGCCTTTTTGCGCGATTTATCTCTCATAAGGCAGATGCTGGGCGGATCCAAGGGTTTAGGGCGCAACTCAAGGATGCCTTGGATCGGTTTGGAGTATGTGTTGAATGTTCAACATCATTGAAAACTGCTTAACGCACTTTTGATCCTAGATGCAGTCGCATATCACCGTTCGAGATGCCGTTTCTCGTATTCAAGAGCAGCAAGCTGCCATTCTTACTGCACTCGAGGCGCACGCTCCTAGCAAGTCCCAACCGAGTGCGATAACAGAAGACTCTCTTGCGACATCAAACCCAAGCTCCACTCCTTCGACCCCTGGTACACCATCTTTTCCTCATCCCACGCACGCCTTCACGTCGTTTGGCAACATAGTGAACAACGGGGAGGGGACGTTCAACTCGGTCAACGGTAACTATGTCATAAATAACTCAACCACTAATACTTCCTCAAAGAATTCTGGGAACGTCATGAACATATCTACCGTCAACTCGAACAACCGATACGATGCCGGTGGCATGGGAAGGACGAACGGAAATGCTCGTAGTATGGGGATGGGATCCGGCCCAGGGAGGCCGCCTGTAGCAGGCAGGAGGAAGACGGAACATCAACCCGGACAGAGAGGGAGGAGGCGTGGTAAGGCTGCGACGCCGTGATCCCCCCCCCCCTTGATTTCATGAACCAACGATGGCTTACCCATTCATTTCCTGGGAGACCCTTCTCACTATCCTGTAAACCATCCTGGGATGAGAGAACTATGGTTTCCATGTAATGTGAGTCTCCCGTCACCCTATTCTTATTCTTATGTAGTTATGCACATTGTCACGCTAAGATTTCGCGTCTCGAAGGCTTGGACTTCCAGATCCCTGATATTTATTAAACTCCATAGTCCTCGCACCGAGATCCCACATGACATGTGCTTCTACACGGGGTTCATTTTAGGAATATCTCGTCATTTCCGCGCTATTTACCTCTCCTCGTTGCACACTTTCGGTACACGCCTTGTATTCTGGTATCCGTAGACTCTCCAGCATCTTCTTTGTTAACTTCCCCTCTTCGCTATGCCTCTTTGCTCTCCCTTTCCCCTTACTTTCCTTTCCATTTCTCTTCCACCCTACCCGATATATTACCGGGAGCGCATTCTGGACACGACGAACGAACGGATGTCGCTCTCAAGTCTCCAGGCGCTTCCATCACCGCAAGAATCAACTCGTGCTACCCATATGCTCATGCTTCGGATGGGCAATATCTGCGCGGTACTCGGTCCTTGCGGTAACGGCAGGAACACCACCCCTTTCAGAGTCATCCAGGCTGTTTGTTTTGCCTTTATAGAGTGCACTGGCGGCAGCCCTTCCCATTTAGTAAACAATCGGTTACTCAACACGCCGCCCATTTTAATGTCGCCAGTGGTCTACTCATCCCTGCCTGTGGTGAGTGCGCGTTCCTTGATTCACCTGTTCAGCCAGCTTACTTCGCGTCAACATGCCTTGTTTCCGGTGCATCTGTAGTTTTGCCTTGCCCATCCACGTCCGATGTTGGACCCTGTTTCACTCTGTTTCCTCGCCAAGTTAGCACGTAAATGGTGGGTCCAGTTTTCATATTGCATGCCACTAATCGACTTTCGGACCGTCCGAACCCCGAGAGAAGCTGTCTTGAATCTTAACTCTTCACCCGACAATGAAAGGCAGAGCGCGAGCCTCTGCTGATTTGGTTGCTCGAAACGGGCGAGTCCCCATCGCGATCGAATGTATGACTCGAATATTATCACTATACATTGCAGAGATTAAGCGCGTGAATTCGATTTCTACATGACGCAGAAGAGTGTGAACAAGGAACGCTTCGCGGAGGCGACCAAGAGCAATATATCAATCCGTAAGTGGCGTAATCTCGCTCGTTTTCCAGCCCTTCGGCCCTTGGCAGCATAATATCACAAGGAAGTAAGTGTTCATGTTCATCGAGACCGCCGACTCTCTAACAATTGAATTTCCTTGGAAAATGCTAACGAAACCCTGTTAACACTGGCTTACCATCTCAGGATATAAAGTTGCTCCTCTGATCTATATATATCTATTCGACGTTTAAACGCCAAAAGACCTCCGCCGAGCGCCCTCACACAGCCCTTTGCCCATGTACCTGCAATATGCTTTACAGCACTTATCGTTACACATATTGGACTATCTTCGTTGATCACCCTTGTTAGCATCTCAAACACGGGCAGCGCATCGGAAGGCTGGCGACGGTGACATGACGTCTTCAAGTCTAGAATCGATTCAAGGGAAATTGCGCGAAGTTGCTCGATCAGCCCTCGCCTTGGATAACAAGGCAAAGGTAGAGTCTAAGCATCTTCAATGTCCTTGTGTATTGATCGAATTGTCCGATAGGAAACCACAAAGGACGGATCCCCCTTGAGACAGTTCGCAAATGATGCCTGTCGATTTGTTTACGCTGTCGTGACAGTAGCAAAAGTCCATCAAGACGCGAGATGTACCGTCCCCGGATACATCTTCGGCTTTCTTGAAGAGATATCAAAGTGAGCTTTTGAGGGTGTCCGTTGGATACCTTCCCTCAGTCGTTTCCTCATCTCGTGGCATATAGGACTATCAACATTGCAAAGCTGTTCGCCAGCCGCCATGTCTTCTCTCGATGGTTGCTTTGCTGGCAGAACAAAAGCACTATTGCGACCTACACAGCTCAGCTCCAGAATGCTTTAAACCGTCATGGAGTATGTCCCTTGCGCTACTGAGAAAGCACCATTTTTACCATTCGTCATAACCTAGGGACCAAGAAATAACATGGCTAATGCCATCAACGACATCGTTGACGACGATGGTGCTATTCGTGATGCGCTTGGAGAATATCTTTCCCCGGCAGGCATTGCGCCCTCCAGTCCGGCTGCTCCTGTTCCTTCCGCCGACTTCATCGGTAACGGCTCGATGTCAATCCGGCACCTTGACGGCGATTGGATCGTCAACAACTGTACTATCAACAGGCGCACCGAGAATTCCGGGAACATCACGAACATCCGGGTGGCAAATTCGAACAATACCTGGTCGCGTCCTGGAGATAGACAGAGGAGATACCGTGCGCAAGGTGGAGGGGGAGGAAGTCGCGCATAAGGTAGTATCGTTATTGCGTTGTCGGAAATGTCAATGGCGGAGCCAACATTATCAACTTGTGGGGACCGGCGCCCTTGGACTTGCTCCAATGTGTTTATGTACGCATTATCGACCCCGCCCGCCCTAGTCCTATTTCGCGTAGAACCATCAGTAAATATGGTTGAAGGACATTCTGCGCCCACATATTGTCGGTGTTAAGTATGTACCTACGTAAACGGCTGGCTGGGCGTAGTCATTCCTAATGACTTGGCTGGGATTCTCTCCACTTTCAACCCTAGAGCACTGAGAAACGGTCCCAGCATGTATCTCTGGGAGGTGTGGGCGTCTCTTCCGGGTAGGGGATGTAGTGAATCTGCCAATGCTCGTCAAGAGCGTCTTTGACTACTTTCCGGCGTAGGCGTTCTCTTCCCTCTTCCATTTCCGTGGAAGATTGCTGAACTCCGAGCGAGCAAGCATTTCTGACCCTTTGTCGCCTAATTATAGTACATGTCAATGAGTACGGGTTTACACCTTAGGCCTGAGGGATCACAAATAAGCAGCTCTTCGATCACTTCGACCCTTCGGGTGTTAAATGGTTAGCCGTTAGACTTGAGCTGGGTACTTGGAATACCGTGATTTGGCGATGAGGCTGAAATGTTATTCAGCAAGCTAAGCGAGGAAAAAGCATATAAGTACCTCACCGTCAATCCCAATTCTTCATTCGAGTAATTTCGCCTTACATTCATCTCAACAAGCAGATCACCCACACTCTCTTGACCAACCTCATACCACTCCTTCAACGATGTTCGCTCAATCCATCTTCGTCGCTGCTATCGCTGCCGTCGCAACTGCCTCGCCGCTTGCAGCCCGCACCGACTACAAGTGCAACACTGGCCCCGTCCAGTGCTGCAACACCATGAAGTCCCACGAGTCGTCCGAGGGCAACATTGTCGCTTCCTTGCTGAAGCTTGATATCGGTGGAATCACAGGCGAGCTTGGCTTGCAATGCTCGCCTGTTGCCAACCTCATCGGAGGTGGACCCAAGTGGTGAGTTTATCTGAAAGCGACCTTCGAGATCGACGTGTTATTAATGTTTGTTCCTTTCCCAGCTCCGGGCAGACAGTTTGCTGCGAGAACACTAAATTCAGTAAGTTCCGTTGGTGGAGATTGTAACGACCCACTAACTCCTCTCTTTCTAGACGGCCTTGTTAACATCGGCTGCACACCTATCAATATCGGCCTCTAATCGGCCACTTATCGCAAGGGTATCCCTCTCTTGGATGAATGGTTTGGAATGGTGGCCGTCGGGGATTCGTATTATATTCGTATTGCGCAACAAGTAATCAATCAATAATATCGTTTTCATTTGGCACCGCCTGAATAGATGGCCTTACTATGCATAATTGTTTACTGCCGTACTGTTAGGCTCCACGAGTGCTCGAATATCCCGGGGCACGGGTCTATGTCTCCTTTCGTCATCGAGAAACAATGTTATGCTGGTAGAAATCCACTCGCCCGTGAAAATGTGAACGTTGAAGCGCCGAGGAACGGAACTAATGTAAGAGGGCTCACTGTTTGTCGAAAAAGGCAAAGCGAGAGCACCTGGCCACGGGCGCAGTGAGTAAAGGATGGTCAGACTTGAAGCCTCCCTCGCGGTCGGGGTCGGGGTCGGGTTCGGGAATGCGAAGTTGCCATAGGATCGATTACTAGCGCTTGTGAGGTTTTCAACTTTTTCGTAGCGGTGAGGGCTGGTAGCGGCCGTGAGGAAACTGTAGGTTTTAGAGAAGAAGGTTCGTGGGAGCCAGTTGGGAGGATAGTGAGTTAGGGATAGGTCGTGAATCATGTCCTATGAAAATCAAGGAGCCGCGTAATTGGCACCGGGCGGTTCCGTTTTGATGTCCAATGGTCAATTCGGGGGCATGAGAATGTAACAGGCTCTGATGGCTCAGAGAGCTACAATAGGTTAGATGGGTATGTCAGCGTGAGTGTGACATGGGAGAGTGCGACAATCATAACTTCAACATATAGGTTCAATGTGGTCTTTCTGCGTGACAGTATCTGACGTCGAGTCGAACATGCTCAAATGAGGACAAAGCCCATAGGTTGTGTATATCCTATTTGGCCTGATTACCTGAGTGCGTGCGCACGTTCTTACCTCCCTCCCGTTCGTCCATTCCACTTTGCAAAGCCTGGTCAGAGGATAGGATGTACCTCCGTTGGCGGGTCGATCGCGGAGATAGCCTCCCGTTCCTGCACTGCCCACTGCCCAGATAAGAAAGATGCCACATTGGTAAGTACAAGCGATGGAATTACTTACCTCCAAGAATCGGCGAAAGGCAGCGGTTTGCGGCGCAACGTACCAGGCTGTCTGCCTTACCAATTTCCCGACATGCAACGATGAATTCCTCGCAGATCATGCCGTCTACCAGTAACAGGGTACAGCAGTGATCATCAACGACCGGCCATCTCCTCAATGAAAGCCCAAAAGGATCAACCGCGCTTTTGACATCTCCATAATGGGATTGACTATGTTCGCTCTTTGCTGAACTGAAAGCGTTCGAACACAACTCATACATCGAGCCGCTGAAACGATGCTCAAGATCAGAAATATTGTCTGGGAACATAGTAAGCGTGAGCGATGCCTACGAGAGAAATTCGATCTGACCAACCGATGAACCTATGTCCAGTCAAGCCTCCGAGTCTTATCTGCGATTTTCCTGATGAGTCCACACCGTCCCAGCAGCTATCTTGCATCTAGCGTTGGGTTATTTGCTTGAAACGCGATATTCCATAGTGGCTTGGTTCGGAGACCAGGAGGAATCAAGCATGACTGAGTCAAAGAGAAGGCCCGGAGTCGCCCATAGCAGCTGCACAGTCAACCACGTCCGATTGAACACAACACTCCCTTCACAAGCTCTCCACGGGACTGTTATAGGCTAAAACCTGTGCCGGCGCCTACTTTGTGGACACCTTGGTGGCACCACCACCGGCCCACATGGCCACTTTAATTCTCTCATATACTTTGCCTTGCGGCTCCACTCATCCAATACGTGAAACCCGCCACAGGACCTTCCATGGGGTCTCCTCACTTGAACACGCGGTCATCGAAAAGCCTCGACGAAGAAAACAGGAAGAAAGCTGCCAGGCGAGCTAACTACAAAGATGCGGCTCAGGACATCGCAGGCATTGTATTATCGACGTTGGAGCAGGCAGCGGCATTCGCACCCGTTCCATACTTGCAGCAAGCGGCTGGATTGGCGATTGGGTTGGTTGACATGGTTCAGGTGAGTTTCAGTTGGATTAATATCCTTTCACCGATGACTGAGTGCAACAGAGTACATCAGACAATAAAGCAGCGTTCACATCTTTGGCCACTGACGCCTGTGGTCTTGTCTACACTGCAACAAATGTTTGGAAGGACCGAGACGAGAATAGAGATGGCACGAAAATTCCCCAAGACCTCGTGAATCATCTCGAAGAAGTGCTCAGGTGAGTCTTGAAGCTAGCGCTACATGATCTTAATTTTGCCTAATTTTGATGAGGTCAGAACCATGGAAGACATAATGCATTTCGCAGAAATGCGTGCGGCGCGAGGCTTCCTTGCGCGATTTTTGTCACATAAAGCTGACGCTGATGGAATTCGAGGGTATAGGGTTCGGCTGAAGGATGCTTTGGACCGATTCGGGGTGCGTATTGAGCTCCGTTGTGGAGGACGACTCGTCTTGTTGACTTTTGAGGCCAGATGCAGTCGCACATTACCGTCAGAGATGCTGTTGCTCGCATTCAAGACCAGCAAGACGCTATTCTCGATGCACTCAAGGATCATACCTCGACGACAGAGGTAGACACTAACGATTCTCCACACGCGACGTCAGAGGAGAGGTCCCCTTCATCAAAGGTGGCATCAGATCGCCGAGTCGCTCTTCCTGCTTCTCCCGCTCCTCGTCCCTCTCCACACACGTTTTCCAGCTTTACGGCTTTCGCAAACATCACCAACAATGGCTCAGGAATATTTAACTCCGTGAACGGAGACTACGTCATTCACAACTCAACGGCGAACAATTCTTCCGTTAACTCAGGGAATGTCCTGAATGTCTCTACAGCGAATTCGAATAATGTGTACGATACCGGTCGAAACGGGTGGCCGAGCAGACTCGGACGTAATCGAAAGGGGATAGGGGACGATGTGGGCATAACAAAGACCCGGGCGATTCCTGTCCAAAATTCCGGAAGAAGGGGTCGAGGGCGTGTTGCTAGTTCTGTTCTGACTTAATGTCTGTGACTTCCCCCTCCGTCTCGATAGTGCTGATGAACATATCGACCTCTCAGCCACACCTTGACGACCAGTCGTAGGTCCGCGGAAGGTATTTTACCCACAATATCTTGGGCTCTACCATAGCATAGCAAGTCCCTTCTTTCGTCGAGGTCGAGTCGGACTGATCATCCTGAGAACGAGGGAGGACACCGCACTTCTGTGTGGGTCGCATGATCTATGCGTGTTGCCTCATTTCTGACGCTCGATATAGTTTTAAGTGAACGTTGCATGAATGTGTATTTTACCAGCTTGAAGCAGCCTTTGAATCGCCGCCCTCGCACATTCATATAACCCGTGACAGTCTATTTCCATTGACACTCTTCCAGCCCGTTCAGCACCCACGCGTGAGAGCTGTTTAGATGACCTCCCTCGAACTACAGGTTTCTCACATAGCCCGTGGCACAAGTGAGCTACGTCGTACATTGGCGCCTCGCTTTGACGATAACGCAACGTGTCTAATTGGTTTTGGTTTCTCCCCTCTTAACTTCCCATCTTCCCCTTCTTACGTTATTTTCCATTTTATTTCTACGCTGACGGCTCTTTGATAACAGGACATCATACCTTGAACGCTGCGAACGATATCCATTCATTTTTTTGGCATATTCTGTGAAAACAGAATCACTCGTGACGTGCCTCCCATTTCTCCGCTGCAGCACCGCAAGTGCACATTCCATCACTGCTAATTTGATTCTGCCTCATGCTGGCAACCCCCCATATCGTTGAAGATTCTATTGGGCCATCATGAAGACCCGTGTATATAACTATCGGCATGTAGATGCTCGCCAGTCCCCCATTTCTCTGGACGGTATGCTATTTTTCTTTGATATCACCCACGAAGTGTGCTTACCTTTCATCCAGACTTTACTTTCGGTGTCTCCGGCTGTTGACTGGATTCCCCACCGAGTTATCAGATAAATGAGGGAATGTGAATTCGCGTCGTATGCGACCAACTCACTCTTGAAGCAGCAGAACTCAACTGGAAGCTGGCCTGCGCTCTGAAAAGCCGCCACTTCTACTCGACATTAGCTATCAGCTCTGCACCTGGCCATGGTTGACGTCGTAATCAATGTCGTTTCGATCTCGAGTATTCTCGTCTACATCGCGAGATAGTGTCCGTTGTCCATGAGAACCATGCCTTGAAGATTGCATGACCTGCATTCCTCTAGGACGTGGCGAGGGAGGCCTTACGCAATTGCCCAAGAGCTCTCCCAATGGTATGTGTTGTCTGCCGCCACGGCTTCGCACGATGCTGATATTATAAAACAGGTTGAATTCGTATCCACGATTCTAGCGCATCTACTGTAACACGTCCTGTGTCGGACAGCGTACTCATCCTACGATCATACATCTTATAGATTGACGATAGCCCAGCAATCTTTCCCCAATGGTACGGCAAGTACCATCATTGCCACTTTGGTGCCCAACCTGATCAAGGAGAGGCGCTGATGTAACGTGTGGAATGCCTTTCACACAGCCATCTCAGGTTCTATCTCAACCCTATGCCCACATCGTTCCTTCTCTGAAGTAGGCCTGGGACACTCGCGCGCTAAGGTGACTAGGAGAAGTGAAGCTTCACAGTAAATTCCTTATTACATTCACATACGCGATGACAGTGACATTGGGGACCTCCCTCACCGCTCCGAGTTCCATGGCTACAACGTTGAGGGTTACCATCCCCTGCATGTTCAGCCCGCCCGAAATCAAACATCCCAAGTACTTACTCCTATTGTTTCGTCCATATAATGCGCCTTTAATATCGCCCAAACCACATGCTAGGCGCCGGTATGCCAATCAAACGCAATGCAGTATGTACCGCCTTTCTTCCAGTACTTAAGGCATCCTCTGTCCCAAACTCCCAGTAACAGCTTTCAACGGAGACATCAGACCCATGGGATCAGCACGCTCGAAGAACGGTGCCATCACTGAAGAGGACAAGAAAGCGCTCAGGCGGGAGAACTACAAGGCGTCGACTGCAAGTAGCGACAGAAACTCGCGTCAAGCTCGCGCTGAGGACGTGCTCTCGACGCTAGAGCAAGCCGCCCTCCTCGCGCGTGTACCCAACATGCAGGAAGCTGCTTCTCTGGCCCTCTCTTTACTCGATAGTGATTCCCGTGAGTGAAGCTCCAACGTCGAGAGGTTATGATTCACCTAATCTAAAATCTACTAGAGTCTCCGTGAAAACAAGTCAGCTTTCAAATCGTTGGCAACGGACGCTTGCGATCTTGTGTACGCAGCGATGAATAGCTTGAAAAATCGTGTGAATAAGGGGCGTGCGCTCTCTGGCTCCCAAGAGATGAAAAATTCTCTAAGGTTGATCCAGTGAGTGCTAGCACCCTTAATCATTCCCCTCTCAATATTAATTTTGTCAATATCAGGACGATCAAGAAAGCGAACGACTTTGCCTTGGGCCAAGCATCGCGAGGCGTTGTTTCGAATTTTGTATCACGCAGAAGAGACGCGAAGATAGTACAAAAATATAGAGAAGAGTTGAATAGGTATTCGGGTCTGTTCGGGGTAAGTATTCAAATCATTATGAAGGCGGCCTCAACTTGAAACGTCAGCCCCACAGCTACAGTCGCACATCACCATCAGAGAGGCTGTCTCCCGCATACAGGGCCAATCGGATGCCATCCTAGAAGTACTGACAACGCTTGGGACGCCCCCCTCTAACGAAGCCCTATCCAACATGTCATCCTTGATTACGGCTTTCGGTAGCATAGTGAACGACGGTCAAGGGACATTCAACTCGATCGACGGTAACTCCAGCGACTAATATTGATATATACGAGGAAGGAATGTAGTCCAGCTTACAACCTGATATGCATCTGGTGGAAGACTTCTAAGCAACACAAATGCTTCAACGATAAGGATGAGGCGCGCGAGAAAATACATGCACAGTCCTGTCGGCGTAAGAATCCTGAAAACGTACGGTGCGTAATCTCCGTACCCTTTTCGGACCCCAAACATAAGTCCAGCTACGAGCAAGAACCAAATTATGGGAATAACAGTGACCAAGACGGACGAAGCTCTCCATAGTAGGCCCTCCGCTGCAGTGGGAAAGGTGGAGTGCCAAGCAAGGCAGTGGATAGCACCAAATACGCTACTTGATGCACCGCATAGTGCGAGTGAGATAGCATGAGGAAAACCCGCCGCCGTAGCATCTTCCAGCGCGAGACCCGAATATAACGAGGGGGGATGTTCGGGTGGATAGCCACCCAAGTACAGGAGAATATCACGAATAGGCAACTCCATATGATATCAATAGTTGGCCAGTCATTCACCGACTCGGTGGTGGATTGGGTTGCATCTGCAGCAAACGAGGACAGCGGCGACATTCGTAATTTGTGAGGAAATGGAGTGGGCACCGTGTGTCATATCAGTCCAGTCTGCCCGGCTGTTGACGAGGCTGTGAGCTGATGTCAAATGATAGATGAGTTGAAATAAAGTTGACCGTCGTTGTGGATATCTGATGATAATTATATGAGAAGCGATAAAACGGTAAGTATATGAACTTTTCTGTTCATCATGGGCGAACGATCGATATCAAATTTTTGAAACTTGAGCCATTGCTACCACTCCGGAGCGACTGCTGCTACGATGTCTGTGGCGAATCGCCTTGTGTGAGAATTCGCATGTCTTAAACAATGATTGTGGCCTAAGGCCCTCGCGCCTCCCATATTGCGTATGAACGCACGGGCGAGTATGAATAAGGACTCCGCAGACATGGCGGTATTCCATCGGGGTGAGGCCCCGTCTGGTCCTCAAAAATGCCAGACATTGGTACAAGCGGTATCAATCGATAGCCACCGGGATTGAGAAATGTTGAGGTTGGTGGCCTTGGTTCAAGAAAAAAGACTCAGAAGGCTCTGGGTGGGGCGCATTATCGTCGAAAGTTGACGCGACCCGAGTCCATCATTAGGTTGACGATCGACCGATAATACGTTCTCCCAAGGGACGTTGAGATGTTAACCAAGATGCAATTTGCTTCACAAGGGGGCATGCCAATCATGATGGTACAGGGTTTCTAACAAACCGAGCCGCCGGGCCGTTGCGTTTCATCACCCCGAGGTTCGCTGCGGGTAAGGAATATCTTTAGGCGGACACACTACGACTGCATACAATGCCACTCACCGGGCACCCTTTGCCATGACTTTGATCGCTTACTAGCTTTCAACGCCAGGTTGCGGTCCACGAATTTCCGAACCTTCGCAGAAGGTATTGTCCTCGATGTGTCTGGGACGGTAGTGGTCGCGGAGAGCGTACGAATGACGCGGGATCTACCAGTAACGAGTTAGGTCAACTGCTGGGCGGAACCCGGGGCTCAGGAAACATACCCGACAATGAGGTCCTTCGCCTTTCTTTTAGCAGCGGTCTTGCGCTTTCGTCGGTCCTCGGAAGGTTTAGAAGTGAAAGAAGTGGACGACGTGGACGTGGAAGGGAGGGACTGAGAAAATGCAGACTTAAACAAGTGGTCTGGTAGACGTTTGGGAATCGATGATAAAGCAGGCTCGTCACCATCGTCCTCAGCATCGAGAGAGCTGCGTAACTGATTTCGATCGACTATATCTTCGGCGTTGTCGCCATTCTGTACCTCTTCCTCGGCCTGAGCCTTCCGCTGCTTTAACTCTCGAACGGTGACCTCGTCTCCTTCCTCATCGTCTCCCGCTCGTCCTGAATCCGCAATCTCGCCGCGAGTTGCCTCCGCTCTCTCCTTCAATTTCCGATCCCTCTCCCGATTCTTCTCTTTTTTCTTCGATTTCACGGAGGCATTGGCCGCGGCGAGACGTGCTGTTTGCTGTTTCGATATTGATTTCGAGGTCGAGAGGGTGAAGGATTCGGGAGCTTCGTCATCCGACGACGAGTCCAAAGAGACGGGTTTTGAGAGAGTCTTGGAAGCCATTCAGGTCGGTAGCGCGAAGAAATTAAGTTACAGTAAGTTACAGGTTTCAATCGTTCACAAGGGAAACCTCCCACGGTCAATAATTGTGGCGCTTCAAGGCTTTCATGAGCCAGGCTCCTAGAACCAGAGCGACTCGTATCGCTCGAATGAGCTCATTCGGTTTGTAATACGACTACACGTGGGAAAAGACAAACAAGGACAAAGAGTAGCTAAGAGCTCAAACTCGCGATAGAGCGGCTGGCAAGACTGTCATAGACGCTGGAGTTAGTCGGTGACAGGGTGGTCACAAAGGGTTTTGATTGATTTGCAGATAAGTAGTAGATGGGAATGACCTAACTAATTGGGATAGTGATCGGGCTCAACAAGGCTATAGATTACTAAGAGTACGTGGTAAGTATGGAATGCTTAGTTTAACGGTATCGCGTCACGAGGTGAAGTATTTTGCACCGCTGAGGTCGCGAGTTCGATTTTCGAAGAGGTCACTTTTTGTTGTGCGCTTTTTTAAGTGTCTCTGCGCATCTCATTAATGAATTTAGCTTGCCAATGGCTGACCTTCAGTTAGTGTGTGTATGTCTGAGTCAGGATCTTTCAAAAACGGTCAGAGCAAAAAGTGACCTCTTCGAAAATCGAACTCGCGACCTCAGCGGTGCAAAATACTTCACCTCGTGACGCGATACCGTTACACTAAGCATTCCATACTTACCACGTACTCTTAGTAATCTATAGCCTTGTTGAGCCCGATCACTATCCCAATTAGTTAGGTCATTCCCATCTACTACTTATCTGTAAATCAATCAAAACCCTTTGTGACCACCCTGTCACCGACTAACTCCAGCGTCTATGACAGTCTTGCCAGCCGCTCTATCGCGAGTTTGAGCTCTTAGCTACTCTTTGTCCTTGTTTGTCTTTTCCCACGTGTAGTCGTATTAAAAACCGAATGAGCTCATTCGAGCGATACGAGTCGCTCTGGTTCTAGGAGCCTGGTTGTGGAGTGATTTATTTTTGGCCTGATCATGGAAGCAGATGCCGCGTGCCTGACGCAGATAAGATTAGATAACAGACCACATCAAAGCGTGTACGTTGACCCTTTCCACAACGTTTTTCTTCTTTTTTCTTCCCATTGACCACAACGAGGGCGGGGCCCATCTGAAATGGACGTTTAAATGAGGCCTTCTTGGTCCTCATCCGTATAATTCTGCGTCCGCCATGGAATCAAACGAAGAACGACAACAAGCAGAGATTACAGCTCTCAAAGCCATATATAGCACTGATTTCACCCAACCACCACCACCGACGGCATGGAAGGTATGTGTGATTTGCTGCAGAGACGGGCAGGTCACTGAACTTAGTGCAGGCGGCGACGCGACTGCCCGAGTTCATTATCAAAGTCTCCCACCCAAGCTGCCCATCGAAAGTGAACTTCCAACTTAATGTAAAGTACGTGTATACTGGTGTATTTTACTGGACGCGCTTAACATTTTCTAGGCTACCACGAACATATCCTGCAGTCGCATCACCGACGCTAGCGATCCAAAAGCCCGTCCATGGCTTGACACACGAGCAGGTCACCAAGCTCACTCAAGCGCTTCACGAAGAAATGCAGAAGCACCGAGGGCTGGAAATGATCATGGAACTCGTCACATTTGCTCAAGACTGGCTCGAAACGTACGCAACGCCTCCTGCAGAAGTCGTTGGCTCGCTCGCGACGCAGATGAACAAACGCGCGATGGACGAAGAACGAGTGAGTGCTTCCACCCCTCAGCCCTCTCATTTTGGCAATTTCTTCGATGAACTGCATCCCCCATCTCATCCATCATTGTGGGAACCGGGTCGAGGATGTGGGAGGTAGTGAGGCGTTTCCCCTTCGCCGTGGTAACTTGGGCTCAATTGAAAAGCTTGTCGTAATTTCCGCATCCATGTGATGCCCTCGTTTCGACTCCCCTATACCCCAAGCCCTGATACGTCCAACGTTCGTCGCTAACCTTGTGCATCGTGTATCTAGGAACGCCAGAAACGGGTAGAACGAGAGGCTGAAGCTGAACGCGCACGCGCAGCCCAGCTCGCGGAGGCCCTCAACGAGCAGATCCGAGTAGACGCGCAGAAGCACCAGCAAGCGAAGGAGCAGCAGATGCAGTCAAGGAAGAGGGCGAACTCTGAGACGACGGAAGTGCCCATTCCAGGAGAGACGCCTACGGAGACGTTCAATTCGGAGATATCATTCAAAGGCGTGGTATTCAACTCGGTTAAGATTTTTCATCCGAAGAATGGTGAGTACGCGTTTTATCTCTCCAGGCCTAAATCGTTGACGAGGAAGGGCAGAGGGTCTTGGGACGGCATATCTCGCTGACCCTGTGTGCGACGATATCAATGTTACCCTTCCCCTCGAAGTTCTTGTGTACACCTTCGAGTCCAGTTATTATTCTTCCAATCAAGGTAAGATTCCCTACGTGCCCTTCATCGGCTTCTGATCTGCCCCCCTAGGCAAGCGCAAGCTCAAGCAAGTAGAGAGCGACATCCGTAGACTATCAGCCATCCGCCACCCTAACTTATTGAGCGTACTCGCCGTCAAGCTCCATCTTTCGCACTCCCAGGGGCCGTCGCAGTTGGTGATACTAACGGAGCAGAGACCGGCGTTATCGTTGCAAGATATCTTAGAAGATTGTCAATCCCTTCGTGAGGAGCGTGCGTCGGTGCGTACATCATCGCATAGCCTTCGTATGTGCTTACGAACGGAATCTTCCAGGCCTATCTCGCACAGATCCTCTCCGCCCTCAATGCCGTCCATACTGGGGATCTTGTCCACCGAGGTGGGTACTTCGCATCATTATTCGTGAATACCCTCAAATCATTCGTTCTCTCACCAGGTATATCCACACGGTGCATCGGAATTGCTTCCCAAGAGGAACCCAGCCAACAGAAGCTCGTAAAGCTAGGCAATGTAGTTTTCTACACTCGCCTCCTTGACCTTCACCGGTCGAATCCCTTCGGATCGAGTGTCTCCCCCTCGTTTGACGAACCACGGATGCCGGATGCATGGTACGTCCTCTTCTCCCTTCCCTTCCTCTTCCCCTCCCTTCTCCTTGCTATTACATTATCTCCCCGCTTGATGGCCACTCATAACTGACTGGTGGGTTTTACGTAGGGAGTGTAAGGACGTCAAGAATGATTCAGCACTATCGTATACCCGACACCGGGATATCCACGCTGTCGGGATCGTTCTCCTTCAGATGCTGATAGGACATGATGTCATGGAACGGTTCGAAGACCCGCAAGCCGCGTTGCAATATGGTAAGTCAGACTGTCCTCTATGCTTCCGTCGCTCGCTATTCGGTTGGCGGCCCGTAGAGTCCTTGCATCGAATACTGATTATTGATATTGATTGCTGATTTGGTATAACATACTACAGCGATCATATCTCCATCCCTGCAACAACACGCGATGAACATGCTGCTTCCGAAGAAGAGTGTCTCGTGCATCACTTTGCTCGCCGACCTCGCGTCTACGTCGTTCCACAGCCACCAAGCGCAAACGCGCACGCCGTCCATACCGTTCAATGGTTTACTCCCTTCCCCTTCTCTCCGCGTAAGATGTTGATTGATGTGTGTTAGATCCTCGGACACCAATGCCTACGCACCACGTCTCAAGTTCACCCGAAATGGACTATTTCAAGGCGCCGATGAGGAGCAGGCATACCAGTCGGTGGAAGGAGGACTGGGAGGAGCTCGAACTTCTGGTACGTGCATTTCCATGTAACGTCTATGTATAACGTCGATTATTGATATCATTACTGTGCACGTGTAGGGCAAAGGAGCATTCGGTTCGGTCGTGAAGGCACGCAATAAGATCGACTCTCGGATATACGCTGGTACGTAGGATAACTTTAGCTTCGCGTTGGCTTGAACTGCTTTCTTTGTTTCATTGACTAACATCGTGTTATTATCCAGTCAAAAAGGTCAGGCTACGGACGATGCAGAGTGATAGCAAGATTTTCAGAGAAGTGAACGCCCTCAGCCGCCTCTCCCATCGTTTTATTGTCCGATATTACACCACATGGGTTGAAGCCTCTGAACCCGTCTCAACGGCTGCCTCGGACTCCGAGAGCAGCGACTCAGGGACTGAATATGGCATCTCCGTCGCTCCCTCCCAAGACCCATTCGCCACCAGCAACCATAGCGACGGGATTAGTATTGACCTGAACGACCTTGACGTGATGCACCGTTCCTTGTCGAGGAGTACCTCGTTTCCGAGTATCCACTTCACGCATTCGTCGGAGAAGGGCGAGGACGAGAGCGATAATAGTAGTAGTAGCGACGGAGTGCTTGGGCTGGAACCTCTGTACAGAAGGCCGACGCCGAATGTGCATTTGAACGGGCATACCATTGAGGCACCGCCCATGGTGTCTGCCCCGATGATAACGAGAACACTGTATATCCAGATGGTGAGGACTGGGCATGGAGATTGTGTTTCGGTTGTTGACTTTGTTCTAGGAGTTTGTTGAGCGCCAGACGCTGAAGGAGGTGTGTGCTGCTGGCTTGTCAATTAGAATTCAGATCCTCATCCGCGACGCGTAGAGAGTCGATGAAGGGATTTCTGAAGACGAAGCATGGCGGTTGTTCCAGCAGATTGTTGATGCGCTCGTTCATATGTCGTCTCTCGGAATTGTGGGTAGCATGTGCATGGTGTGTTTTACTGGGTTCTGAAGCTGTTATCTAGCTCCACCGCGATATCAAGCTCACGAATATCTTCATTGGTAAGTCACCGTTCGATGCCTCTCCAGCCTATCCTCAGACGCATTGAATCTAAACGCACTTCCACTGTTTTAGACGGCAAGGGAGATTGCAAAGGTACGCTCTGTGGTTTGCGTCGCGGAGCCCCCATTGACCTTAGCTTTTAGTCGGCGACTTTGGTTTGGCCACTTCAAGTCTAGCAGCTGTCGACCCTTCGGACGTTTCTCGCCCTGGAATCACGATGGACAGCGAGATGACGCTGGGTACGTTTGTCTCTCTCCCTTTCAGCCTCGTCATAGCGAATCTTATTATGCACTTCAGAGGTTGGAACCCGGCTATACATTGCGCCGGAGGTCCAGTCTCGTAAACGCGGGCCGAGGAACCATACCAAGGCCGATATGTACAGTCTCGGGGTACGCCTATCATACTTTGTTGTTGTTGCTGGTGACGAAGTTAATGACCTGACCTTGAACGTGTCTTAGATTGTTTTCTTTGAGATGAACTTCTTTTTCGCCACCGGCGCTGAGCGCATTGCTGTCATTGAGAACATACGAAAGCCTGAGGTTATCTTCCCGCCTTCTTGGGACCCGCATAGGATTCGGCAGAAACAGAGTACGTACACCACCATTCTTGCTGTATCACGTCCCGTTTACTCAGTCTGATTCTTTGGTAGTCATTACTTGGTTACTTCAGCACGATACGAATGAACGCCCTTCAGCTATAGAATTGTCACAGAGTCCGCTCTTGCCCCCTCGTCTTGAAGATGAGTATTTCAGAGGGGCTTTGCGTATGATGAGTACGTGCGCCCTTGAGCCCTTTGTCCTTGGTTTTTTGGATTGAGGCTCAATCCATCTACGTACAGCGAAGCAAGATTCTCCCCATCATCAAGCCGTCCTTTCCGCTCTATTCAACCAGCCGGTTCAGCTTTCGAGGCGATTCATATACGACAGAGAAGCTGACTTGCCTGAGCATGCTAACCTCAACGGCATCGTCGTAGACCGCCTGTCATCTATATTCAGACTTCACGGGGCTGTAGATATTGAGCCTCCCCTGCTCATACCCGTCGTCGACCCCGAGGATGAGAAGACCCATGCTACGTTCCTCGATAGACATGGCGATATTGTGATGCTTCCCAATGATCTCTTGACGCCGTTCGCTCGACTAGCGGTGAGGACAAGCGTGAAGCGAATCAAGCGCTACCACATTACAGACATCTACAGGCCCAAGTGAGTATACGACACCCCTCTTCGACAATACCTTTAATGACCCGACTCCAACTCTTTAGCCCTGTTGCTGGGCACCCCAAAACTACGAAGGCTGCAATATTCGATATCATCTCTCCAGATCTGACTAGCGGGCCTATCGCTTCTGCTGCTGAAATCATCATGATCGCTAGCGACCTCCTCGATGGATTTCCTTCACTTGAACAGAACTATGATATCCATGTATCTCATTCGAATAGTAAGTTCCAAGTATTGATGTTCTGAGCTCTGATTGCATGCTTATGATGTTTTTAGTTGTCACCCATGTACTAGAACGAATCCCTCCAGCGCACCGCACGTCCGTCTTGGAAATCATCAATCAACCCAAGTCGACGCCTTCCCAGAGGCGCGCTGCTCTCCTGAAGAAAGGCCTTCTACGTAGCGTAGTCGACGAACTTGAGGCGTTGGCCGATGGCGGTATGTACTCATCAACTTACCTTTACTCGTATGTACTGATAGTTCGGATACTAGAAACGGATATCGACGCTCTCTTAGCAAAGATAGAGAAGCTCTCCCCTCAATTATTCGCCTTAATTCAACCAGCGGTCGAGCAAGTCAAGTCCACCGTGCAATGTGCTATAGCCACCGGCGTGTCCAGGCCCATCTTTTTCCATCCGCTGATGCTAGGTGCACATCATACTCATTTCAAGAATGGGGTGCTGGTGGAGGTCGTAAGGAAAAGCAAACGTACAGATGTCCTAGCCGCTGGGGGAAGGTATGATACACCTATCCTCTTTCCTTGCCATAGGTTGACGCTAGCTAGGTACGACGACCTCATCACCCAAACAGGGCTCCCAAAATCCAAGCTCGACTCGTCGTGTGCATTCGCCTTCCAAGTCTCAGTGGAGAAAATTACAATGGCGCTCGCGACATACCAAAGCACGTCTCTCAAGATCCTCGTGAAAGAGCAGCGTTCGTTCGGGTTTTGGAGTCCCAGACGGTGTGACGTATACGTTGTGTCTTATCATCCAGGTTACCTCCAGGAAAGGCTGGAAGTTGCGGCATATCTATGGCGGAACGGCATCAGCGCAGATATCATGTATGAATCGGGGCTTACCGATGTAGGTCACGATGATTACGTGGAGACGTGTCAACGGGAGGGTATTCTGTAAGTGTCCCATGCCAGGTGTTACTTCTCGCCCTAATTGTCTGCAGCTTTACTGTATATCCCAGACCGAGGTTGCAGAGGAAGGATCAAGCTGCCTTCAGGATCAAGAGCATCTTGAAAGGCACCGAATATGACGGTAAGTGGGGGATTGCGTACGGCTTCTCGATGCTTATATTTTGCTCAGTGACGCGCCTCGAGCTCGTTCCCTGGCTTCTTCACCAAATCTCAGAGCAGAAACGCGTGGATCTATCAACGTCTGGCGCTCGTATGTTTACCGATATCACCCAAAACAATGTGTCTTCCAAAGATATCGCGACTTCTTCCGACGTTCAAATGGTTCTGCCTGGCGATGCAAAGAAGATGAAATCGCTTAAAAATATGTACATTGATCGGGGTGTGTCTACTTCCCCCATCCATCTGAAAGCTACCATCTCATCGACATTTAGCCTTCGAAACCGGTGTACAGATCAAGAATTCCTTCCAAAATGGAATGCCTATGCTCGGTGTGGATGTCACGCCAACTGCGTTCGATTCCATGACCAAAAGCTCTACGTGGATATCCGATGATGAAGCATGGAAGCCAATAGCTGCCGACTTCCCTGCGAGCTCGTACTCGTACGCCCAACAGCTCCGGGAGCAAGTTAGGCAACGCAAGCTTGAATCCCATCCCTTTCTTTTGTTGTACTCAGTGCGCGACGAACGCGTACAGCTCGTAAAACTATCATGATCCCCTCTCTACGCCTTCTTTATGACCCTAGTCCTCATTTACTTACACGTTGTTCATGTTTCAAGGGATGTTATCAATCTATCATCGACCAGAATGGATCGCTATCTCTATCTCTATTGTATTCCTAGTTTCTATGTGGATTTAATGCCAACTGCTATGACAATGGAGGTGCACATTCAATAACATCTGTCCCGCTGCTGTCAGCACTCGAGTTCGCTCCATGTCCTCGTCCACTGTTTCGGTTACGTCCTTCATCTCTGGTAGGCCACCTCTTTCTTGAGCAGCATCCTTACGGTAGGGTGTCACCCCCTTCATGACTCTAAATCTTCTGGTCAACGCACAATGCTTGGGTGTCAGTCGCCAAGTTATATGCCGAGGGCAGAAAATTGTTGGATGCGCGATGTGATGGGTGTCGCAGGATGAAATAGGTTTAGAGGATAGATTTTTTGTTCGATGTATGGATGCTAGATAGATCATATGTCTTTTTGCGCGTTCCTAGTCACGCAAATGTGGTGTCTATTTTTCGACGACGATGTGCTTTCAGTGCTTGGGATGATGCAATGTCTATATAAATTAACTTTTCCCGAGCCAACAGATAGTACCTTCTGAGGAAAGTTCTTGTGATGGTGACGATGTCAATTGAGTATCTGCTGTAACCACCCTGCAGGGATGTGCATATACATCTAGGATAATCTAGGATATACCGTTCCATACTCAGCTCGATGTGTACTGCACATAGCGTTAGGGAAGTCGGAGGTCAACTGATTACGGAAGAAAAGAATGATCAACAATATGAATGTACATTGGGAGGTGCTCCGAGTTCATGATTTACAATATATAGATATAGATACATATTTACATAGTTGTTATGATTATCACATTTGCAGTAGCATGTCAAGGAACAGGCAATACTGAGGTACATCAACGCCGTCAAAAATACGGCCTGCTTCGCCCAATATATTCTTCCTCTGAAGCAGTCTCCACGAGAACATTTACGCCTGCATCCCAGTGTTGGAACCATTCATCGTGCTGCCTACATTCCCAACGAACGATACTCGGCATGTCCGTCGCACTTCTAAACCGGTATAACGCATCCACGGCCACATCGCCATCGTGGTCAGCAGAGATACACGGTACCTCGAGGGAGCGGAGGCCGGGAAAGCGCATGAACACCCAAGGAACGAAGGCATCTGAGTGCGCCTTCGCTCCTGATGTTACCCGCAGCATCTTCAGCGTCGGCAGCTTTGCATCCTCCGCGACTTCGTGGTACATCCCCGGGTTCTCATCCGTGAGGCAGTCAATATCCAGGTTGAGGAGCAAGTTGATGTCTAGACGTTCGAGCTTGGGCATCATCCCCGCTAACTTGAACACCCCCGCATGGAAGAACGAACAGGAGAATGTCTGGACATTGTCGAGATGTTTCGCGTAATGGAAGAACCGAGCGAGGAGAACGTCGGTGTCATCACCCAGACTAGGCGCCAGCTTAAGGTGCGTGAGGTTACGCGCTCCCTCAATATTTTGGAAGATCAGATCGAGCGAACGCGCGCTGAGGATGCGCAGGGAAGGCAGTGCGCCCTTTGCCAGGTTGAAGTGAAGTGGAGTGGGGCTGTAGTCGTTCCAGGGCGAGATCTCGAGGTGTTCGAGAGAGTCGGCGCGTTGCGACAAGAAGGCCGCAAATTCCTCGATGTCCAGCGGAGAAGTGGAAAGACAAAGCTTCTTCAGGTTCAAAGGTAAGACAGGCGCGTCGATATCAAGGAGACGCGGCATCTTCGTAAACAGTGGATCGACTAAGCGAAAGGAGGACAATCTGGGGTTTAGCTTGAGGATGAGGGACGCGATATCGTCGTAGTGGTCCATCTTGGGAGGGTCATAATATTTATGATGGACTACGTCGATGGTAAGGTGCTTCACGAATCTTGCACGGCGTTCACAGATATGTTGGGAGAACTGGTAGAACGTCGAGTCCTCGTCTGGGACAAGCTCGAGAACGACCTCTTTGTATAGTATCTGTTCCGCAATGACACGGAAAGCGCGAGAGGACTGAAGTACGGAAAGAATGGTAGACGTGTCGTTCACGCGTGTGAAGATGTCGTTCAATATCTCGACGGGGAGACGAGGAGTTAGACACATTTCGACGCAGTGGTAGTGGTTGTGAATGAAGAGTGGGCGTAAGGACCAAGAGGAAGAGGTGGCATCATTGAGCCTGGGAATTGGGTGTGGTGCTTGGGCCGTCGAGGTAAAGTGGCGGTGAGGCACTCGTCGTGAAGCCCTTCGTCCACCCACCGATGCAAGTTATTAAGTCAGCGCTAGTGCAAAACAATGCGCAACGGGCACCGACGGAGGGGGCGAAGTGTACAAGGAGGACCATATGTACCGCCTAAGACGCCCACTGACGGTCTTCTATTTAGCTAACGGCTACATGATTCAAGCAGAGACTCGCCGTGAACAACCACTGTGTCCTGCCCTCGTACTCAGCGTCTCGAGATGGCTACAAGGGCGTCAACTGCCGCTCTGAGTTGATGCCTCGCACTCCTCTAGGACGACAGCAGAGACGGCGTGCTAATTTAGGCACCAAGGTGATTGGGTGGCCGGATGCATCTACGGCGTCCATCGCGGACAACGCTGCGTCGAGGAGATTGTTCAATCGCAGGAGAATTGGACGGATGAAAAAGGACTTACTAAATGATTGAATGAAGGACATCCGTCGCGCCCATGTCTCACCGTTTGATACACTGAGACAGAACACAAAGACTCAGGGCTCGGGGTTGAAGTCCTTGTGCAAGTCAAGAAGAGATAAGAGCACCAGGCGTCGGACAGGCCTTGAGAGGGGGGCACAGTGCTGTAAAGGCGTCCATTTACCCGAAGGGCCTCAAGTGACAAAATTTGGCCGCTTAAATGCCGAAGAATAGAAAAGTCTCTAAGGTAAGACTTCATGATTTCGGCTATATAACTTTTTAATCTACGTAGTACCTCAGCAAGATAACAGGATAATCGATTACTGGACTTACCACATAACGCTCTCCCCTCAGCATTACCATTAGGACCCCCTGAGCGACTCCTACAACAATTGGATATCCTCAAGTTTTCGACATTGGCACTACGGGTGGTATTCGCTTTTTCGCGTTAGCGCTCATCCCACATTCTATTGGCGAAGCTATACGTCCTTCCCTACGTCCATCGCTAGCCTTATTCCACAGTTTATCCATTTCTCTGCAACTATCGAAGAGACGCACGTTGGGTGTGGGCTAGTACAGTCAGCAACCTTCGGCATCGTGAAGATTGTACACTCACCGGGTCGACACCCTCCTCCGCTTGCATACTCCCCCCATATACCTGTCCATTGAAATGTCCACCACGTTGCGTTGATCAACGAAGTTGACCATCTTGGAGGCAGGTCCCCTCGCTAGCCGTTGTTCGGAGGTATTCAGTATCACTTTCGATTCCCTCTAGGCCCTCAAGTTACTCGACATGTTCCAAACGGCCTTGAAATAGAATGAGCACTCATAAGCGCTTAGCCTTCGAGGTTGAAACTCGCCTCACTGCGCCAGTGAGCGGCGAAGGAATTCGAAGGTATCAAAAAAGCACTGATACTTTTCGGCCTTCAACTGTGTTGCAAAATTCCTCGTCGAGGACGATGCCATTGGAATTTGGCCGATGCGCTGTGTGGACTGAATGCGTTCTAGCTCGCAAGCGCCCAACCACACATCATGCTTTTTGTTTATCTCTTCAATCCGGCAATGCCGATACCGGTCCAACGAAAAAACCTGTCAACTCGGCAACTCGGAAGACCATGTTTCTTAAAACATTCAGGCCGTAAGCTAGCTGTGGACTTCTCCAGCGGCGTACGTAGCCAATTGGAAGGAAAGGAATTGAATGCGAGAGACTCGGAGTCGGCGCCGGGTGTACCATGCTAGTTGATGCCTCTGGCTGCGATGGGATAATGTCCGTATGTCCGTGTCCCACATGTCTGCTACTGGTATGGACATGCTGGCCTTCCATATGGCAATTCCTCCACTCCATCACACTCCATCACACTCCGGGGCTATTTTGCTGCCAAGTGTTGCCTTTCGGATATGTGCTAGCTGGATACAACGCGAGAGCGGGTATGTTCACGCTACTGGAGATGCTCTATGGTGGAACGGTAGACTGACGCGTTTATAGAAGGACCCTATGTGCACGCGAGTTGTTTGGACAATCGATCAGCGAGATCATGAGTTGCCTTACTGGTGCCTGTCGGCTGGCGAGGCGTTTACGACTCTTGTCATGACGGACGAAATCGTTCAGGCCGATTCGTTATGTTTGAAACATGACAGTGCATTTCGATCATGATCAACTTCTTGAACGATCGAACATCGACACATCAGAAAGGGTATATCTCCCGAACTTCGAAGTAGCTGGCGCCTCGTCTATAATATAGGCATCTCGAAAGCCATAAGGGACGTCCAACAAGGCAGAAGTAGAATCCGCATGGCCACCACAATCCCCTTGCGATTTGCTCTATGTCGTACGACCTACCGTGTGTCATGTGGAACACACCCCTCGCGACTTTGATCTCCTTTGCACGTATGGACCTTGTACCAGGGGCTGCGAGATACCACGCGTCTCAATTGCTTGCAGTCGCTCTGAAGCAGCTAGAGCAGGAGAACCTCAGTTTGTGTATTCCCAACTATCCTCGTGCCGAACTTTTGATAAGAAGGTCTCCTCGTATATAACCTGCCGTCTTTTGAACGCATAGTATTCCAGCAAGGAACCTCCTTCTCCTTCCCTGCGAATATCCCACTTGCGTACGAGCGTCATGGTCGCCTTCAACAAATTCTTCACAGCCGTCTTTCTCGCCATTGCCTACGCTTCAATCTCGCAAGCCGTCCCTTACAGCCAAGACGTGAAGCATTCTACTCACCGCGTCCGGGAGATAGGTCGTGGACTGAAAGTCGAAGTGTACCACCCGCAGACGTCATATACCGTCAGTTTCTCATTTGCCTACAATTTGTCTACACGATATTGACGATTGCTCCCCGATGAACAGACGTTTGGAGACGGGCTTGCTGGCCCCGCACTGAGAGGAGGCGACCTCAAGTCGAAGACCATCGCGGTGGTTCGCCAGCGTCTCGGCGTGGATGAACGTTCTGTGAATTTCAAGTCGGGTTTCTCGCAATCATCAGAGTCATACGGATACGTCAAGCAGCAACATGTGTGTGCATCGTCTTATTTCCTTCCCAAATGGCCTAATTCTTGGTGTTCAGAACGGCATTCCTTTTGCCAATGCCGTCGCGAACGTTGCCTTCAAGGACGACAAGATCGTCGCGTTCGGTTCATCATTTGTCAAGACGAGTAAGTGATCTCAGTTGCACCTTCCACTCGGGCTAAACACACCCTGCTCGGGTTATAGAGAACATCGCCTCCTCTACACCAGCAGTCTCCCTCGACAAAGCTATCTCCATAGCCGAGAGTGCTCTCGACGGTAAACGGAACGAGCACCCCGCTGCTCTCGAATACTACGCCAAGCCCGACGGTTCGGTCGTCCTCACCCACGTACTCCAAGTGCAGAACGAAGTCGCGGATACGTGGTACGAAGCCTTCGTCGATGCCCACTCCGGGGAGGTCGTGTCCGTCACCGATTTCGTTGCCGATGCGTCAGTGAGTGTTCAGCGAGATCTTGGCAGCTGTGACTGGTGTGCTGATTGTTCACGCAGTATCATGTCCTTCCTATCAATAAGATGGTTATTCCGGAAGGTTTGGAAACCATTGTCGACCCGCAGATCGCATCTGCCTCTCCAAGTGGATGGCACAACGATGGTTCCTCAGAATCCGATAGCACAACGTACGTATCCTCAGTGCTTCCGGTTGTAATCGGCAACTGAACGGGCATCCATAGTGGTAATAACGTCGTTGCGTACAAAGGCTCACAATCGTCCCTCACCAAGGAATCGGAAGCTGGTCACATCTACAGCTACATCGTTGACCCCGAAACAGAGCCGTCCACTGAGAACAACCTCGACGCCGCTCGCACCAATGCTTTCTATGTCGCCAATATGATCCACGACATCACCTATTTGTATGGCTTTACCGAGGCCTCCTACAACTTCCAGAACACCAACTTCGACAAGGGCGGCAAGGCGGAGGACAAAGTCCTCTTGTCCGTCCAAGATGCTTCGGGCACGAATAACGCAAACTTTGCTACCCCGCCTGAGTATGTATTTGTGTTATTGACGAAGCGATGATGCTGATCGTCGGATCTTGTGGTTCAGCGGACAATCCGGGCGATGCAGGATGTACTTGTGGACTTTGACAAAGGTCAGCTTCATATCTTCGCGTTTCTTTGGGAAGCGTTTTTACCTGATGTCGGTTTCATAGCCTCGCCGAGATGGATCCTTCGAGAACGATATCATCGCTCACGAACTCACTCATGGTCTCACTAACCGCATGACCGGTGGTGGCACCGGCAGATGTCTGCAGACTACTGAGGCGGGTGGCATGGGTGAAGGTTGGAGCGACGCCTTTGCTGAGTGCGTTGATTTACCGTTTTGCTTTGTCGTGGTGAAACTCTGACAACGCGATTTTAGTTGGCTCTGGCAGAAGAGCGGTACGATCCAGGACTATAAACTTGGGTGGTACGTCTACAAACCCGAGGGGATCCGTACGCATCCGTACTCCACCGACGCGTATGTCCCATCTCGCACAAAATGGTATCTTGGGTATGCTTATATGGGGGTTACTCCTTTGCGCAGAACTGTGAATCCGTTGAAGTATTCCAACGTCAAAGGCAACTACGCTGTACATAACATTGGAGAAGTCTGGGCGAACATGCTGCACAACGTTCATGGCGCTCTCCTTGATGCCCATGGGTTCTCGGACACGGCGTTCACCAACCCGGACGGCGACGCAGGGAATGTCGTCTTCATGAGGCTCTTCATCGACGCTCTTGCTATCCAACCGTGCAACCCAACATGTACGTCACTGATCTTTCTCTATTACGAGACTGGTCTCGCTAAGCATGGTGATAGTCGTCAACGCCCGCGATGCTTGGATTCAAGCAGACGCTAATCGATACGAGGGCACTCATAAGTGTCTCATTTGGAAGGTTTTCGCATCCAAGGGTCTTGGAGCCAAGGCTGAGAAGTTTGTTGACAATTTCGACGTACCGGACGAGTGTAAAGATGCAACGGAGGAACCTGAGGTGCCTGATGTACCGGATGTACCGGACGTCCCTGAAGAAGAGGAAGAAGAAACCATCAGCCCAGGTGAGGGATGGCTATAGTTGGCGCGGGGAATAAGGGTTTTCTTTCCTGTATCGTGTTCAACTATCTTATCTATATCGAGGGATGGCGGGACTCCTCTCGACTGTATTTTTAGACAATGTCATCTTTTCTGCGAACATATTCATTTTAAACCTGGTATACTCAAGCTTCAAGATCCAGCCACCTGAGGATATGGTGTAGCGTAATTTGTAAAGAGAACATCGTGCACTGGCCGGGCTACCTACAAATGGAGCTACAAAGAAAAATGTCCAGATTCATGTTGCCGTTCGATAGGCTCGACAGGAGGAATAAACTACACAGGACTGTCCGCTGCTTCCGAAATGTCCGTGACTTAGGGTATACAAGGGTGTAAGAAGAGGAACTTGGAAATCATTGTCAATCCGACATATCCTCATCCTCATCCTCGTTAGGGGACCCTCCTTCGTCCTTCTCGTCTTCTTCATTATTTCCCTCGTCCTCACTGTCTTCTTCGCTCTCAGCTTCGCCCTCGTCGTATTGTTCTTCCTCGTGCTCGTCCTTCGATTTCTGCAAGGACGGGGATATCCCATAGATATCGGTGCCGTCGACTGAGAAAGACATGAAAATAATGAAGACGTATCATAAGAGATCGCTCACAATAATCGTCTGCGCAAGGTTGCGGTGACGTGGCAACCTGTCTTCCACCATAACGGGCACTGCGGTCCCTACCAAATCTGGCCTCAAGTCCCGGCCCAGACCCTACGCCAGTGCCCTTTCCCGTTCTCATTGCACCTACTTTGATAGGGCTGTCTGTAGACACCTTCGGGTTCACTCGGGGCCGGAAAGTCTTCGTAGTTCCGAAGTTTGTTCCACTGTTATACTGCGCCCCTCCGACATTATTGAACACTCCATTGCCGGAATTAGTCATAACAGTGGAGCCACGAGGAGGTTGGATGGGTGTGCACTCTTCGGAAAACTGGGAAGATAGGCTAGAGCTCGTAGAGGATGCCATAGGACGCAAAGTGTCCTCCGGCTTCAATTTATTCGTTGCTGTTTTTCGCTTGACGCGCTTTCGAATGGGTATCAACAGCGATTGGGAGTGAAGCTGATGTTGGACGACTTGATTGAGTATGGAAACACCGTCATCAAGTTTCGATTCGACTGCGATCATTGAGCACGTCTTCAGTCCGCCAATATACAGAGTAAGCCACACCACAACGTTCAACTGGAGGTATGAAACCGGAGTGAACGTACCATGAAGTCTTCTTGTGCCTTAGCTAGCTTTCTCTGAAAGCCTGATATGGTTGACGCGTCTTTGTTCGAGCGAAAAACACGGTCGAAGAGGCTTCGGCCCAAGTGCTCGGTGATAAGGCTATGTATATTCCAAATTATCCTGCACGATGAAGGCGCGGTATCAGTAACGGTATCGACCGTGGGCGGAGGAGTAGGCCCCAGGCAGTCTGGACTTACCCGGTGAATTCGTTGATCCTAGTCTTCTGCGACTCCGAGAGTTCTCTTCCGGCCTTCTTTGCATTTGTAACCTCTCTATCCATCGTGTTGAGCGTTGTGATTGCTTCTGTCGCAAGTTCTGCGAACGCCTTCTTGTTCGAATAAACGTTGCAGACCATATCATGTATCAGAACGATGGCCCTAGACGCATTGAAAAATGGGCAGTGAATGTCCACGGCTTTCAATGATTCGAAGACGGCAAACGCTGCTACATCGAGGAATGTGGTGCGTGCAATAGGCCTAGGTTCTTTAAATGGACTAGAGAATTTCCAAGAGAAACAGAAGAAATCCATCGTATAGGTGAGATAACACGAATTCGGCGAATGTGAGATGGATTGTGGTTGTCGCAAGGTGCCTAGGGATGAACGGTATGAGGGATGCTGGCGGGGGCTAATCAGGGAATTGGCGAATTCGTGAAAGGTATGGAGTGTTGAATTACTCGAAAATGCGCAGATGCGGGACTCTGTTCCTCGAAATCTTCCTCCTTTATAATCAGGCTTCGGGCGCCCGCTACTTAGAGCAACTTCATCAATTACCTCTGGATGTCTCCCTAGCATCGTTCGACGTCGATTTCCCGTTTCGTTTTTCCCATTCGGCAACAGAGAACCTAGAAGGAAGACCCCATATACTTACTTCCTCAGTTAATCCATTATTGTCGTCGACCACCTTGTTCACTGCACGTTTTCCTTTTGCATGAATCATGAACCAGCTCCGCGTCTTCCCATTTAGCGACTCTTTCGTTGGCGCCGTCTGAGCACCCATTTGAACCCTCCAACTCCGCATCGTGGCATCATGGTATTGTCTTTTCATAATCCGCCAGGAAGCTTCGACGGTACGAAAGGAGAACAGAAGGAAAACATGTAGTGAATTTCGATAGCCGTGGCACAAACATGGTTACGACGTACAAGCAGTAACTTTGAAATGTTGCTGACAATCGCGTGGTTCCTTGTTTTTGTAACGTCTAAGGCTCTTCGATCCGGCCCTTGTCCTTCTTGGGGGATTGGGGGAGTGAGCGAATTACGTGCCTACGAATTAACGTCACTGCGGTGTTCAAGATGAGACAATAGGCACTCACTATTTTCTCTCGGAACAGAATGGCGGAAATTGTTGGCGGGACTCTAGACGAATCCATCTGTGTAGATCTTATAAGGATGCCCAGCAAATGTACCACATTTGTGTCGTTCAAGGGCAGGAGTTGACTTCGAGGCTGCAGCGATGGCAGTGATCACTTTTGCGTCTTTGTCTCTCCACGGGCGGTCCCGCCCAGGCTCCAAAGGGATAGGGATATCATCACTCGATACTCCGATAAGGGCGAGGCGAAAGAAGAAAAAACCAACTTTTGGCCTCGAGGCTCCTTGGAAGACCAAACACGAGGAACAAGGTGAGACAAAGCAACAGTGGTTGATCACCGGACATTGGGGTTGGGTACAGAGTAGGGCCCGATACTCGGGCACGGTGCAGAATCCTCGCACAGGTTACGCCCTCATGGACCTACGAAGTGTCAGCCACCACCCCTTCCACTGTTCGCGCTTTAATCCAGTTTCCATATGGATCGACGAGGAAGAAACAGAAACAAAAGTAGAAGGGACGGCTGTGAAAACCAGAATATAATACAAGGGCGAACTTACTTACCGGTATCCAAACCTCAAAGCTTCTGACGCCGGGATAGCGCCGGTGTCATGGATGCTACCGTTAAGGTTGATTGCAACTTTCTAGGTATACCAAGGGGCTGAAGCTATGTTGGACAGAGTCGGGGAAGACTGGAAGATGCGCGGGCCTATCGCCTACCAGAGTAACCATTGAGGAACCGTTCAACGGCAAATACTCCGTCGTGTGTGTACGGTGGAATTAATGATCGGTGTCTGTACAATCTGTACAATCAATTGTCTCTGAAAATGAATCTCTGTCGTTCACGTCCTTATCGATAGCCAAGCACATTCACAGGACCTACATTTCCACCAGCTCGCAGGTCATATTGACGTCGCTAAACCATGGGCCTGGCAAGCGTGCCATGACAAGATAATCATGGACGCCGACTCGACAAGCGGCATTTATTACATCTTGCCGCTCTGCCGTTCCTCTCCATTGTATAAGTAGCGCGTGAGCTTATGGGGCGCTTGAACTCATCCTACGGCTATTCTGCGCTCTCCAGCCTTGTTCTGCTAGTAGAATAGTGGCACAGCCACTATACTTCTTCGACTGGCGCCAAAGTGATCAACCAGTCTCGCAGTCTCGATGTTGAATTCTTCCGTGACCATGCCCTCGATAGGCTTGGGCGGGAATTCGCGTGTGATCTAGGGTTCCTTGAGCTCGAACTCATCTACCACGCCCACCAGACAGGATCAGTAGAGCTCCTGAAGAGATCAATTCACCCCTTCCAGTAGCTAGCAACGAGCAGCATCGAGGGACAAGAAACTCACCGGGGGCATATCACAGACCATACAACATGAGTGTTCCTTAATTACTTGAGGATTTGTCTCGAGTCGATGTCAAAGCTGAATAGTGTCAGGGCAAGTTGATACTGGTCAAGTCAATGAGTCTTACCGTGGGAGCAAGCGTGAGGCCAGTGATTCAGACTCCGTCCCTGTCAGCTAGACTTCAAAGCTTCAAGACCGTCTCAATTCAACGATGCGTCAAGACTCCACTTCAAAAACTCGAGACAGCGATATCCCTACAGCGACCAGCCAGGTCACCGCTACATCTGAGCTCCTTCGTCTCGTCTGCGGGTTCTGTGGCCCTATACAAAACCGCCACAACGCACTTGTTTCGAAGAGGTGGTCGAACGAGGCTTTAAGTGTTCTTTGGTATGAGCTCGACTCACTTGCGCCTCTTCTGGCTCTTCTAGCACCATTGAAACTCGTATATAGTAAAAATCTCTACGTGCGTAGGAATAGTATCTAATAAGCTTTGAGCCTGACACCGAATCTGACTAGAAATTTGACCGACATATTCGACCTTCACCTGGGGATTGGGTTATATTCCACAAATACTCGTGGCGTGTGCACACTATTGTCGCTGATGAAAGGTCCGCCGACTTCCCCGCCTCCGTTTTCATCGAGATTGCAATGAGCCGTCCACCCGGCGACCTCCTCCCGAATCTGTCTCGTTTGACCTACGTTGACGACTTATCATCCTTCCAATTCATTCCACTTTTTATTTCGGAAACCTTGTCGTACCTGCCCGAGAAGGCTGCAAACTTGGAACACGTTGTTCTCCATGCATCCTTTGCGGTCGATACGAAAACTGTAGATTCCTTACAGTTGGATCTTCTTTTCTCCTCCCTCTCAAATTTGAAAACAGTTCAGATTGCACCCTGCTTCTTTGTTCCTTCCTCTATCCACGGGCTTGGCCATCTGCAGGGCTTACAGTGTTTGACAATACCTTTCGATGGCAACAATCCCCCAAAGCCCCTCAGAATAATAACGCCGTCAAACACTTTCTCCGAGTTCTCGTCTTTAACGAAATTCGTGACCGAATGGAACTCTTTCCAGGACGTCATATCATATCTTGACGCAAACAACACCCCTGTCCTTCGCTCACTCTCGGTCTCCTCTCATGAGGCGGAAGACTCGGACATGTTTGTGCGCCTCTTAGGGGTGGCTCTTTCGAATTGCCCGTACCTGGAGGACATTGCTCTGAGTGCCCTGAGGTGCAATACGATTATCTCAGAACCGATCGTACAAGAAGGCTTCTTCCATGTGCTACATGGCGGTGCCAATCTTACATCCCTAGTGCTGTGCGACTCCCCACCTTTATCACTCAATATTGAGACCGTCAGCGACCTTCTGAAGGCCCTGCCGTCGTTGCAGAAACTTCGTCTCCTCGAGTATCCTACTGTCCCACCAACTTTTCCTCTTTCTGGCCTATCCGAGCTGGCCCCTCTGTGTTCACAGATGGAGGAACTTGCGTTGTATATGGAGACATCATGGGTCCCGGAGGCGTCAGCGCAACGTCGAAATGCCTCAGAGTGTTTTAAACGCTTGACCTGTCTCAACGTAGGACCATCTTCTCTGAATTCCTCGGCACTCGAGGTCACATCCTTCTTGAGTAGCATCCTTCCGACAGGGTGCTGCCTGTCCCGCTGTTACGACTATCATCTTCCAATCGATGAACGACATGCCAAGTATGACACTTGGAAGCCAGTCGTAAAATCCTTTCCCGTGGTAGCCAGAATACAGAAGGCCGAAAGGTAGTTGGCTGTGGACATCACGGCTTGAACCAGGTCTGGGTTCGTAGGGCCATGGTTGGCAGAAATAGCTATGTACTTGAAAAATTGACGGTGTCAACTCACATCCCAGATTACGACCAACCGTAACGAGCGGATTCGCCTGTTCGAGTTACTAGCACCCCGTCGTGCGTAAAACGAACAATTTGAATGAAGCTCGGCTTAGGGAGCACAAAAACCTTCCAAGTCCGCCTCATGCCTGGTGTAGTAGCAGTTATGCGCTTGTATCCCCTCGATCCCAGAAGCCAGCGTGTTTTCCACCCACACACGTTGCGCAGACGGCGGTCACCAGACACTACTAGCAGTCTCTGTCGTCGAAATAGCTCTCTTCAAGTACTAGTCTTCTGAGAGCAGATTTGAAAACACTACCGCGGCACAAGTGAACATCTTACGATACGGTTATGAATGAAAGTAGCCCATGTCTGGCGAGTTGCAGATGTAGATGTAGATCGGCTTGTGGCAAACTTGACCGACTCGCGATTCCGTACCTTTCAAAGTCCGACTCACTCTGTTGCATTATACCATACCATGTCCAGTAAATCGTTTCCAACGTCCGTATTCGAATCGCTACTTCCAAAGCTCGCTGTCGTCCTCGAGCTTACGCAAAACCTGGAGGGCTCCATGACGCCGCAAGCGAGGAATGCCCTCCTTCAGGCGGTGGGTCATTTCCTCGAATTCTTCTATTATCGAGACTCTGATGTGCGTTGTAGACAAACGACTTCAAAAACACCCTGAGCCATGCGAAGGAATTGGCGAAGTCGCTGCCGGGTGGAGAGCTCATGACGAAGGATCAGGACGAGGTCATCCAAATGCTGGAACAAATCCGTGATCAGAAAAGGTGAGCCTGTCCCCCGCCAGTGTCTTCGGGGCGCTTGTATTCACTGTCGTCGTACTTGAAGACGACAGCTGCTGGAGTTCTCGACTACGGTCCTGGAGACGTCGCATGTATCAAACACCGAAACGCAAATGGAACTAGATTCCGTCGCCTCAACCCCTTCTCAGAACTAGGAACTAGCCGTCCTTCGTCTGGATGGCGTCTGAAATATGTCAAGCCCTCTCTGAGAGATGCGTCCAAGTCCCTCGTGAGTAAACGTTGCTCTGATACAAGCATCCCTTCCGGAACCGACTTTAACGCGAACGAAGGCACAATCACCGCAGCAGGCGGTTCTGGTCATTCCTCCCTCCAGGATTCCATGCAGCCCCATCGTGTATCCACAAAATGTCAGCAACGACAAGGGGACCTCCCCAGTGCCTATGGTACACCATCCAATCGAGACATACCCGCCTCGGCATATGGGCTTTTGAGTGCTAGACGTTCTTGGAGTCTGCGGGGAACCCTTGTGTCGATGAACTATACTGTGGTTGGTGGAACCCCTTCTTGTCGACCTCCCATCTTCCGTACTAGCTGGATCACTCCCAAAATCTACCGCTCCTCCATGTTCACGACGATACATCGGATTGTTCAGTACCTACCCTTGTCATTCGATGGCCTGAGCTCCGCGGCTAGCACCGTTGGTTACCATACCCTTCACTCGTTTCCATCATGTCTCAGATATGTGAGAATATACAATTCATCACGAAGAGACATCGCATTGCATATGTAGTGTTATACCTTCCTATACCACATTCCTCCCCTCCAGTGCCCACCGTATCGCGTGTTCAAACCTCCACTAGTTTTTCTCAAAGTTCGAATCGTTGTGCCCACTTGCAGTTCTATCCCATCACTCCCAATTCGAGACTGCTACCAAATCGCCATGTCGACGGCGGCTGCGGCGATGCCCACTGTAACGACCATCCGCGTGAATGTCGAGTCGGACAGCGGTAACCTGTATGCCTGGCTGAGGCTCCTGTGACCCTAGGAACGGGGGTCGCCTGTCACCCGGGCTACGGGGAGTGTTGACCCGCTCGGGGGGCGGGCGAGGCCGTGTACGCGTGATAGTCAGGAAGAGTAGTAGTTGTGTATTTTTGGACTCCGCTACCATACTAAGTATACGGGCGTGATAGCTACTTCTAGATAGGGTAAGTGCGTCCTCGTCACAGTGCCCCCCAGTCGCTATCACGATTGTACGCATAGGCTATATTGTAAGAGGAAATCTAAGCAGTGGGTGGATAGCGGGAGACTACGGGAATAGATGAGAGAGAAAGAAAAAGAGAAGAAGAGAAAGAAAGAGGAGAGAGAAAAAAAAGATTTCTTCTTTCGAGAAGAATTGCTGGTTAACGGTGATGGTACCGTCGTCGATTATGCGAGTAACGGCTTTCAGAGCCTTTCTGGCGCGATTGTTCGTCGGGTTCTTGACGAAGGGGAGCATCTGAGGCGATCCTTTCGAATAGTGATTTGTGCTTCCGAGTCGAGATGGAAGTGGTTGTTACTTGAATTGCTCGTGTAGAGCGAGAAGCGACGAATTGTGGCGGTGGTGAATTGATACGAGTCTTCTTGCGCGAACGAAACGCGCTAGGTGAAGGCGGCGAACGTTGGCTCGTGCCGGTATGGTCTGGGGTAATTAATTTATTTTGGTGAGTCGGCGGATCCTCCTCTATATATGCTGCGTGCTGTGCCTGAGGTGTAATCTTCCGCGGGGATTCAGGACGTCTACGGAATCGCGCGTCGAGATCTATGGGGAGGTTCCAGTACCCCGTGGGCGACGAGGGTCGCTCTTCCGGGTCGCGGACTTCTTCCTGCGCCAGGAGATATGTAGATTCGGCTACTAATGGGCCGTCACAACCGTCCGATCCGGAGATACTGGCGCGCAACAAGTAGCCTCTCACTCGCAGCGCTTGATCTCTGTCACCAAACCGTACCCAGTATATATCTTGACGCCCTTTCCAGGTTCGCAGCATTTGCGGGACGGCAAAGGGAATCTTCTTCGATGTTTCCTGGAACAGCTCCAGGAGCTCTTTGGGAGTCGTTATGCCGTGCGGCAAGCCGTCAATCCTCCAGAACTCCGAAATCTCTTTAGCGTATGCGGCGTAAAGCTCCTTCGCCCTGCTTGAAGCTGCTGGAACGCTCGGGGCGTGCGCTCTAGCGATGAAGCTTGCTTGCGATGTCGACGCTCCCTGGGTCGCGCGTACCGCCGCTTCCCGCTCGCGAGAGACGGTCGCCACCATAGCCTGAGGAGTGGCGACTCGACTTGCTTCCGGTTCTGACTCATATCCGGGCAGTGGGGAGGTTGGCTCGCGTCTCTTGCTTTTCCCTTTCGGATCGTCCGTCAAAGGGGTACTTGCTGCGCCGGACGCTTCTATCATCCTGGCCGGTTTCAGCTTAACGCGCGGAGCTTTTGCTACGGGTAGGCTCGCGGTTCGTGGTGCGTCTGCCTCTAGCCCGTCCATGTCGTGCCATAACTTCACGGGCGTCCGCGGGCGGGAAGCCATTTCAGCTAGCTTCCTTGCTTCTGGTAGCGAACGATCGTCGCGCAGTGAGGGCGATCGGTACCCCTGTCGATTAGATAGTGAGAGAGATCCCGACGCGGGAAGCGTGTGCAGCAGCTTCTTTACGCGCCCTACAGATTCTCCCTCTTCTAACGTTAGAGCACGCAGCTTCGACCGTTTCACCGCAAACCGCCATGGACCATCTTTGTCCGATATGAGCGCATAATTCTGCATGACGGCGTCAGGGTAGTACGTATGAGTGCGGTGGTGAAACATCGCTTCCTGTACGGTATACTCGTGTAGGAAAAAGCAGGCGACTCCCGATCGTGTCATGTAGAGCAGGGCGTCGTCGTACGCTTCGTCGGACATCCATAGACCCATGTACTGCTCGTTCCCCTCCACGGCGAAGACGTGCGCGAAATCTGCTGGATCCCGAGGGGTTAAATTCTTAAGCTGTACGTAGTTAATCCATGCTTCCCGCAATTTGATGCCTCTTTGCATTTCAGTGATCATGTCCAGCGCTTCTTCGAACGAGGTTATGTCCCGAAGCGCTTCGATATGCATATTGCTAGGGTAAAGGGGGCGATTCTGCCACAGGAGCCGGTCTCGTTCCGAATATGACTCCCGTAGGCTGTCTCCCAGGAACTTCACGTCTTGGAGAAGCGACGTGTTACGCTTCTTCAACCGCTTCACATACGACTCAGTGACGTGTCCTTCCCCCGTTTCCGATCCCGCGCGAGAGCTCCAAGCTTCGGAGTCGTCAAAGAGCGACACAAACTCGGGGAAGAGGCTAGGTGGATTCAAGTGACTGTGCCGTCGTATGAATGGAAGGTAGGGCCGGCGTGGCTGATAATGTTGGGGGTGGTAGGTTGGATCCAAGGGCCCTAAATGCCCATCGTAGCGTCTCTTCCCTTTAGCTAGGTCCTCCAAGTCTACGCCGGGGGATTTGATGCCGGGGTAGAACGGCAACCTCCTCGAGTTGGGGGACCAGATTTCGAAACGCCTTCCGGCGATCGTAACATCCCTAGCCACCTTAGGGTAGTCTCCGGGAATAACGAGCTTGGAGAGAAAGGGAATGGGCCCCGGGTCGTCTGAGTACCCCGCATCCGGCATCAGCCTTGGTGAAAGGAAGCGGCGAGAGTCTATGTTCATGCTAGAATACGGTACTGATGACAGATGCGATCACGATAAATGTAGATGAGGTGTCATCACGTGTCTTGTTTAGCGCGCCCCTTAGGGGCTTCTATGCCGCGCAGGTACTCCCTCCTGAGCTCTGGCGCGTTCCGGAGCTCGTGCTCAGATAACCATGAATCCTCCGTAGCGTCGAGGCCTTTCCATCTCACTAAGTAAAGACGTTTCCGTCCTGACTTCCGCGAGGAGACCTTGTGGCCGAGAATAGCTTCAACCTCCCATTCCTCAGTTGCTGGCAGTAAGTCTCGAGTAGAGGGCAGTTGATTGTGTTCGCCGAATCGATGCTCCGAAGGAACGTAACGCTTTAAGTGGGACAGATTTACTACGGGGTGCATAGGGTAGTTGGTTGGCAGCCGTAATCGGTAGACCAGAGGATTGATCTTCTCTAGGACTTCAAACGGCCCTATCATGCGCTGTACCAGCTTTCGCCCCGTGCCTTCGGCCTCCACGAGCTGCAGGGTATGTGGATTGACTAATACTAGGTCGCCCGGCTGGATAAGCTCCACTGGCCTTCGTTTCGCGTTGAACGCGCGAGCTTGCTTTTCTTGTGCTAGAATCAACGCGTCTCGGGCAGCGGCACGAAACTCTTCCAGATTTTGTGTAAATTCCTCCGCGAGCTGGCTAGGGAGGAAGGGGCGATTCGCATCGTCATGGTTGGGGACCATTAGCGCTGCTGATTGCTGCGGCTTGTAGCCTAGCAGCAGGAAATCCGGCCGATGTCCTGTAGACGAGTGGACCGAGGAGTTGTATGCGAATGCCAAATCACTCAAGTAATTGGACCAAGAGGCTCTGTCTTTGGCCACGTACGCCCGCAACATGGTTTCCAGCGTAGCGTTGAGCACTTCTGTCTGACCGTCCGTCTGGGGGTGATGCGCCGACGATAGCGCCAAATGGCAGCCGTAGCGCGCTACGACTGACCTCCAGAACGCCGAGGTCCAGCGTTTATCCCTATCGCATATCACTCGTGTCGGTAGCCCGTAGACGTTGACTACATGTTTGATGAACAGCTTGGCGAATCCTTGCTGGTCGAGAGTATCATGTGTCGGTATGAACAGAGCGAACTTGGTTAGCTTGTCGACTATGACGAGTACGGCCGTGAATCCTTCCCCTCCAGATGCCGGCAGTCCTGTAATGAGGTCAAGCGATACGGTCTCGTACGGGTAGGCGGGTACGTGTGCGGGACGTAGGCCCCCCATCTTCTTCGTACGGTCTACCTTGGTTTTCTGGCAGACGTCACACGATCGCGCGTACTCCGTGGCGTCCTTGACCAGGCTGGGCCAGAAGAAAATTTCTCGGAGCCTGCTTGCGAACCTTCAAGCGCCCTCGTGAGCGCTTTCGTACGGTGATTCATGAATCTGCCTAAGCACGAAAGGAATTTGCCCATGTGGTACGCATAGTCGATAGCGCCAATCTGCATCCACGAAGTAGAGCAGCCCGTTCGCTCCCTTCCTGAATCGCGGGGACGTGAGGAGTTTCTCGGGGTCCTTCAATTCCGACGCCTCAAATTTCTCCTTGAAGTACGCGTCCTTGATATAGGACTCCTTCCATTCTTCTAAAGCTCGGGGCGTGAATGCGACTAAGAGATGTGCTTTCGACAGCATTTCTTCATCTACAAACTCGGGAGGACGGATCCCTCTAGGGTAGGTCCAATGGTCGGCTGCGTCTTCGTGCGTTCCGCCCCACTCCTGAGGAAGGGGCAGGTCTACGTCTTGTAAGGGCGTATCTCTTGCAAGAGCCTTTGCCGCGCGGTCTATGCTTCCTTCCGTTCGCGGACTTACAGGAGGCAGCCTACTAGCTTTCGCCATCTGTCGAGTCTGCACAGCGTGGGCGTCTCTCATCCTTCCTTCCGCTTCCTCCTTACGATCGGCGAGAGCCTCATGAAGCCACCAGGAGGAAAAGGCGGCCTTGCTAGCAGTGTTCTTTCGATCTTCCGCGTTTTGAGCCAGCCGTCACTTGTCTTCATCGGGAATGATGGCGTCGACGGTGTCCCACACGGGAGATGTGTGTGGTGGTATGCGCGGCAGACGAGATAGGGGGTCGACATTGGAGTGCACACGGCCTTGTCGATGTACCACGGTTAGTTTAGGGTAAGCTGCGAACACGGCCCCCCAGGCGGCCAGCCTCCTGTTGGAGTTCTCATACACCTTGGCCCATTGTAGTGCCGCATGATCTGTTATTAGTGTGATAGTTTCTCCTTCGATAAACAGTTGGAACTTGACTAGAGCCTCTTTGGCACCCAGCGCTTCTCGTTCTGTAGCGCTGTAGTTCCGTTCTGCTGGCTTGAGAGTTCTGCTCCAGTACGCAATAACTCGTTCGACGTCCACGATAGTCTCGTCGAAGGAGGGTGCCCAAGTTCGAGCTTTCCCTACTGGACGGTTGTTCCCACCTGGCAATTTTAGCACTAGAGAGGGTACGTCGGCGCCAGCGTCAAAGGCGCGACGCAATCGTTCATAAGCGGGAGATCCGGCTAGGTCCTTGACCGCTATGCTCTGCACTTGCTGTAGGCTAGCACCTAGCGCGTAGTCCGAAGCATCTGTGTATAGGCGATACGGAGAACCTTGTTCGGGATGCCCTAGGACCGGGGCTCGAGCTAGAGCGTCACGGGTATTCTGGAAGGCAATGTCATGCTCCGTCTGCCAGCTCCATTTTGCTCCCTTCTTGAGCAAGGCGAATAGGGGGGCAGCTATATGCGAGTAGTGAGGAATATAAGCGGAGAAGTAGACGATCATTCCGAGATAGCGCTGTAGTTCCTGCACGGAGTTTGGTCGAGCTAGATCCATAATCGCTGCTACCTTCTCCTTGTGCGTGGACAGCCCTAGACGAGAGACCTTCTGTCCTAGTAGCAGAATCGACGAATACCCTATAAAACATTTGGATGGCGCTAACGTGACTCCGGCTTTCGCGATCGCTCCGAGAACGGCATCCAGGTGCTTCAGGTGTTCTGCCCATGACCGAGAGTAGATGACAATATTGTCTATATACACCAGTGCGAAGATCCATAGGAAAGGGGATAACACTTCCTGCATAAATCGTTGAAATATCGAGGGTCCGTTGCGCAAGCCAAACGGCATTCTTTTGAATTGGAATAGCCCGCGATGCGACCTGAAAGCCGTTTTGGGTCGTGACGATTCCTCTATTTCTATCTGGTTGAACCCTGCTAACGCATCAAACGAGGAGATGACCTGGGAGCCCGAGAGCGACTGTATGATCTCTGATTGCCTAGGAATAGGGAATTCATCCGCTACCGTCAGTGCGTTCAATTTCCGATAATCCACGCATAGTCGCGGCTTGCCGTTTCTGTAAATAACTAGACAAGGGAAACCCCACGGACTGACGGAGGGTTCTATTACGTCGTTTTCGAACCATTTCTTCAGCTGTTCGTCGATAACTTCCTTCTTGGCGGGAGATGTGCTGTACATGGGTAGAGATATGGGCTTAGCGTCCTGCGTCAGTGGGATTGTAGCTTTCGTAGCAACTTTGCCCAATCGCCCTCCAAGACCGAAGGCTAGAGAGTTCTTTCTCAAAACCTCCTCTAAGCGCGGTCGTACTTCCTCGGGTATGTCGGCTCCAAGGTTTACAGCTTCCAAGACATCTTCACTGCTGGCTCCCTCTGGAACAGCGGTCGTCTTGGGGCCCCAGTTCTCTGGCTCTTCTTCGTTTGCGTCTAGATGTTGTGTCTCCAGTTCTGTGCTCAGGATTGACTTAAGGGCTACGGCCGCAGAGGACCATTTTTCGAAAGTCGCGACGTTCCGTGGCGCATCGAGGTAGGCTTGTGGGTCGTAGAGATGACCCACCACGTCTCCTTTGCGCACCATTACTGGCCGATTCGTGGGGTTCGCCAAAGGTATATACGGGTTGCTGGCCGTAATTACTGTGGTCGGAGCTGAGATGAATTCGCTACACTCGTTGGATATGAGTAGCTTTTCTACCAGCCAGGTCTCGCGATCTTCGAAGGGTCCGTCTACTAGAATATTCGCGACGCATCCTGGCCGTATGTGCGTAGTGTGGCGGGCGAGGACGGGAGGCGCATCCTTGGGAGGGCCCCGCACTTGCCGTCTCGAACGAATTCTATGCTTCCCTTTCAGGAAGGATTGACCGGTGAAGGCTCTGCGAGCCTTGAATCCCCAATCGTTATCGTCACTTGTAGACGCCTTCAGCTGATACGATCGATCCCGGGGAAATATCTCGCATTGTCCGGAAGCCCTTCGCGTCACTCCGAGTTCGTAGGCAGTCTGGAAGTCTTCACCTAGAAGCAGGGGCACCCTCATGCCTCTGACTACATAGGCTTCCAGCTCGAATTGTACGATGTCGCCGGAAGTGGCTGGAATCAACAGCTTCGTGCGCACATAGCCTAGCACTTTTGCTGAGCCGGTCAATTGGTACAGCCGCATCCTTATCCCCTCCTTGATGTCTGGGGGTTCGTCTAGAGTCGAGAGGAAGTCTTCCGACATCAAAGAGACATCCGCTCCCGAGTCCAGTCGCGCATCGATTGTAGATGACTGCAGCGAGCCCACGTGGACCTGCATGCGCAGGGCTCGTATCCCCACAGAGCCATATCCTTCCGGGAATTGGCGACGCCTGATGGCTTGTACTAGCTTGGGACCGTTCACTGGATGAGGCTGGTTTAGAGAGGCCTTGCTGTTCCTACGCGTGTCAAACGGGTTATGAAGACTCTCGGCTAGATGCACCTCGTTCATGAAGTCTTTGAATGAGTCCTCTTCTGCCGAAGAAGCTTTGCTAGAAGGAGTGGAGGAGGAGGAGTAATCGCTTAAGGACACGTCGTTCCGCCCAATGTCGGGGAAGGGAGACGATCGTTCCTTACTGTGCGCACGACTCGAACGAGGGATATCGTCATCATTATCGACTTCGACAGTCTTAGCTACACGCATTTGAGTACCGCTTCTTCTGTCATTCCTTCCACGACTCAGCCAGGCGTCCCTCAGGCTTAGCCATTTTGCGAAATGAGGGCAATCCCGGTGCACATGCTTCGGACTCGTGCAGATCCAGCACACGTCTTTCGGGGGCTGTTCGCTAGTCCTAGAATCATCTCGCGTGAACGAATAGTTGTCCCAAGATCCTCCCCGAGGCCACTTGTTACGTGTCTCCTCGCTCCGCCGGAAATCCACTGCGTACGCTTCCTGAGTCGGCGAAGGCGATCGAGATTCGCTACTCGGGTCTCCTCCTTCTACGTTGTGGGCTGAAGCTCGTCGAGAGTAGAAGCGACGCGGTGGAGCCGTGCTGTTGTAACGTTGGGAACGCGGTCGCCTGCGACTTTCGGATCTCTCCCAGTCTGCTATCAAACCTTCGTTCATGCTTTTCAATTTACGAATGAGTTCGACCACTGATCGACAGGTTTCCACGTTAAGATGGATGGCCCAGCATGCAGGCTGAGTGCGTAGAACTCGCTGGACCATGCCCACATCATTGTCGTCGTTTTCCGAGTTCAAGAATCGACTGTATTTCAAGCGCCTTTGTATGAACTGCAGAGGCGTCTCGCGTGTGTGTCCCTCCTGCCTGAAGCGCATTTCTTCATATTCTATTGTGCGCTCGTCTATCCAGTGTGCGTCCATGAAATGTTCCCGTATGCAGAGGACGAACTGAAGATAGGACGAAGTAGCTGTACGTCGTACCTCCGAAGGCAAGGTAGTAAACCAATCCTTAGCCGCAGCCGTGAACCGGGACGAGGCTATCTGCGCGATGTCGGTTTCCATCAGCTCTCCTAGGTCACTGAAAGTCGCTAGATCGGTTAGGTAGTCAATCAGGGTCCTGCCGTCACCGTTCCATTCGGGCAACGAGCTCAAGGGAATCTTATGGTTAACTTGCCATCGCTCGGCGGCGCGCAGAGGCGAGTGATCTGGGCGAGGACCTCGGCTCGGGTCGTCGGGATCATCTGGATCTCGCGGCGGGCTTGGTCGTCTAGGTCTTCGTCCTCTTCTATTGTCGTCCCCTAGGTCATCTGGATCAGGTGGTCCGCCAGGCGGCCTGGGCGGAGGATGACGAGGAGGGCCACGCCGGCGCCTATCATCGTCTGAGTTGTCGCTGCTGCTACTAGGGGGTCCGCCAGGCCTTCTTTCGCTTGACAGGAAGAGATTATTCTCTCTTCGGGGGGATCGGCGGTCAGGGCCTTGTCCCTCGAGGGGCGCAGCGCGCGTCTGCCAGTTGCTCAGGTGTGCTGACGAGGCTGAATGCGCAGGCGGATCTCGCCAGGGTTCTCTTTCCCCGGACGGAGGTCGTGACAATGGCCCCCCACTCTTGAAACTAGGTGACGGGAGTCCCGGGAGGCGGGATATAGGGTGAGCTGGTATAACTGCCGTGACAGGCGCGAACTGAATCTGCCTCTGAGAAGGCCGCTTTGACGAAGCTGAAGAGAGAGGAGGGGGTGAGCGCTCTCGGTAGGAGGGAACACGGTAGCCGTCCGCTTTGAGGTTCGCCGCGAGCTCTTCAGCGGAGGTGCGGAGATGAGAGGGCAGTGTTCGACGCAATTTCTCATGATACCAGTACTTGGCGAGTTCCGTTCGAGGGGATTGCGTGCCGTACTGAAGTCGGGTCCCTTCTGATGTGGAGTCGAAGGAGATCTGGGATAACCGAGCATCCGACTCAGTGAAGTAGCGGCGCAACGACCGGATTTGAGCTTCGATATTATCGTGTGCACGGCTCAGCCTGTGCAGGAGAGTTTCCCAGGTCAACTCCAAGCCAGCTTTATCCAAGGAGTATTCGAGCGACTGTACAAACGTGTAGCGAGGATCGATATGGAAGGCGCGATTAGCTGGTATGCCTCGAAGCTCACTTAAGGCGATCAATATCTGCTGCACGGCTAGTACTACGTGCCCCATGCGCTCTAGTATCGTGATGCGGGGGTGGTACCTCGGAGCGGCTTTCGAGTTGAGTGGCTGGACGGTGATTATGGCTTCCGGGTCTAGCACGAATTCTTTAACGAGGAATCTGGGTAAGTCTGCAGACAGGTCGCTCCAAATCAGAAGTCGGTGCGGCGACCTCCATCGCAGTAGCACGGCTCGCATTAGAACCGTAGTTTCTTCGGGCTGGTCGGGTATTACTCCGGCCTCCCCTCCGACCTCCTTCAAGGGATCCTCGGACACATACGGATCGGGGATCGCATGCCATCGCTCCACCGAGTCGCTTAATGGTTCCACTAATATGTTGAACATGGCTGCTGTTTCGTGGAATAAGTTCTCTGGTTCCGGTCCTAGCAGTAACGATTCCGTGGTCTCCTGTTGATTGGGAATCAAGGATCGGAGAGAAGGAGTGGGCGATGCAGAAGGGGGACGAGAGGCGCTCGAGCCGAGTTTCGCGGGCCCTGCGGGCATACGTGACGTGGGTTTCAGCAGATCGTACGACAGATCCACTATGCTCTGTCCATGCGGAGTCTGAGGGTAGGAGTTTACATAGGGCGAGGATTCAAGCGAGCTTAACGGGGGTAACGGGACCTCTTTGCTTTTACCCTTGCTTGATGCCGCAGTAGCCGGCGGTAGTGCTCCTGCAGAGACTGGCGCGCGTAAGGTAACATTGGGAGGGTCTGTCGTAGGAGAGCTCGATGAGGTCCCGGGGGCGCTGGGAGCGGCTGGCCCTGAGACCTTGCGCACATTCATCGAACGAGCGCGAGTGACCGCTGGAGTGAATACCGCGTTTGAATGAGGAGGGGGAGGGGTTGACTGCGAGGACTTCCTTTTTGAACGGGAGCCCATGCCCTTCAGCTCTTACAACTGGCTTCATATTTAAGAGTCTGCTCTCCCCCTCCGGAACTCCCGTTATCAACCTCGACATTATGGCGTAGCGATAAGCAATCCCGCGTCTTCGCGAACAAAGGCTTCTTGATGCGAGGTAGATACGAAGTAACGGCGCGAATAAAGCTTGCCGGGGGAGCTAGCAGACCGTGCTGCGCTAGTATTAATATTCCTGAGCTCGCACGCTCTACATCCTCTTCTGAGGACGGAGCTCGAGGGAACAACCTAAGGAGCTCAACAGCGCGTTGCGCCAGAGCGGTGGCTAGTGGGCTCGACAGCGCGCAGCGCCGGAGCAGACGGATGCAAGCTCTACAGCGCTTAGCGCCGGAGCGCCCATCTTACAAGGCAGCTGAACGACTAGATGACATCCACGGAGATGCCACCATTGTAACGACCATCCGCGTGAATGTCGAGTCGGACAGCGGTAACCTGTATGCCTGGCTGAGGCTCCTGTGACCCTAGGAACGGGGGTCGCCTGTCACCCGGGCTACGGGGAGTGTTGACCCGCTCGGGGGGCGGGCGAGGCCGTGTACGCGTGATAGTCAGGAAGAGTAGTAGTTGTGTATTTTTGGACTCCGCTACCATACTAAGTATACGGGCGTGATAGCTACTTCTAGATAGGGTAAGTGCGTCCTCGTCACACCCACGGTGCACCCCATGCGCCGGAAGACGAAGAGCTACAGAAAATTATACGATGAAGTGTGTGGGTGTGGTTCACGTTCAAGCCTCTTCTTTTCAGCGACCTTGTTACAACTAACTTTCAAACGGCCACTACGGAATACATCTGAAACAACTCAAGAAGTCAAGGTAGAAATACATTGTTTCGAGATACCACAGTCGATACAGACAAGATCACGCTATAGCTATCGATATAGGTTAGTCACATACAACACTTCCGCACGTCCCAGACATAGTCAGTACCAGCACCAGTCAGTACCGAAGACACATCGTCAGAAATCATAAATGATGCGTACGAGAAGTGCAAATAGAAGCAGAGGTGGTGAAGGAGGGAGATGGAGCGTAATCGACATACGGATATACAACTACATCAATATAGCAGCCAGTCTACTACTAAAGTACTAAACATCTACTCGCGACGACCATTAGAGTAGACCGCGAGCCCGTCGTTGCCTCTCGGTGTATCGGTGTTCGGTGTATAGGTGCGTAAATGCACATTGTAAGTACGTTGGTAACGGTGGTAAGTATACAGGTTTACAGGAATCAGAAATACAGAAAAAGAGCAAAGAGAAAATCAGAAAAATATCCCTTGTCGTTCGGAAATGGTGAGGGCGCGTGAATAACAGACCGTCCGTCAGAATTTCATGAACGGAGGGTATTCGCGTTCGTATTTGTGTTCGTCCTTGCGTGCGGGCGCGGTCGCAAGTCGTGGGGGTGATCATTGGTGTTGACCGAGGAGCGCGAGGGGGTTCTTCAGGCGCATGTGTGAGGACCGCATCGTATAACCGAATCTTCTTCGATCCAGGCCCGGACAAGGTTCTCCCCTTCTTTGCAGCCCATGCACTATCATTTCATCCCATCAAGAGGCTCACAGCTGCCCAGCAGCAGCAAAGCTCCCAACAGTCGGCGACGTATCGGGCGCGCTCATCCTTCGTCGTCTCCCAGCAACCATGCCACCATACGAAGAAGGCGGCGGCGCCCCGCTTCGATCCACATTCATAGCGTGCGATTGCGGAGGCGAAAGGTGCTGCTGCTGCTGCTGTTGCTGTTGCTGATCTCGTTGTTGCTGTTGCTGATCGCGCTGTTGCTGCTGTTGCCCGCGTCTATATCCAATCTCCCTCCGTCTATAATCCTCATCAGCCGCAACATCGTCTTCGTCTCCATCCTCCCCACCTTCCTCCCCAAAGCCATACCCACTCCTCCGATCCAACATCGCCCGCTTCGCATTCATCGGCGCCAATGTCTGTGAGGGCAGCCGCTTAAACGACGGCCTCGACATCGACCCCGAATCGCCACCTTCCTCACTCGCATTGCTGCTCTCATCCAACGAAGCCGTGGATCCCCTCGATGGCGGGCTCGGGTTCTCAAACCCGTGCCCATCGTGGTGGTGTTCGTGATCGTTCGCAAGATACGCAAAGATCGCATTCGCGTTCGCCGCGTGAGAATGGTGCGCCGGGTTCGCCGAGATATGGGGGTGAGAGTGAGACTTCCCGAACGCATTCGCCAGAGATAGGGAAGAGGCACTTGAAGGCCGACTCCCACCGCCAGAAGACCCAGGTGGGTGGTACTCATATCCGCGCTTCTGCGGTGGCTGCATCTGCTGCGGATTCGCATTCGGGTTAGAATTCGAGCTGGAACTCGCATTTCCCATCGCGACTGGGCTCATGCTCGAACTCGCAGTAGCACCCCTGCTCCTCTTCATCGCCAGGTCCATATTTAGATTGAGGTTAAGGGGAGGCCGCCGCGCCAATATTGCAGCTTCGTAAGATCGAAGATCGTCGGGGTTCCCGTGTAGCGTTGTTCGAATAGACGAAGTCGCGCCGTTCCCGCCATCATTTCCGCCACCGTTGCCACTGGGCTGATAACCGTACCCAAATTGTGATTGCGACCTCTCGGCAGAAGGTGTCTGTACGCTAGGCAACGACGAGACTCTCGCGCGGCGGTACGGCGGTCCTGGAGAAACGGGATTGGATGGACCGCTGCCGCTGCCGCTATTGCTGAATGAGAAATTAAGGCCGTTGGGTGTCGACCCTTGAAGCGGTGTGCGAAGATACTGTTTCCAGCTCTCTTTGGAAACCTCGTCGCGAGGTGCGGATGAGCCGTGCGCAGGATTGGCGGAGAGAGGCTGAATAGGATGACTAGTAACTTTGCTATTATTGTTGTTGGTAAGTGAAACCGAAGTCGACGATTTTGGTGGCATGGGTGTTGCGTCTGGGTCACCGGGGTACATATCCATCCCATTATTCGTGAAGAACGGAGCGCCGTCGTTTGACAGTCCAGCCAGAATACTTGGATCGTCCAAGCTCATTAGCCCGAATGCTGACGAGAATCCGCCCTCTTGTTGTCCGGAGTCGGCATTGGGGTTTGGATCGGAAGGCAGCGCAGATTGCATGCCTTGATTACTCCCCTGCTGGTGCTGTTGGGAGGGATGAGGTTGATGATACTGTAAATAATTATGATGGGCTTGTGCTTGAGCATCCTGTATTCCAATTGAATCAGCCTGGCTCTCACTCGACGGAGCAGTGAGGATATCCTTGATGTGTTCATCCAAGTCACTCAAACTCACGTGGTACGCGTGCTGCTGCTGCTGCTGCGAGGCCATATCATCGAGAGGAAGATGAACGCTTGATGAAGATGCTGATGATGGCACAGAGTGACTCGAGGAATCACTGCTAAATTCCACAGAGGGGTGGCGATCGTGGGGCACGCGACGGACGGCGTAAGAGGGAATGTACGTATCAGCCGCTACTGGCGGATATGTGAATGATGGGTGGTCTGATTTGGGGTGATGATCTGTAGCAGTGACAGGCCTGCTTCCAGCTGCGAGCTGCGAGGTGGTGTCGGGTCCCCAGCCCAGCCAAGACGTAGCACTGGCATTCCGGGGGTCGTTGTAAAGCGTTGAGCCCGATGGCTGGGGGAGAGTCATACGCCGCATGTAATCTGCCTGCGAGCGAAACTTGTTGTAATCGCCGCTGCCCGGCATAGCGAGCGATGGAGGCGCCGACTCGGCGGTGGACGTGTATAGGTTGGGGAAGGTAAATGACGTGTTGTAGGAAGTTGGATCGCCGGGGATGGGCGCGATCGACGGTGGAGCTGGACCAAGAAGGAAATCGTCGGCCGTACCATAACTAGAGAGTCTTGAAGATGTGGAATTGGCCTGAGGGTGGGGATTGTGGCCCGGTCCAATAGGGGCCGTCTGCCGGTGGAACTTGACGAAAGTGCACCGACATTTCCGTTGGATACATTTCGCTACGAAAGGTTTAGTAGACGCTTAGACAGCCAAAGGCCGACTCACAGCACGGATTCGCGCCATCGCAAGGCAAACTCGACTGTACGCATTGATCGCAGGCCTGTTTCGACGTCGACGCTCTCGATGCCGAAGCCGACCCTTTCCTTCGAGTCGTCGTGGCTCCGGCTGGAGGCTTTTCGTTGGCGTGGCACTTATTTACGTGTCGAGAAAGCAAGTCACTGTATAAATTGAGTTCCTGGGGCCGAAAAGCACCAAATTGCACGAACCTTCTAGCAAACTGGTCCCCACAGAACTGGCATTTGTATGGCCTGTCGCCGGTGTCTGGAGAGTGGCGCGTTAGTTAATGATCGGAAGGGGAGCCGATGGAGCGGGGGTCTTGACTCCAACTCACGGGAGCGCATATGGCGCGCAACATGCTGGGGGCGGGTGAACGTCGCCTGGCACACTGGACACTTGTGGTCGCCGCCCATGACAGTGAGCAACGAGGATGATGGTGGAGAGAGGGAAAGAGGGAAAGACCAAAGGGAACTAAGACCGAAATTTAATAATCACCCTTCTTTTCGACACCATTACGTCATGCTTCGCACGCACACTTAATTTACACCAAACATTTCTGTTTTTGCCCGTTTTCCTCGAGCGACATCTTTAGCTCGCCGTAATTATTGCTGCTGCCGTACGCCCTTATATACTTCCCCCACTGCGAGTCTGGAACGGGCCACTTTGCGCGGAAAATCTGCAGCAAAGAATTGCAAGAATCATGACGTCGGGAAGACAAGATCAAACCTGACGTCATCACCCTGAAGTTACCCTGCGACCCCATTCTTCTCCGCAGTAAATCAAGATAAGCGCTGCTCATCGTCGTTGCAGACGTCAGCCAGATTCGCACCAGCACGACCCATTCCTGTGCAGCAGTCTCCACATTACCGAATCGTGCAAAACCAATACCAATATTATATATACACCGGTCAGCTGGCCGTAAACGCCATATGATTTACTTTTGGTCCTTTTCGAAAGCTGTTGAACTATTATTAACGCTCCCTCGTGGCTATGGCAACGCTACTAGAATCGATCGCAGATTCGAAACGCCCACGCTCGTGTCACGCTGCATCGTTGGCTTGGGCGCTTCATCTCGGTATGTTTTCGACATATCTTCGCGCGACCGCACGCAAGGGTGCCGTCCGTCTTCTTTCCCATGTCAAGGGTCTTCAATGAACTTCTTGTCCGCCTCAGCCACCACCGAAACGCTGTCGTTCACAGACATTCTCTCGTCGGAAATCCCGAAACCCAACGGAAGTTATCCAGGTAGGCGTTCGACGCCCGCCACGTTGTAAATATCAAATATCTAGTCCCTTCGCCGCTGCAGTGAGTTTTCGCCTTCATGCCCCCATAACAGGTTCGTTTATCGTTTATCCTAGCCCTATCTTCCATCTTCTCATTCCGCGAACCCTTCACTTCATCAAATTTCTTGTCTTCTCATCTTCTGTTCTTCCAGCATGACATTCAATAATCAATCTCTACCTAGCTGCGCCCTTCATTACTTCCGCTTAGGCTTGGTTAACGAGAACCCATATCAGAACAACCGGCACCGGTCAACCCGTCAAACAACAATGACTTTCTCACCAAGCCATCTCAGGCTAACTATATCCCCATCATTCGGGCTGTCCTCTCCAGCCTGCCAGCCCAAGCCTTTCCTTTCTCCAATCTTTCCCTTCTTTGCCAAATGCGTTCCCTTTATCCTTTTGCGCACCCGACGCCGACACTTCAAGCCAAAATTGCTTTATCTGGGTGATGCACGCTCGTGCAATTGACCACGATTTATCCGCCATTACGCATTACCCGCCATTGGTTGACAACGCTCGGCTCACGCACGCACTTAGGCGAGGCTACAAATCGTGTATGTATGTACTACAGGCGACAGCCAATACCCCGAGGGCGATCGGCTGATCCTGGTTGGCCAAGTGATGGCACGGCGTGGATTGGGCGTGGACGTGTCAATATGAATATATCAACAACAACGATCATGAACGGCTTCGACTTTACGACATCCCAGATTCCAACACCCTCACCAACCGGTCCCCGTGATGATCTATCACTCGTGCATCAGTTCGCAGGACCCCGCGGGCCTGCACATCGATGTCGATGCCATCAGTCCCCATCTTCCTCCATCCCGATTAGTCGTGACAGAATCATGATGCATGATGCACGATAGCACGATGTCGGATGCAGATGTCGGACATTGCGCAATGCACGACTCGGATACATTCACTAACAGCCCCTAACGTTATTCGACTTCGTTCACGTTATCCGATAAATCATAATCAATTCACATTAGTATACATTATATCGCGAAGATCGAGTCATCCGACGGTATTCTATTGTCTATTGTCTATCGACGCGAGGTGAGGTGAGGGTGAGTAAGGTGGCTGGGGTGGCTGGGGTGGGACGCGTGCTGCAGCTGCCTTCCTGCCTGTCTTCTTGCCTCTTCCTGCAGGCGTGCACATTTATACTTACGTTTGGAAGCCGGGTATAGCGATGGCTGTGCAGCGTAAACAATTGAAGACTTCGTCGTGGAGTGGAGTGGAGTGGAGTGGGGAATAAAGAACCGGTGGTGAATAGGCAAGGCGCAGATGGATATTCGGGGTCGTCGAAGCCTCGAAGAGCTGTGCCCGGGAGAAGGTGTGGATCCAACGTGTTCTGCTCCTGTCCTCTTAGTAAGTCCTGCTAACCTGTCTCGGCGAGCCCTGTGGCCCTCCGGTGAGTCGGCGGCTGATCTACTTCCTCTCTTTTATCCTGATCTCTTGGGCTGACGACTTTGCTTGGTTTTGTGCGGATGTAGGAGGATGCAGTGGACCGCTGGATCGATGCCTCGAGTGAATAACGCTGTTGGATACTCGGGGTCCCGTGGTCCGTGGAGTCCCCGCGCTTCGTTGGTTCACCGTTAGTCCATCGTTCGGCGCTGGTCTGCAAACAACAAACTCCAGTCCCCAATTGCTCCACCGTCCCTCACCGCCACGGCCGAGTCTTGGAGCTCGTGCTCCTACTTGAGGGTTACTCCCGATTTGCAGGGCCCGCAGGGCACAGGCCCATTGGGGCGGTACTTATACATAGGACAACCCAAGTCATAGAATTTCTGCTCTCTTCCCACTGCGCCTACTATGGGAGGTCGTCCACGGGTGCGTCGCACCTTGGCCCCCTCCATACCATTCCTACTACAGCCACAATACTCGGTGCTCGGCACTAGTACCACTCAAGCGGCCAAGCCTAGAGGTCGGCAGTCCGAACGGGAATATGGGGCGCGACGGGTGTCCAGTATCCGTATGTATATTGCCAACCCGCCCGACCGTACAGGCAACAGCTATACAAAACGAGGACTTTCCCGAACTTCGTCTCTATATGATCCCTGGGCGCTGTCCCGCTGGACGCTGGCGTACTTCGCCAGGAAAGTGAAGTCGTAGAATTTCTCCGCCGTTGCACAATACTCAGACCAGGAGTACGAGCCGGGCACTCCGAACGGTAATCAATAGGTATCCATATATCCACGTACCCACACAAATCTGTCGATTCCGCCGTGTGTACAGTGCTGGTGCGGAACGAAGACTATCCGGCCCTCTGTCCTTCCCTTCCAATTACCAATATTTCCCGTCGTACAGGCTTTGAGATCAACCCTCCCGAGCGTTACACCGAACATTGAATCCCGATAAACGCGTAGGTGGTTCTAGGCGGAGACAAGGCGGAGGCAAGGCGGAGGCGGAGGTGTCTATGTATGTAAGAGTGGTGTAGACAAGGCCGAGACCCTCTCTACCTACCTGGAACGTACTAAGCTCTAGCTAGTCGGTGGCCGGGGCTTCATATAGCTTCATACGTTACTCAAGCACACGGCACAATCTCGTGCTACATACCTCTAATTGCACCGACTGAAGATAACTCATCGCCACGTATGGAGCAAGTCTCAGTCTCCTTGCTCCCTAGGCATCTTAATTCTCGCCAGCAGTATATCGAGCGACGAGCGGCAGCACATGCATACCTCCTTGTAAACCCCCGGCCAACCGAAGTGAATTGGAGAACGCTCCTTTAGCCTGGGGAGCAAACTTCCACAGAGGTGCATCTGATGGTATTCATATCAGTCACGTTGTGTTCGCGGAACGAAGACTACTCCGTCGTACAGACTCAACAATCCCATCCAGCGATGCACCGATAAAGGCGCAGGCCGTAGGCGGAGACGGCGACGTACCCCAGGCTTAAAGCTGAGCGCTGGAGCTTGAGGCCTTGAGGGCCGAGACCGTCTCCACTCCACTTAATTACAGAACGCAACGCCTGTCGGTGATTCGTACGTACCCCGAGTGGATCTCGCGCACGGCACAACCCTTCCAGTCCTTGCATTGACAACGCGACTCGCGTCCAGCCACGTATGGCCCCGCAATCCCCTCGTTGTTGCACGCCTGAATCTCTCCCTGTCCTCACGGTACGATATACTTATGCGGCCAACCGTATATCGAATGAACCCTTGAGCTTGAACCTTGTCACCCAACCTTCAAACTTCAGCTCTTGCGATCCTTCTAGCTTCCCCGCTTCGCTTCTCAAACTCCGCCCCGCCAGCAGAATTCCCAACCCAGATTACATGTAATCGATAATCGATTATTGCTGTTTGCAGAAAGGCTAACCGTAATGCTAACACGTTTTTGGCGCCGCCGATTACATCTACGCCACATCGTATGGACAGTTGATCAACTAAGTTCGCGGTCGAAGATTCAAGAAGCACTCTGTCGTTTCCTGGACAACGGGGGTGCGGGTGCATATGCGCTGTAGCCTCTAAGCTGCTGGCTACTAGCCGACAGTCGAGGCAGCTCTTCGCTAGCAGCTGTTTGCCGTTGGAAGTAGCGATTCATCGATTTATTGATCGCATATTGAAATATTGCGATTGGACCTGCGACGAAAAGAAGAGTTGGTGAATATCGGAGTTATGTTTTCTTGGCGTGCTGCCAGCAATTCGATTGTTTGAATATCAATTCGACCATATTGGCGTCCACGATAATGAATGTGAAGTGATTGCTCCACCTTTGGGCTTGAGGCAATGTGTCTGATGGATCTGATATGCACCGTTGGTTCCGGGGCGACGTGAGAGGTGAAGGAAAGGAAGAGAAGAGGCGGCAACAGCGACGAGCTGTCTTGTCAGATGTCGCCTACGTCAGGATCGAATCTAAGAAGAACAGGTCAGGGATCGAGCACACGACAGCTCGACGATATGGAGATGCAAGAGTGCATGAAAATTGGTGAGAAGATGAGAGGACGCCGACGTGTCTTACCACTGTCGTTGACGAAGAAATCATGGGTTGGAGTAGTCGTGGGCACCAACCGGGCATAGTTAACCATCATTTATTAAGTGAACATGTAAGTATACTATTTGTGACACTTTAATTGACTTGTACACTATACGCAACAGCTCATTTTCCTCAGAAAGTTTGCCAGCATATGCGCATCTAGACCGTCCTTCCAGAAGGATGTCGCCTTATCCGCGATATAAACAACTATGGTCATGTTAGATTAATCTTGGCGGTACAGGGGCATAGGGGCGACACGTGACTACGTAAGATTACATCCCGCGCTCATGTACCTTTTTCTTCATGCGTTTGCTGGAGTCCCAGTCAAACGCAATACACTACTTGATTACTCGGATATCGCACGACCCTCATCAACTTATTTTAACAGGTCAATCCACTGCAATATACAAAGCCTGGTAGCCAGTCGTCAAATTTCTCCCGTTGCTGATTGGAATGCGGAAGGCAGAACAATTCGCTAGCGAGGTCAGACCTCCAATTACACGCCTATTCCTCCTTTGTTTTAGCGATTACCTGTTTGAGGGCACAGGGGAGATAGGAGTTGCACGTGTCTAGCGATTTGCTTTGTCCACGTTTGGCTACAAGTTCGTTCCACCAAGTAACATTCATCTCATCTACTCAGCTCCGTTTCGATGTGATGGATTCGTCGTCACCTGGGTCGAAACTCGAAATGTACATGGAAGGACACATGTCGAATGGAGAGGCACCATACTGTGTAGGTCACCCACTGCCACTTAGTTGGAGGGTATCAACGGTCTATTGGGACTCGCACATAGTCGGAGGGCATGGTTCTGACCCAAGTACTTTTCACCTCACGATACCGGTGAGTACGTCGAACGCCACCAGCTATCATTTCTCCTAACATAATCAACTTGTTGATCCAAACGTTGGTTCGTCTTTGCACATAGCGGATATGTTGATTGTAGTACCTGTGTGTCGCAGTCACCGCTACTGGGCTGCATAGGTCTCGATTTGCGATATGGAGATTTGGGACGCAGTGAAACTGTAGAAAGACCATAGTCCCTGTCAGGCCTTAGACACCCTCTGTCTCTGATGCTCGAGTTCTTGCCCAGCCGTGTAGAAGATTGACCCTAGACTCGCAGGAGGCTGAGAGAATGGCATGGATACGAGGACGCAATGCGCAGTGCCGACGCAGTGCCATCCACCCTCTGGCACATTCTCTTGGAAGAGCCACGTACGTCCCTTTATATTAGCCCAAAACTATGTCGTTTCTGATGGGTCGTAAAGCTCACAAGCTCTTCTCTTCTTTCTGTACTTCCCGGTTCGCAAGGGCCCCACAATATCACCTGGATTTATCCGAGGCAACTCAGCGGGCCACTCAGAATGCCAGCTTCTCTCGCCATAATATCCCTAACTTATAACTTATGGAGATACATCAAGTCAATTCAAGGTCAAGTGTTTGTTCACGCTAAATGAACGGCGAACGAGCTGATCATTCCGAGGCCTGTACCATACTGCAAAGAAGCTCAGCTGACCTGCACTGTGAACAACCCAGTCTCTTGAATGCCCATCGTACCCGGCGAGCGTAATCCCCTGTGCTAATATCGAGGGACTACAAAGGCTACGTACCATATCCTAATACTTGCCATGATTTCAATGCTACTCCACCCATGTCGAGAATGTATAATGCACTGGTCGTATTCGGAGAGACGTGAAGACGACTTCGTGCGGTCCGGAGCGCCCCCCACGCTCGATTGCACGCATCACTCTGGCTTTCGCGAATACCATCCAGGCGTAGTTTTTCTCACATCTTGTGAGCGTCTCAGCTCGGAGGACGTCAAAGCAACGACAATATCCCGAACAACGGGTCTTTCCACTTTTTTGTAGCTCGAGATGCTTTTCCTCGTCTTCTGATCCTTCTTCCCGCCGGAACGACAGTCCCCCGAATATCCCAAATTTCGAGACTTCGACGTTCGACCTATTCCTGGTGTCTGATCCTTTGGGTCATGGGGCACAGGCACGGTAGAACTGCAGCGGGAGGGCTTTAATTATGGAACTGACAGCCACTTACAGGCTACGCGTCGTACTACATCTGTGAGTGCGAAGCAATTTCCGAACACCTTCGCATGTTCATCACGCATCACATCCCTAAACTGCGTGGTCCGGGCGGTCCTGTCGGTCCGCTCCTATCCTTATACCATCTTCCTAGCATTGCCCTCCAATGACCAGGCAGCCGACAGACGGACGCCACAAAACGTCGTACTCGTCATATGGTGTCGTACCATCCTGACTGCTGGGTCTAGTGCTTGTATAAAAGCTCGCCGAACGACGATGCGATTGAAGTAGAACAGTTCTGTTCGTTCTATCCAGTTACTCGCTTACTCGAAAATATCATGAAGTGGTTCGTCTCCACCGTCGCCTTTCTGGCTGTCCAAGTCGTCTCGGTAATTATCCGCGCATTCCGTCGCTCAGCTAGAACTAATGTTCTACTCAGGCTTCCCCCAGCTTGACGAAGAGAGCTTCAGTGAACGATGTCGCTACCCTTGGATTCGCTACCCTCAATGGCGGGTACGCACCATCCCATCCCCATTGTGAAATGATAACTTACGCGTGTTCTAATGTGTATAGAACCACTGGCGGTGCAGGAGGTCCTACAACTACCGTCTCCACCCTCGATGCGCTTACTTCCGCTGTTGCTGGAGACGCCAAAAAGACAGTTATAATCTCAGGTTAGTAATCGACTCTCGGCTGGACGGATTGACCGACCTAATTCTTTGTCTGTACTGCAGGCAGTATCACTGGTGACGCGATCGTTCTCGTCGGGTCCAACACATCCGTTCTTGGACGCAATGCAGGTGCGTCTCGTTACGTTATATCAAAAGAACTGATTTGTCTAACTATGGGCACCAAAATTGCAGTACTTACCGGAATTGGATTGCGCGTGCTCAATGTCACGAATGTCATCATCCGAAACGTGAAAATCGCGAAGGTCCTCGCTCCGGGAGACAACATCGGTATCCAGTCGGCGCATCAGGTATGGGTTGACCACGTTGACCTCTCTAGCGACCGAGATCACAACAAAGACTTGTGGGTGTCTACTTTTACATGCCGCTTGATTTATATTAACTGAATACTGAATACAACGCTTAGCTACGATGGGCTTCTTGATATCACCCATGGCTGCACGGGTGTCACTGTCACCAACTCTGTCCTGCACGACCACTGGAAGGGTTCCCTCGTTGGACATTCGGACAGCAACGGAAAAGAAGATGTAGCCATCACTGTCACCTACGCAAACAACTACTTCTTCAACATCAACTCCAGGTAAGAAATTTCCCCGTGCAATGTATTATTGTACTTCGTACCAGACGGTTTGAACTGATCCCTTCTACGAATAATAGGACCCCGTCATTCCGCTTCGGAACGGGACATCTCTTCAACAATGTATTTGACAACAATGGGGATGGAATTAACACCCGCGACGGTGCCCAGCTCCTCATTGAAAACAATGTTTGGTCTGGTTCGTACCCCGATACTGATACTCTTCTGTGCCTTGTTCTCATTATGTAACGTCCTTGAATTGACCAAATAGCCTCGAAGAAGCCCATATTCTCCACCGACGAGGGCTTTGCTGTCCAACGCGGGAACGACTTAGGTGGCGTCAAAGGCACCGTCAACGACACTGTCGCCGTCGGCACATTCACATCTCCGCCATACTCGTACTCCCTAACCGCGACTGGTAGCGTCAGATCAGCAGTTGTCGGAGGAGTTGGAGCTACGATTTCTTTCTAAACATCCCGGTTGCAAGGTGAGGGTCGAATGTAACTCGAACTTCGCAGTACAATGTGGGTGTACGTAGATAGCATCAACATGGGCTCCACTTGCTTCGTGTGTTGGCTTACCTCGTTGTAGGTTGAGAGTTATTCGAAGATGGGGACGGCCTGCATCTGTATCGCTGGTGTTAGGGACTTCCTGGCCGACTTCACCCCTGCGCCATTCGGTACAGTCTGGACGTCTCCGGATTGAAACAACGCGCAGCAAGGAATCTGTGCCCCATGGTGGGCCTGCCAATTTGCAAAACTCAATGCTAGGGCGTTCCATGTTCAATATCAATCATCAATGAGACTCAAAGGAAAACCTGCCACGCTGGACATGACTTACCATCGCGCGGCCGACGCTTTCGAATCTGGAGGAATTTGCCCGCGCTCGTCTTGCGCTGAGCGGCGAGCGCCACCGCGCGACGCGATCGAATCTGATCGAATATGCACCCGTGACCGTGGAAAGAAGCTTTCGTCTCCTGTCTCCTGAGTCCTATATTTTGTAGGCTGACGCTCTCGCAACTTCTTCTTCACCTCTTTCTTCCTTACCATCATCAGCTCAACTACAATCATATATCACTCTCTCAATCTCTTCTCAACTCGCACATACGACTCCCTCACCATGCCATCAACTCCGCTTCTCCGTACTGGGTCTAAGTCAGCTTCCCCTTCATCCACGAGAATACGAGGCCCTCAACGTATCCATGAGTGGTCCTACATCCTGCTAGCGTACGAGTGGCTGTAGGGCCACAATTTCGCTCCCCTCCGTAGAAATGGCTGGTAACGCTTGAGTCAGATGCCTGGCCCTTATAAGTTCACGGCGGGAGCTCGTGCTGCTTACGGATCAGCACATGCTGTGGCACTCACGTCTCGTCACTTTACGCAGGTATCGCAGCAACTGTGTTGTCGCTTCTCAGAAAGGACGGCAATACATGTGGATGACAAACGGTAGATTGATGCTACATGGACAATTTAGAGATGTTTATGTACTTAGTAAGAAATGTCCTGCGCATTTTTGATATCTTTCAAACGAGGACCTACGGCAATATCCTGTATGTCAAGAAAAATGGGTTTTCGGGTCGATATCGCCATCAAGCACGGGTAGAGCATTATAATGTAGTTTCTGAACACAGGAGGAATCCAGAGGATGCGGGCATCTGAGGAGCCTTGATTGCCCGCATGATAAATCCATTCTCCACGGCGAAAAAATAGACGAGGCGGGGGAGATCTTGATTTGTACAAGGCATCATTGGCGAGCATGTGATTTCCATGTCCTTTTGCTGTGTTGCTGGAGGCCGTAGCAGAGGAGGCCGCTGCGTCCTGCAGTTGCTGGCCTGTTGCAGCATCCCAGATGCGGATCGTCGCGTCATCTGACCCTGACACGATCTGTGCCCCGTCAGGCGAGGATGCGACGGAAGTGACCAAGGCTTCATGCCTGGTGAGCGCATCACCAACTTGCTGCCCTTTTGCAGCATCCCAGATGCGGATTGTCTTGTCATCTGACCCTGACACGATTTTTGTCCCGTCAGGCGAGAATGCGACGGAAGTGACACAGTCTTCATGCCCAGTGAGTGCATTACCAACTTGCTGCCCTGTTGCAGCATCCCAGATGCGGATCGTCGCGTCCCATGACCCTGACACGATTTTCGTCCCGTCAGGCGAGAATGCAACGGAATTGACCCAATGTTCATGCCCAGTGAGCGCATCACCAACTTGCTGCCCTTTTGCAGCATCCCAGATGCGGATCGTCTTGTCGTATGACCCTGACGCAATCTGTGCCCCATCAGGCGAGAATGCGACGGAAGTGACACAGTCTTCATGCCCAGTGAGTGCATCACCAACTTGCTGCCCTGTTGCAGCATCCCAGATGCGGATCGTCTCGTCGGATGACCCTGACACAATTTTCGTCCCGTCAGGCGAGAATGCAACGGAATTGACCCCATGTTCATGCCCAGTGAGCGCATCACCAACTTGCTGCCCTGTTGCAGCATCCCAGATGCGGATCGTCTCGTCGGATGACCCTGACACAATTTTCGTCCCGTCAGGCGAGAATGCAACGGAATTGACCCCATGTTCATGCCCAGTGAGCGCATCACCAACTTGCTGCCCTGTTGCAGCATCCCAGATGCGGATCGTCTCGTCGGATGACCCTGACACGATCTGTGCCCCGTCAGGCGAGAATGCGACGGAATTGACCCAATGTTCATGCCCAGTGAGCGCATCACCAACTTGCTGCCCTGTTGCAGCATCCCAGATGCGGATCGTCTCGTCGGATGACCCTGACACGATCTGTGCCCCGTCAGGCGAGAATGCAACGGAATTGACCCAATGTTCATGCCCAGTGAGCGCATCACCAACTTGCTGCCCTTTTGCAGCATCCCAGATGCGGATCGTCTTGTCGTATGACCCTGACGCAATCTGTGCCCCGTCAGGCGAGAATGCGACGGAAGTGACACAGTCTTCATGCCCAGTGAGTGCATCACCAACTTGCTGCCCTGTTGCAGCATCCCAGATGCGGATCGTCTTGTCGTATGACCCTGACACAATTTTTGTCCCGCTAGGCGAGAACGCGACGGAAGTGACCCAGCCTTGTGCATGAATCACTAGGGGTTCTGTAGGAGGCCATAATTTTTCATGGCCGTTGGTTACAGTTATGGGGATGCAAAATTGGTCTTCATAAAGTTGCCTGACTTTCGATGCTTCAGGCGAGAAAGTAAGCCCTGAGTAATACAGCTGTGGCGCAGAGAGCATGTAGCCATTGCGAAAGCGCTTCTCAAATTTGATGAAGTCCGCTAGAATTGAGACGAGCTCTCCAGGCGAGTGTAACTATTGATAAGTAGTCAACAATGAACAATGACGATGGAATACATCACACTCACTGATGCCCAGTTTTGGAAGCACGGCAGCATCCCGCCTGGCCCATCTTGCCAGCTTTTCATGTAGCTATGGATCTCGAGCCAATACAGAAAACGCTTCTTGAGAAAAAATGAAAGAGCTATTCTCAGGTGATTAAGTTCTCCAGCCCGCGATTTCTGGGTATCGGTGGGCGTGACCTGCTCATTAAGATTGCCGAGGGACTTGTCCAGGTGATACGCAGCACATCGACACGCATACTTCAGCTCAGGATCAAGCTTCTCGGCTCGCTCCTGAAAACCGTTGATTTCGCTGTTCAATGCATACGATGTGTCAAAACCGCACATGTTGAATCTGAGCTGAGCATTAGTGATGTCGAGACATGCCAGAGCCAGCAGTTCTTGATGGCGCGGCCCGATATCGACTGAGAAGTCAGGTCCTTTAGGCACCTTGACTGGCTCGACAAGAAAGTCGCGGAAAGAGGTATGAAGGGGTAAAACGGGCACTTCGTTGGCATCAAAGGTACTCCCGCTAAGCAAAGAGCCGAGCGAGGGAAGGATTGACTCCAAGGCTGACCGCTCTTCGCCTGACTGCAAGGCAGACCACCGCCCACATGGCACCGAGGCTGACTGCCTTTCGCGAGAAAGGGTGGCGGCGGCAAGCGGCAGTAAGGTGTCGCGGTGCTGTGGTGAGCGCACTAGGAATATTGATGCCATTAGGTGCTTGAACGCTTTCAACCGAAGTTCGTTTTGTGGGTCAATGTACGCCTCCAGGACCTGCTCGTATGTTCCATACAGGGTATTGAAATCTCCAACTTCTAACTTCCTGATGAGCCGTTCCCTACTCACTTGTGGACCCATCAGCTCGGCACAGAGGAGAGCAGCACATTGGAACAGGCCCTCCGCCACATCTGTGACACGATTCACGAGGTTCACAACATCCGACCAGTCACCAAGTTTCTCATGAACGAAGATGCGGATGTCCTCAACAGTGAGCCATTGCTCGTCATCAAGCGATATTTGCACTATGTGTGATGTGCAATTGAGCTTCGCAAGGATATCTGCATTTGGCCGGCAAGTGAAGAGAAAGCGACAATTTTGCGGAAGGTCGGATGAAGACGAAATGATTTTGTCGAGAAGGTTGAGCAAGGGACGCGATTCCAGACATTCATCCAGAGCATCGATGACGAAGACAATGGGTCTATGGCTATCCGCATGCTTCAGCCCTTCAATCAATAGAGCCTTTACTTGATTGTCAAGGAGAGAGCCTTTAACATGCTCCATGTCGAGGGTACGCAAATAACGCAGATAGTGGGGGTCGCGTGACGCGAGGCCCCAGGCCCATGTAAGAAGAAGTTTATCGATGGAACGATTGGCCACTGATCGATTGAAAGCAAAAAAAGACACATTGGCAAGAGACGACTGCTGTTTCTCGACGTTTCCGAGGGCTCGAGATACGGTGTGGATAATGGCCGACTTTCCCTTGCCAGCAACACCGTACAGCAGCAAGGCGCGCTGAGCCCCCGGGAGAATGACCCACTTTTGAATGTGTGTAAGAATGGCTTCACGTGTCCCGTCGGCACAGGACTTCGATGGGTCAAGCCCTGCATCGTCCGCGTGGGGAAGCGAATTCACGAACAAGTTATCCTCTACGTTTCGTCAGATATGGTTATTTAGAATTGCATTGTACCCACCTATTTTGGTGACAATATGCAGTATGTCGCACAGCATTTCCTGCATATCCAGATCCCGGCTATGTTCAAGACGCTGCATGATGGTCCCAAGCTGCCCTTGAAGCTTCTTGATCTCTCCTTCTAAGTCGTGCAAGTTTGCCGCTGATAAAGACGATGAGCCATCATAAAGCTCCGTACAATGGAACACTGACCAATTTTGGTTGGCGACAGCAAAGCGACAAAGTAGAGGCATCGATACACTGCTGGAAACACGTATTGATAGACTCTAGTCTGGTTCGGGCGATGTTGGTCTAGCTTGCGGTTGTCCCAGTCTGCAACGAGCATGCAGGCGTCACCGACAGCTTGTAACAAGCCAGTGACGGATTCGCGGCGCTTGACATAACCGTCGCATTCCTGAACGGAGGAGTTGGTGTCGATTCGCGCAAAAAGATGATTGAATTCTTACCAAGGCAATTGCTTCCACTAACCCTACGATAGCTTTACCAACCGGGGTCGTAAGCTGTGTTTCATGGATAAATCAGTCGAATGCGCAAAAATGGAAATGGGCTACCTGTGATAATGCTTTCCCAACTCCGATGAAACGCTTAAGACTGGCGAAGGTAGCGAGAAAGATAGAGTTGATCGGAGGGAGATCGCCAATGCTCGTGAACTTGAAGTCAAACTCAGAGTGAGTGGTACGCTTGAAAGTCATAACGGGGTCCTCTTTCAAGGAGCCCAACAACTTGGGAGACGTCCAGGAGACTTTGACTATCAAGACGGTCAGCACATATAGCCGGAATATATGTCAGGTACGAACCATCACCATCCAGGGAGCTCAATGGCACCTTCGTCTGGGCAAGTAGTTTCCCTTCATCCTTGTCGGTCACATAGAGCCTGATTTCAACATTCGTCGTAGGCTTAGAAAAGCTGCGCAATATCAGAACAGCCACAGCGTCCAAAACGGCAGAACCTACAAGATCATGGGTGGGTTTGCTATCGATTTTTCTTTCTTCTTCTTCACGAGATTTGCAAAGCTATCCATTCCTGATAAGATTCGCGAAGACGCATAGACAGAGTACGGAATCTCACCGATTCGTAGATGGCCTTGGCGTAGCCTCCGTATCCCTCTTTGCAATTGCCTTATGCAACGAATCGATTGGGTATCCCGCATCTTCAAAACCCTCGATGAACACAATGGCGCGCACCGGGCATTGGGACTTGAACACCCCGAAAGTTGTTTTTGAGAGGGCTATTAGACCGCGGCATCCAATATCTTGAAGAAAATGATAAACAGTAGTCGTGGGCGAGACAGAGGGACTCACAAGTGATTGCAGTGTAAGGAAACTCAGTGTCGCTCTGCGTCGTTGCCATCCTTCGAGCCGATGAGAACAACGAGGCAAGCGTCTCTTTTGAATGGACATGCGTACATTGCGTGGCATACGTGAGACCCAGCTATTGATGGAAGCTCATCGCCTTCGGGCGCTCTTGCGATTGCAAGCCAGGTTGAGCATAACAGAGGATGAAACACATCCGTTAGTTTAGTCATGTAATATGTACCCCAGTAGCTGAGGTGTGAGCAGGAGGGCCGTATGGCGGCGGGAACTGATTTCCAAATATACCAGAACGTCAGTGCGTCGGCCAAAAATCGATTTCTCTTGCGGACTACAGATCTTCACGCTCTTTTGACACTGGTCTCGCCTTTCGCCACATCTAGCGCGTAGCCAGTCATCTTCGCGACGGCGACCCCCAGCCCTTCCCTCTGTCTCAACAACACCAGTCGCGCGAGTAGAGCGAGGAGAAGCATGATATATTGATATCGATACGGTATCGATAGGCGCTACGATACGCCCATGGCCCTGCAGATCCTCTCGCGCTGTCGATCCGACGGCTCGGAGGTTCGAAGGTCGAGCACGAGGTCTACGCTCCGTCACGATGAGAGGTTGGGAATGCTCGCCGGAATGCGCACTCTCTTGCTTGAGCATCCCATACCCTTACGATGTATCACACTGATAGTAGATGGAAAGTGTACAATGAAAGGTGCCGGTGAGTCTTTATCGTTATTTGGTATGAATGTGGGCGCAGACAAAAGACGACGTAGGCGTGGAAGAAGGTGCAATTGGTGGTGTTCGGGGACAACAAAGGGGAGACTCCAGAGCGTAATACCAATCAATGCGAGAGGGGAAGTATGACTATATCGGAGCAAACGGAGACGAATCACTGAAGGAAGGAGGTTTATCGAGCGAGTTGAAGTGGTGGCGCGAGTAGCGGGAGCCGACGACGATGCGCAGCGGGCCTAGAAAGTGCCTGTTAGTTCTACATAGTGCAAAGTACGAAGCTACTCACCTCGTCTTGGCGCGATTCTAGAATACACCGACAATTGTAGTATTCCGTAGGCGATCTCTTCTACTCATGTCTGGCAGCGTCTGATTCGCACTGACTACCGACCGCAAGGAGCAAGCTGGACCTCCATGCTCTCGTTTACCAAGTCGCGGATGGCGTCGACAGACCTGAGTAGGTCCAGAGGGCGGTCAATCCTGACGAGATTCAGTAATTGGTAGATATTATTCGATTCAGCTCGTACCCCGATTCATTCCAACCCGTTACAAAGAAAATATCCAGGTATGCAACGAGGTCAAATCGAGGTTTGGCCCATTTCTGTAGCTTTGAGTATGATGGCAGGCTGCCAGATACAGGCGTTATTTCATACATGGGATCAAGGGATTAAAGGCTCTTGTCCCATGAAGCTCGGATATCGCAGCCGTGGGTGGATACAAGGGAGGCAAACCCGTTACGAATGTACCTGTGGCCACCATGGGTCCAGTTCCTTATGGATTGCATGAGGACGCACGAGAGGGATTGCAAGGAGATTCGGGAGGTTCTTGGGAGTGTCAAACGCCGACAGCACGTACGCCAGGACGATTAACGAGGAAGACAACCCGGGAGGTTCGGGCCGGGGACATCCGGTGCCCTCACCTTCTCCTTCGCTTTCTGTCATTCCGCGTCCCTAACGCTCTTTCAAGAAGCTCGTCGATGGCGCGTCAGCCGTTCAACGCCAGGAGGTGCGCCACAAGCAGCATGGAACTTCGGTGCAACGCTGCCCGTGCGCAGCTCAAGCCAACCATGCCCGCGACTTAGTGGTGGCAGAGTGGCGATGAGGGAGCCGTTGCGCGTGTGCCTCCCTCTTCTCCCCTTCCCCCATTTTATCTTGGACTCTCGTGCGCCTCAGTTCTCCAGGAAGCCCATCGTCGTTCGGCCGGCGACGATGGGCTTCCTGGCGTAATTGAAAGTGGCATCTGAGTCCTTGATGCGAATCCATGGCGGCTTGGCCAGGCCGCCATGGAGTTGCTAGATGAAATGCGGGAAGGATAGAGGAGGGTGGTGAACGGCCGCCCGCATGTTATGTCTGCCTCACCAACCGTAGCCGCCGTTGGTGGGGCAGCATTGCGTGCGAGCAGCAGTCTTCCAAGGTGCGTCTTCGCCGCGTTCTGTTGCGCGTTGAAATAGTAAATAGGGTGGTGCATCTGGCGTCGCGTCGATCCATCAAGCTCCCGTTCAAGGCCTCGTCGCGCAGTCGAACTTTGCAAGAAGTTCCTGCTGATCTATCGATGGACGAACGCTGCAGGCTCCACCCCCTCCACCCCACCCCCTCCGCGACGTGCCAAGGCCTGTCCAGTCGCGCACTGGATGTGTGTTTGTCATGCTCCTGTGTTGTTGTTATCTTCTCGCGCTTGCATGGACATGAATCGGACATTGTTTTTTTCGTTCTACCACTATCATGTTGTGTTACCCCCATATGTCTTGCTTCTATGTTCCTCTGCATGAATGTGGACGTGGTCAGGACGGACTTTGTTGCGTGACATCACTGAGCAAGACATAGAAGGATCAATGTTGTTTACTCTTGAAGACCGTAAATATGAACAGGTCGGGTGTCTCGCGTTGCTCGTACGGGTGAATGTGATTTGGCATCGCAGCTGCAAGTGCCCACATTTTATGACTGTACTTCCGAGTTTGCATTTATGTAGGTCGCGTTCGAGGTACATAGACCCAATGAGTATAGTGAATACAACGGGATGATGATTATCATAAATATCGAGGCTACAGAGTAAGAACTACATTGACAAGTCGGAGGTACACATGTACACATGACAGATGGACATATTGAACACGGAATAATAATGAATATCGATAATCTTGTTTAGTCCCTGTTCGTCAATCCTTATTCGTCAATCCTGTCCTGGTCCTCAGCTACGCATTTGCGTGATGAGGATTCGGGAGGAGAGGTATGGGGTTGGGGTGGTGGGAGCGTTGGGCTAAGGCGGCGGACGTCGGCCTCAAGGCGTGTCCGGGTCCTTGTTTGTGTTCTTGGGTCTACGCTCATGTTCGTGCCCGAGAACGTACCGTAGGATGAGGATTGTCCTAAGATGCTGTTGAGTGCTGCTGTTACGTTGCTGTATTGTTGTTAGACGGGAGGAGTGTAGGGTGGTAGCGCGGGAGGGAGAGTTAGTTGGTAGGATGTGAGGGTGGTCGGGATTGCAACTGCGAATGCAATTGAGGCTAGGCGTTGCTTGCTTGCTTGCTTCGAGTTGAATTGCATTCGCGGTTGAATTTCGTCGTATCAGGTAACGTATATCAGATACCAGAGGTGCAGAGTGCAGGGCATTTGGCGAGACACCGTAGTATTCGCGACCGTAATGTGGCAAGGCGGGAAGCATGGGCAGGGCCGGAGCTCATAGATGAGAGCTGTTAGAGCGACGGAGGGATGCTTGAGAGGATGTGTTGAGGATGAGGATGAGGGTGAGGATGGTGGTGTGGTGATATGGCGAGGATGGTTGGATAATGGGGGTTGCGGTTGTTCGAGTATACACGTTGCTATTGCTATTACAGTTCCGGTTGATATGATTGAGGCTGATGCTAAGTTCCAGCGTTCGTCAGACTGGTTACCGGTAGCAGCAATAATGCATACGTACAAGTGAGCTCAGATAATCTGAGTGAACGTCGTAGTCCTGCTCAGACGCCTTCCCAGTGTCCTCGGCTTCGGCTTCGGCTCCTCGACGATGGGCGTAGTCGCTCGGCTCGTAGACGGCGGCGTGTCGCAGCCCGGAGGTGGGGGTGTATCAGAGCGTTCGGAGGGCGCAGAATGTGAGGGCGATTCAGTAGCTTTGGTCGATTGGGAGTGAGAATGGCGATGTGATCGGGACCGGGAATGTTGAGATTGGGAGGCCGAGTGATGCTGAGAGCTGGGCTGAGATTGAGAAGAGGAAGATAACGGCTTGCTTCTGGCGAATTCTTTGGCAGCTTGGACTTGATGCCTTATTTCGGGATGGTATGTGTGTAGAGGCGCTGGGTATTGGGGCGGCATTGATGGTACGACCGCGAGTGGAGTAGGAGATACTCGGCGGCGTTTCGCGCTGCGGCGACGGGGGGAGTTCTCTTGTTCTTGTTCCTCGTCCTCATCGAAGCTATCAGGCGACATCCGCTTATTCCTCCCAACCTCTGGTGCGATCATCTCAACATCATCCACATCGGCATTGTCCACGTCCCCAAAATCAGCATCAGCACCTACGAAAGGAACTTCCCACAACTCGCCGTTCTCCTTCATCCTCCTTATAAGCGCAGCATCCTTCTCTTCCTGCTCCCTCTCCCTCTCCGCACGCGCCCTCCTCACCTCCTCGTCTCTACACGCCCGATCCACATACGCCCTCATCCTCCTCTCTGCATCCATCAAAACCATCCGCGTCTTCATGTTCGGCTTCCCCCTATCGGCGCCCCTTGTCCACAAGAACTTCCACGGATACTCCCCGTCCTGCCACCTCTCCGTCGTACTCTTCTTCAGGCAGAGCGCACGGTATTTGTACATCGCCTCCCAGTCCATCTCGTGGCAGTCCTCCAGGGCTTCTTCCTCCGTGACCCACCCGATCTCGAGGAGGCGGGAGAGCGTGCGGCCGGTGATGGGGTAGGTGCGTGTTAGGCTCGCAACGCGGACGTCGTATTCGGCCAAGGCCGAGTCGGGGGACCATAGGACTGCGGTGGGGCGTCGGAGCTCGTCTTTCTCCGGCTGCGGCGCTGGCTCGGGGTCTGTTTGAGAAGAAGTGGAAGTGGAAGGCGAATTGGAAGTAGGAATATTTGCCGACGAGGATGCAGGGGGTACGGTAGGCAGAGCAGGCTTTCGAGGAGCGTAGGCATAGTCTCGGACTTTGATGCCCATGGCCTTCAGGGCGTCCACGCACTCTTCCTGAGTCAGTTCTACGTCGCATGGCTCCGTCGGTGCGGGGGAAGCGGAGCGTTGGCGTGACGATGAATCATTGCTGTCGTCTTGTTGTTCTCGCTGGGGTGATGCTGGGGGAGGTGGTGCGGGCCTCGTCGCTACGAGGGAAGTGATAGGAATGGAAGCCGATGCTGCGACCTCTGATGCTTTGAATGCGGTCCTAACTCCAAACGAACCGTGTATCGTCAACGACTGCGCTGCGCCCATCCTAGATTTTACTTTCGATGTGAATTGTTTCAACTTTGAGGCGGAGGGCTTCGGCTTCGCTTGCTTGGATGTTGATTGTTTCGTTGGGGAGGAAGATGATGAGAGTGTGGAGAGCGACATATGGTGGGTTGCTGCTTTAATACTGCGCTGGCGCTGCGGTGACAATTGCGTCGTCTGGGATCTTGTGCGGTCCAAGCCAACAAGCGGCACTCGCATGTCTCAAACTTGTATACAAGCTTCAGTATCTCCAATTGTTGACTGATTCAGGCCCAAGCTTTGTCTTGACAACCACTGCGATAGACCCCAAGGGTGATCGAAGTAGAAATCCGACTTGAAATGTAGAATTCAAGGGAAGAATGGCTCGAGGGTGCCGTGGGTGGTGGTGATGGTCGTGGTTGGTGGTGAAGAGATGTCAGACGTTGCTCAGGCTCCCAGTGCCACCGTATCGGGTATTTGGCCTTGTTTGCCGAGTGGCTCACAATGACTCACATGATTCAACAGACAATGATCACGTGGAAACCATGATGACCGCGTTGGCCGGAACCACCGAGCCGCTCTCACTCTCTCTCCTCCTATTTCGCTGTGCACGTTGAGTACGGCGTTCTGGCTCTCACCATGTCCTACTATACGAGCTCGCCACCGCCGCAGTCCTCCTCTTTGCCAACTCACTACGAAGACCCCCGTCCAGCGACTGCAGACGACTTCGAAGACGAAGAGGGACGCGACGTGCCCTCGCCATCTGAGTATGTAGGCGCGTCCTCTACGGCTGCCAGCACTGCGCCTTCATCTCCATCCACATTCAAGTCTGAAGACGATGATTTTGATTCGGCGTTTGTGAAAAGCGAAGAGGTTCGCCCAGTCCCGATGCGTTTCAGCGTGTTTGATACATCGCTGATCTCATCTCATTAGGACCTTGGTGTGCCGGACGTACGAATGAACGACGGGCCAGAGTTTGTGAAAGATGAAGACAAGGAGGTACACGAACCCGCGTTAGCGACCTTCAGGACTCTGACTTATTCCTTTATCTTTTGCTACAGGACTTAGACGCGTTGAACTTGGAGACATTCAACATGAAGCAGGTATGCTACTTTATCAAGAGAGGAGAGGAGGTGGACGCGCAGCTAACGCGATTCAACTTAGGACGACTTCGAGAAGCTGGACTTCATCCTCAAGAAGTCCACGCTCTACTCCTCTATCCTCTGCGAGCGCATGGAGGAGAACAAGCGGCGGCAGGCAGAAGGAATTGCCGCCCTGCGTGCCTCCAAGGCGCAAGCCCTCTCCCCAGCTGGCATCACGCACGATGACGACGACAGCGCGCCGCGGATGAAAGGAGGGAAGCGCCTTCGGTCTGACGGCGACGATGACGGGTGTTCGAGGAAGAGGGTGAAGAGCGAGGACTTGGAGGAGGAAGTGGGGATATTCCCGCAGCCGGGTCTGATCACGGGCGCGAAGATGAAGAACTACCAGCTGGAGGGGCTGCAGTGGATGGTGGCCCTGCACCAGAACGGGATATCTGGCATCCTGGGTGCGTATCCCACATCTCCATCCAATACGCCCTCCCATCTCATCTCGTATTCTCATCTCGCAACCCCCGTTGTGTGTTATCCCATTATATGCTAGGCGACGAGATGGGCTTGGGCAAGACGCTGCAGACGATCGCGTTCTGCGCCTACCTCCGCGAGCTGGGGTTCTCGAAGCCGATGATGATCGTCTGCCCGCTGAGCGTGCTGCATAACTGGGGCTCGGAATTCGAGAAGTTCGCGCCGGCTGTATGTACTCCCTTCTCCCCCTTCCCCCTCTTCCTCTATCCGCTGTAACTTGCGTGTTAAATATGGTGCTGAACTTACGAAATAGATACCCGTGTGTCTGTACCACGGAACGCCCGAGGAGCGCGCTGAGCTGCGGCGCACGGTCTTAGTTCCCCTTCCCGATGATGATGACGAGGACAAAGGTTCTGTGGGGGCGGTGAAGACGAAGGCGCAGCCGAGTAAGAGAGGAAAAGCGGGGACGGGTAAAGGGAAGAAGGCGAAGGGGGCACAGGCAAAGGGAAAGGTGGTGGGAAAGGCGCGAGGCGGGCAGAGCAGGCAGGGCGCGAAGGCAGAATCGACCACGGGGAGAAGGAGATCGGGGAGGCAGCGGCAGAAGCGGGTCGTCGAAGACGAGGAGGAAGACGAAGAAGAGAACGACGTGGAGGATGAGGCGGCGGACGAAGAGGAGGGAAGTCACGCCGAGGCGCAGAAAGTTGAGAAGGACGAAGTTGTGGATACTATGTCGAAGGAGGAGAAGGAGGCGAAGGAGAAAGCGACAAGTGAAGCGGTGGAGAGGTTCCCTGTGGTGGTGACGACGTACGAGATGGTGATCAAAGACCGGGCGCAGCTGGGTGTGCATAAGTGGGGGTACATCGTAGTGGATGAGGGACATCGGCTGAAGAATATCGACTGTAAGTTGATTAAGGAGATCAAGAAGTACACGACGGCCGGGAGGATGATTTTGACGGGGACGCCGTTGCATGTGAGTAGATATTTGTTTCTATTTCGTGTTTAGTGCGGAGGGGGAGGAGGGGGTGAAGACGTTGATGCTGGTGCTAACGTGATTTGGTTTGGGAAGAATAACCTCGCAGAGCTTTGGTCGCTGCTCAACTTCGTACTCCCAGAGATCTTCGGAGACCTCGACACGTTCCAAGAACTGTGCGTCAGACTTCCTTTCATTTCTATCTTCTAATCGCCCGACTAACGATCCCGATGATCAATAGATTCAACTTGCCTGCGATGCAGACGACGGTCGGGTCGGAGCGCGCGAGCCATGTCATCGACTCCCTGCACTTGATCCTCAAGCCGTTCCTCCTGCGGCGCATGAAAGCGGATGTAGAGCTCAGCCTCCCGCCGAAGAAGGAGTACGTGCTGTACGCGCCGCTCACGGAGATGCAGAAAGACCTGTATGGGAAGGTGCTCAACGGCGGGCTGCGCGCGCACCTGATCGGGCGGGAGAAGAAAGGCCCTAGCAACACCGACGAAGAGACCAAAGATACGGGTAAAACGGTTGATGAGGGAGAGGGGTTGGGTGACGGGGAAGGAGGTGAAAAGATGAAGCTGCGGAGCGAGAAGAGGGGAGGGAAGCGGAAGGTGAAGGTGAAGAAGCATTATGATGTGGATGGAGACGATGAAGAGTATTTCAAAAAGCTGGAGCGGGGCGAGCTGGATTCGCGGGGGTTCATCGTGGATCCGACGAATAATGACGAAGCAGAGATGGCCGAGCTCGGGAGGGAGCATCAGCATAAGACGACTGGTAAGTCCTTACCGTTCTCCATTCAATGCTTGTTTCTTCGTTTGATTGACTAGGATGGGTCGGTAGTTAAACAAGTCAACAATATGAAACTGCAGAACACGGTGATGCAGCTCCGTAAAGTCTGCTCGCACCCGTTCCTCTTCGACTGGCCGCTGGATCCCAAGTCCCAACAGCCAGTGATCGACGAGCGGCTCGTTGATTGCAGCGGCAAGATGATGGTCCTAGATCGCCTGCTCACGGAGTTGTTCAAGCGGAAACACAAAGTGCTGTTGTTCAGCCAGTTTACCACCATGCTCGACATTATCGAGGTACGCTCCAACTTACCCCCTGTATCTCTGCTACCTCGCCCGTGATTTACAACTGATTTTTTATGTTACAAATAGGATTGGGCAACGGAGTTCAAGTCGTGGAAGCTGTGTCGAATAGACGGGAGCAGTCCCCCGCTCGTACGGCGCAACCAGGTGGACTTGTTCCAGAAGGGCGGCGACGGCCCGGACGTGCCCTGCCTTTTCCTCCTCAGCACGCGCGCGGGAGGCCTGGGCATCAACCTCACCGCCGCAGACACCGTCATATTCTACGACCAGGACTGGGTGCGTGTTTCCCTTCCCCACGTATGTCAGCGTAGCACGCATTTCTGAATGGTGGCGATGGTAGAACCCGCAAATGGACATCCAAGCCCAGGATCGCGCGCACAGGATCGGGCAGACGAAGCCGGTGCTGATCTTCCGTCTCGTGAGTGCGCATACGATAGAGACGAAGATCATGCAGCGCGCGAATGAGAAGCGGAGGCTAGAGGCGCTTGTCATCGCCAAAGGTCCGTCCACTCACCCACTCCTCATCTACGCGCGTTTTTTGACCGCGCCTCTATACAGGCAAGTTCAAAATGCCCGGTGCAGCCTCAGCGAAGCGTGGCGCAAAGTCGAGCAGTATGGGCCTTGTCGATATGGCGGCTGAACTCCTGCAGCTGGAAGGCGAGAAGATAGAGGTTGTGCCGAATACGACGGCGGGGAAACGGTCGGTGCTGAGCGATGCGGATTTGAGGGTGCTGCTTGATCGGAGACCTGAGGTTTTTACTGAGCGCGGCAGAGGTTGGACGTCTGCTGGTAATGGAGAAGGCGTGCATTCGCGAGGGAATGTCAAGGGAGCGAAGACGGCGTTTGCTGTGTACGAGCCCGCGGCCAATGAAGCGAACGAAGCCGTGGCTGCAATTCTTGGTGAAGACATCAAGGACATCTAGTAGACATAATGAAAAGTACCCTTCGCATCCGTGTATCAGAATATCTTAATAGTTGCCCTCGTATGCGTCAACAATGCTGTGGCTCAAAAGCAGAAACGAAGGATAATGTCCGTAAGCATAAAATGACAGGAAGTCCGTAAGTCCAAAAAGACGCTTGTAGAGAGTGTACTATGCAAATGTCGGAAGAACTGGAGTCGGTAGAAGGGCTACATGAAAAGACATCAACTACGTAGAAGGGGGATCGTAGAGACTGGGGTAAACAAATTCTGTTGGATTTCCATCCTCCTTCGACTTCACGGGTTGGTAAGTCGTGGGCATTATTGCCTTCGTCGCCGTGCTTTTTCCGTTTCTGACGATACACATGTACGCGCCGAGACCGCATAGTATCAAAAGTGCAAGCAAGTTTGCAGCGAGGAGACCGATGATCACAGGTGTATACCTGTTGAGTAGTCGTGTTGTCGTCGTATCATCCGCATCGCTGTCGTTGGAAGATGCCAACAGGCCCGATACTGGCGGTTTCTCATCGTCAGCTGGGATTTTCGAGTCATTACTAGCGTTTGCTTTGGTGCTGTTCTTGGGTGGCAGCGTTGGCGACCTGGCATCTGCTGGAGACACCTCTGTTAGCCCTTCGAGTTGCTTTGCACGGATCGCTGGAAGATCCAGGCTAGCTTGCTCGAGATTCGTGAGGGGTAGAAGCTGCACGAACGGTTGATCGAACTGCCCGGAATCATTACGTTCGCCGTAGTTGAACCTGGAGAAATACATGCCAGAGGTCAGGCCCCAGGAAAGGTAGAAGAATACCCTAGGGTCACGTAGGCGTTCCTCAGAAATGCATCTCCCAAGACTATATCGCTGCCCAATTTCTCTCGCACGGTTACCGACTTTTCGAATGAATTATGGCACAATGCGATTCCAACCCCGTTAAAGCGTAGCGGTCGGACCAGATCTGCGGGATGGATTGGGAAGTCGGCGCCACTAAAGCGGATTCAGTATACACGCGAACGTCATGAACCGAGGTGGTCCACGTACCCGATTTTGAAGGAGATAGAGGGGGTTGCATTGCATGGAAGGAGCCAGGACACACCCGCGGCCTGAAAAGTTGCTATGTCTTCGACGAGCACAGCTCCCGGGATGCTGCTATACATAGCATCCACGACATGTGGTGGCATCTGAGGGAGTGAGAACCCCGTATCGAGTATGGCGGTAGCTTTTGATCAGGCTTCGGCGGTGGGCAGAGAGGAATTTAGAGAAATGGTAGAGTTGCCTACAGTAATGCTGTCGAGAAGTAGTCCGGAGAACTCGGAATCTTCACAGCGTCGGCGACAGATTCAAGGCCATGTACGTATTCACCCAGAGTGAATGCACCTGCTCCATCCGCGGGGGCATTGGGATCGTCGTTCCGTCCCAAGTAAATGGTGAAGAAGCTAGGTAAGCTCGGATATAGTTGGAGAATATTTGGGACCACCGGTGGGGCTCTGAGGATCGAAGAATTACCGAGGCCGAACTGTAGCTGAGCCTCCAGCGACCGAACTCCTGGCCCAAAGGACAGGCCCAAAAGACCTGAGATCCCAAGCCCAGAAAATGGCGTATCGGTCAACTGTGAATTCGTCAATGTGCAGTTCCATCGAGTTTAGGTGGACTGACTTCCGTAGTATGAATGTACGCTATATGGATCGATTCGTATCAAACTGTGGTTAATTATGGACGGTAACGCACCTTGAGATGGAATAGATAGCCCGGCTAGTTCTGCCGTGGCAAAGTAAATGGGACCTGCGATAGATCCTTTGACATATGTAATTGTGCCGTTTACGGTAGTTGTGTTGACGGTTTGTATGTTGTTTTGAGGATCGTACAACCAAGAATCTGCGGAGCCAGTATCGATCAAGACGCTAAGATCTAGCCACAAAGTTTCAAGCCCATTCGTTCGATAAACCGGTGACTCCCACCTTGCCCACCGAAATTCATAACGATTGAGTACTTTTGCCAAATATAAGCATTGCATTAAATCATGAGGAAAAAATGCTAACGGCGATGTCTTTGAAATCGCTGACCCCCAATGCGTGCAGGTATTCGTGGTCTGGGTCATCGTCGGAACGGGGCAGCACTCGGAGATGACGCCGTAGCACCTCTCGCCGAGAAAGGGGAACTTGAAGGCCAAATACAGGGGTCGAGATGAGGGAAAGCAACAGCAATAGCCCGGTGAATTGCAACATATCAGAGGGACAGTTGCCAATACAGCGACCCAACCGTATGCCTGTATAAATACCCCAACACCAAGACCCATGGGCGCTAGGTTGCGCACGCAAAGCTATAGCATTTTGAAAGGAACACCCACTGAAACAAGTTGCGCTTCACGAGCTTGATGATATTTACGGGATGGGCGGCCTCATGGAAGACGGCACTATCAGGCATGCGGTAAAGCCCTACATCAAGCGATAGATTACGGCGACGAAGACTGGCGGCGACGAGTTGCTCAGGCTTATATTGAGGGTCAATATAAATATATCAGCGGGAGATATTCTTACTTACGGTGGAAGGACACTTGTCGATCGCGCCCATATTGTGTAAAGGGTCGTGCATAGCGTTGGGTAGGTCCACTCCGAGCCGATCCTGCGAACGAGAATGAGCGTACAATTGCTTGTCAGCATGCCTGGCTACCACTTGATGTGCGGAGTGGCATGAATATCGAAGCTTCTTGACGCTGGAAGCCTTCTGTATCATACGATGGATTGGCTTCACACTGAAGGCGAAGGAAAATCAGGACCATCACCAGGTCAGCTGTATGTGAGGATAGACGTCATCTGCGATGAATATAGGTCAAAAGACATACCATACTCACGAGGCTGTTCCACCCTCTTGAATGCGTGATCAACTGCTTCCGGCTGAGGCACAGAGCATCAGATTCTGTGAAGCGCCCCGTAAACATCATAACCAGTGGGCATATCAGAATGCTGTACCTCCCTGCGTTACACTGATGGATTCTCTTGTCCAGATTTGCGATTGCAGAGTCCGAGAACGGCAACAATCCCGAAGCCTACTCGCAAAGAGAGTGGTTGACTATGTCTTTGTCCCCAGAGTGTTTATCATGGATATCGATAACCGTTCGCTCTGCAGACGCCCGGAATGAGGTCACGCCGTAGGAGATGTCAGCTTCGCTCTATTGTTAGAGTGTTTCTTCGAGAAACTAGGTTTCACGGTAGTATCTTTTCCCGGCTGCATTTTTCGAATGATGGAAGCTGCATATCGCACTGTCCGTTGAGCAATGGAGCCGAGTGGTCCGTACGAATTGCCTCTTCAGCGATTTGCGCGCGAAGATGAGGTAGGGCATATCAGTATAGCTAACGAGAAGAACAATGTCATCATCAGAAAAATCGCGAAAATGCCTTCCCGCTCCACTGAAGCCCTTCAGAAGCCATGTTTTGCCTTTCCGGCGCTTTTTTGGCTCCCAAAGGCCCCGAAGCTCTGCCAAAAGGCGGACGTATGTGTGATTCACTGATGATTACCCAGGACACCAAACCACCACAGAACCATGAACAGACTCACCTCAGGCATATTCGAAATCTTCCTCGTTCTCCTCACAGCAGCCTCATTCAACCTGGTGATGACTCCACCCCATGCCGCCGTCCCAAAGGATCAGCTTGCGAAGCAGACCCTGACAGATAAGACTGCTAGACAGCAAGCACTCTTGCAGAGGGTAGTGAGCCTTTCCCCGCATATGCAGAACACGTACGCTGATGTTTGAACTCCAGATCTTCGTTGGTGGTGTCTCGTTGTTGCATGTCGCAACATTGGTGGCCTCTTTCGGAAGCACCGAAGGGCATGCCACCCACACCATCCCAAACATGTTCATCGTTGCCACCGCCATCTGCCTGGCATGCGCATCCCTTCGATTCTGGGCGTTCGCAACGCTGGGACAATTCTTTGATTTCCAACTTACAATCCAAGCAGACCACAAGCTCATCACGGAAGGACCTTACTCGTATGTCCGACATCCCAGCTACACTGGGCTGTTCTTGATGTATATTGGGATCGTGATGGAGTTGTTCTCTCCGGGGCATTGGCTAAGGGATTGCGGACTTCAGAGTGAAATAGGGCGAGGGGTGTGTTGCTTATGGGGTTTACAAGCCACTGTCCTGCTTTCTGGGCTCTGGAAACGGTTGGACATGGAGGACGAAATACTCAGGCGTAGGTTTGGGAAGGATTGGTACGAATGGGCTCGCCGGGTACCATCCCGTTTAATACCAGGAATCTACTAGACGTGTACACCACCCTAAATAACAGCGACGCGTTCATATCGTTTGAGCCCCGATACAAGACGATATAGTATACTTAACGTACATTTGGCGAATGAGAAAGACTGCGGACGGTAAGAGTGATGGTAGACAGGTTGGCCCAATCACTAGCCTTTGAGATACGTCGCAGTCTCGAAGTACTATACGACAAAGGCAGCATGAGCTTCGTAGAGAATAGTTTAATAACCTTACGCTTCGTATTTGCGGCAGTGGTCTTCACCGACGCCGCTGACTGTCAGCTAGGCAGCTTCAGTGTACGCACTTTTGCAACTCTGCGAATTCAGATTGTATCCCCGAAGCAGGTGCTGAAACGTCGACTCGTGATGCCGATCGAAATTCGCAAAGAAACTCCAGACGGCCCTCACGGCGGCCAACCTGCGAAAGTCTGGCCTTTACGCAATGAAATTTTCATATAAAGTTCTTCAATATTAGACCACTCACACAATCGTTAGCTTCCTGCAGGCTTCATGCCGTCATCAGGTACCAGAAGAGAGCAGCGACAGCTTTCTGTTTCTTTCAGACGTCGCCGAACCATTGCGAATGCGCCGTGATGCAACTAGTAAAACCTATCTGTCTGCTGGTGAGCTACGAGATTTACGACGGTGAACGTTGTTGAAAACTAGTCAAGCAGTGAATCGTATACATAATACACTCCCAGTGACCGTGTGAGCCACATTGTGAGTGTGTGAATATCCTGAGTTCAGCGCCACGCTTACCAGGGTGTGGCATCAGCAAAAAGAGAAGGACCTGGGGAATGGTGTACTAGGCGTCTCCAACCAGTATAAGGCCCGAAATCCATTGCAAGTGTAAGGGTTGAACCCTTTCGTTCCGTGCAGTCCGACCTCCCCTATCCCCTATCGACCCCTCTCCGACTCTTCGGACACGCTCGCACATGACTCGGACGTCACGAACCCGTACCGGCCACACGTGATAACGGATCAGACAGCTCGGATCAATCTTTCGTATATCTTTTGTTCTCGGACTCTAATACATGGACTATACTAGCACCATTATTTGTTCCTGGTGCCTTTTCGTCTCGGACTTTTCCTTCATCTGACATTTTTCTTAGCTACAAAAGCCTCCTGTACTCGTAGTTAGAAGAATCAGATTTGTTCCCCCCCCACATCGAGTGAGATTCTAAGCCGTCCGAACCTTTCTTCTCATCCGTTGTCAGAGTCTGCCGCTGTCCGAGTCCGAGCCCGAGTCCGATCCGAAGTTGCTTTCTCCTGCCGTCCTTGTCATTCTCCTGCCGTCCTCGTCGTACTATCCGAAGCCAAGTTGTCTATCCGCGTCCGAGCGCGTCCGAAGCCATCCGAAGCCATCTGAAGCCGTCCGAAGCGTCCGAAGTTTCTCACTTGTTTGTTTTCACTCTCGGACTCATCCTTATCACACTTTACTCACGCGGGTGTCGCACGGACTTGTCCTGCCGGAGGCGGACCCTCGCATTTTACTAGACTACACTACTAGTCTACGCGTACATTCACTACTACATTCTGGAGCCCACCGCGAGGGTTTAAAGTTCAAGACACCCCCCCCACCCGTTGCACCGTCACCTAATCATCCTATTCCGTCATTGAATTCGAATCCCCTCCCGATCCTCTGCACGATATCTTTCCGGAAGGTCCGACGCAACGGGCTATCAACTACCTCTTCCGGAAGACATCCGAATATTTTCCGTTCAAAATAGTCCGCTCTTGGGTTCCCGATCCCAACACCGTCATTTGGCAGTTCGCACTTACCGGACGCCCAGAATCCGAGCATCCGAACATCCTATCACGCCCTAATCCTCCATCCCTCCGGCACAGTCTGTTCTATAATCCCGCCGCGGCTTACCACCGACCCACTCCGGAGTCAAACGACACTACGTCCGGAACACCCTCATCGCTCACCGAGTCGTCCGAAAATCTTCCGCCCACTTCTTCACCTTCCCCTATTCCTCCTCCTACAATGGCCACAACTATGCCCGTCCGCGGTCACCATACCGCTCCGAAATTCAACGGAAAGCCCGAAGGACTCCATCGCTTCTTCTCGGAAGTGGAGTACCTCGCTGCCCGTGCTCAGGTCGAAGGCCGGGATCCTCATCCGAGCTACAATCGGATATCTCGACGACTCCTGACTGGGAGATCTGGCGCAGCAGTGGCGATGCCGCCGACGGAGACGACTGGGATGCTTTCAAAACATGTATCGGGAAGCTCTATCCCGGATCGGATAACGAACGACGATGGCGTCCGTCCGGATCTGTCCACTATTGCTGCTCTCCAGTCCCAGACCCCGATGCTCACAAAGGACGATCTCGGAGTCTATCACCGAAAGTTTCTCGTTCCGGCCAACTGGCTTCTCTCCAAAAATAGCGTCTCCACTCAGGACGTCGGACGAGACTATCTCGCAGGATTCGATCCGATCACTCGTCAGAAAATCAAGGACAGATTAGCGATGGTCCACATGCAGCATCATCCGGACGATCCTTACACGATCACGGAGATCTATACGGAAGCGAACTTCATTCTCGGGACGTCGACTCCGGCGACTCTCACAACGTCTTCGACATCTCCAACAGTGAGTCCGACGGCTCCGGTTACGGTCAAAACCGAATCCGCTGACATCCGTGCCCTACAAGCTATGATGCAGCAGTTCATGACCATTCAGCAAACGCATCCGCAGTATCCTCCTCCTCCTCCGCAATATCCGTATAATCCGAACTCATTCTATCCGTATCCCCCGCCTCCGACCGCTCAAGCATACGCTTATCAACCCGTCCCTCCCCAACAAAGCTATCAGTATCCGGCTCAGCCACCCCCATCTTCCCAGAATCAGCAATCACGTCCTCCTCCGCCTCCTGCACCACAAGGGACTGATCCGAGACCTCCCCGGAAGTGTCACTTCTGTCATTCCGTCTACCACACGATGGGCTCGTGTCCAGATGCGGCCCGATACGAACGGAGCGGGTGGATCGGTCGGAACGAAGAAGGCCGATGGATGGTGCTCCCGACCAGAGAGACTATCAATCGTTCCTTCCCCGGAGACTCGTTCAAAGAGCAGATCGACAACTGGATGAGAGCCAACAATAGACCTCAGGATCGCGATGCCCCTCCTCACCCGATCGTCACCCCAGCAGCCACAAGTTCCGGAGTAGCGTCCGCGAATATGGTCGAGGTTAGCACCTACCACTATACGGAGGCCGACGAGTCCGAGTCTCGGGCGTTCATCGAAGAGCTTCCGAGCCCGTTTGATCTGGAGGAAGAAGAGAAAGAGGAGATCTTCTTGCAGGTTCTCATGCAGCGGATGCCCGACGTAGCGAAAAAGTACGCTTCATCTCAGAAGAAGAAGGACGTCCGTTTCTCCGAACCAGTCGAAACGACTCCGAGCGCTCCGGCAAAGGCTCCGTCCGAACCACCCCTTCCTCCTTCGATTCCGGTCCCCTTCCCTTCCACTTCGGCCCGTTCTCAGCTAGCTGAAGCCATCGAGACCGGTCGGACGACGTACCGTCCGAACTATCGGGTCCAGTCGAACATCGAGAATCCAAAGGTGGCCTCGGATGTCCTGGAACGCGCCCTCAACACCACCCTCACCATCACACAACGGGAACTGTTCGCACTCTCGTTTGATGCTCGGAAAGGACTTCGGGATCTTATTTCGTCGAAACGGGTCTCTACGGAGACTAACTACGCGTCCGTCAACATGGCGGCGTGCTACGATGATCCCGAAGACGTCGTGGAAGTTCTGATGTCCGCCACCCGCGATCCGAACAAGGAATGCATTGTCGCGGCTCCGACCCAGTCACTCCGGATCATCCGGCCTATCTTCAACGATCGGTACGAGGTCGAATGCATCCTGGACACCGGATCGCAGATCATCGCCATGCGCCGCGACGTCTTCGACAATCTCGGGCTGCTCATCGACATCGACAAGTTCATCACCATGGAGTCCGCGAACCTATCATCGAACCAGACCATCGGACTCGCCCACAATGTAAAGATGTCTCTCGGACCCGTCGATCTCTACGTCCAAGCTCAGATCGTGAACGATGCGCCTTATGAGGTACTCCTCGGACGCCCCTTCTTTTGTCTCACCTCCGCTGTCACCCGCGACTACCCCGACGGTCGCCAGGACTTGACCATACACGATCCGAACTCGAGCCGTCGTTTCCTCATTCCCACTTTCAAAAGGGTCCACCGCTCCCGAGAGCCTAAGGAGCATTTTTAGATACCGTCGAGGAACCCCTGTGGCGAGACGAGTCTTTTATACCCCCGTCCTATTCCTCTCTTATGATATCGCTACCCGATTCCGCTCCTTCTTCAGTTCCGCTCCGCCGCATTACCTATCCGAAAACACTTTTATATCATATATCCCCTTCCGAGTCCTGACCCTTCACTTCCCCTTCTGTCTGCCTCCCCTTCCATGAACCGAAAAAGTACATATGATGCTCCGCGTGATTCCGGGCTCGACCCGATGGCTCCGGTGTATACTTGTGTCCCTCCGCCCGTACCTAATACTCATTCTTCTTGCGCGTATGACGAATTGCCGGATGAGCGACGGATCTATTCAGGTCTTGTTGATATCATCGAAGATGGCATTACTCGGAGTGCTTCTTATTTTGATATTCCCCTTTCCACCACTACTTCCTACTCTACCTTTACATCCTGGTTTGTCCATAGCGACGCCGACACTCCGCCCGCCTCATCCGAAGTTCCCGCTCCGACCCCGACCACAGAAGTCTTCGCAGCGACTGCCCGGATGCCAACATACGGAAAGAAGCCCTACCGGAAGGTCGCCAATCGCACAGTACCCGTCTCCACTACCCTTCCCGAACAGTATCGGATTGTCCGACGCGAACCTCCCGACATCTTAGCCGACCTTCTCCCGCTTCCTACTCAACCACCCGACTTCACTCCGGGACTCCGGTACACTCAGGAACACGCTGACAAACAGGCCGTCGATCCGGACAACTGGCTTTCTCCCGAGGAAATCAAACTCGCGCACTGGTTCATCCGGACTGACGAGGACGCTTTCGCTTGGGCCGAGGATGAACGAGGCAAGTTCTCTGATGAATGGTTTGACCCTGTAGTGATGCCTACCATTGAGCACGTTCCCTGGGCACTCCGAAACATTCCCATTCCTCCGGGCATCTACGACGAGGTCGTCCGCGTCATCCGAGACAAGATCAAGTCCGGAGTCTACGAGGAGTCCAGTTCTTCTTACCGGTCGCGCTGGTTCTGCGTCCTCAAGAAGGATGGAAAGTCTCTCCGTTTGGTCCACGATCTTCAGCCTCTCAACGCCGCCACTATCAAGGATGCATCTATTCCGCCTCGGGTCGAAACTTATGCCGAAACCTTCGGAGGCCGGTCTTGCTACGGTATCTACGACTTGTTCGTCGGATTCGACCAACGGAAGCTCGCGGAAAGCTCGCGTGATCTCACAACATTCCAAACGCCTCTCGGAGCCAAGCGTCTCACCGTCATTCCTATGGGCTTCACCAACTCCGTCCAGATTCAGCACGGCGACCTCACCTTCATTATGCGAGACGAAATTCCCCACGTCACCGATCCGTACATCGACGATTGCCCTGTCAAGGGTCCGCTTACACGATACGAGCAACCCAACGGATCCTACGAAACCCTACCCGATAATCCGAACATCCGGCGCTTCGTTTATGAACATATTGCAAACATGCATCGGATCGCGCACCGGATGAAGAAGTTCGGCGGAACGTTCTCCGGAGTCAAGCTACGTGTTTGTGTTCAGCGCGCATCTATTGTCGGACACATGTGCACTTACCAGGGTAGAGAACCCGACGATGACAGGGTCCAAAAGATTCGTGATTGGCCTGTGCCCGAGAACGTCACCGACGTCCGGGGTTTCCTGGGTACCATCGGAGTCATGCGTATCTTCATCCGAGACTTTGCGAAACATGCTAAACCACTTGTGCAGTTAACCAAAAAGGACGTTGACTTTGTCATGGGTCCGGACGAACTAGCTGCCATGGAGACCTTGAAGAATCTTGCCATCACCTCCCCCGCTCTCCGAGCTATCGACCACTCATCCGATCGCGAAGTCATACTGGCTGTCGACTCCTCCACCGTAGCCGTCGGATTCATCCTCTCCCAGGTAGGCGCGGACAACAAACGCTATCCGTCCTGTTTCGGCTCAATCACGTGGAACGACCGAGAATCCCGCTACTCCCAATCCAAAATCGAGCTCTACGGACTCTTCCGGGCACTCCAGGCCACGAAGCTTTGGCTCATCGGAGCTCGCAATCTCACCGTTGAAGTCGACGCGAAATATATCAAGGGTATGATCAACAATCCGGACATCGTTCCGAACGCTGCGATGAACCGCTGGATCGCGGCCATTCTTACCTTTTCCTTCAAACTCAAGCACGTTCCCGCTCGGGATCACACTCCGGCCGATGGCCTCTCACGACGAAGAAGAGCCGAAGAAGACCCGGTCCTTGTAGAAGATGTCGAGGGTTGGATAGACGAAGCGTGTGGTTTTACTTTACAGGTTCACTCGGACGGCGACGCCTCTATCTCTCGGGTTGCGCAGAACCGTTTCCGGGGTCATCTCGGGTCCCTCGTCCGCACTTTCATCTATGATGAAGACTCTGCTGGATTCAACGACTCCGACGATTCCGACGACATTCCCCGGACTCCGAAGGCCGCGGGTAAGGACGCCCGAATGTTGGAGATAGAGACCTTCCTCCGGACTAGCAAGGCTCCCGTCGGACTCACTGAACCCGCCATGCGGAACTTTGTTCGACAAGCGCTCAACTTCTTCTACCGCGATGGCAAGCTCTGGCGCAAGGATAACCACGGGAAGCATAAAGTCTACATCCATCCGGGTCGCCGTCTCTACCTGATCCGGGCTGCTCACGACTCTCTCGGACACAAGGGTATCTTCGTCATCCGCACGCGCCTTCTTGAACGATTCTGGTGGCCCTTCCTTGACCAGGACGTCCGCTGGTTTGTCAAGACTTGTCATCAGTGCCAGATCCGCTCCAACTTCAAACTACACATTCCGCCGTCTCCGACGATCCCACTTTCCCTTTTCCGCCGCGTCCACATTGACTGCATGGTGATGCCTGCCGCCAACAAATTCAACAAGATAGTCCACGCTCGGTGTGCTCTTACCTCTTATCCGGAGTGGCGCGCGCTTCGCCGGGAGACCGCGGAGACACTGGGCATGTTTATTTTCCAGGAGATTCTATGCCGCTGGGGCGCCATCGAAGAACTTGTGACGGATAACGGTACCCCGTTTGTGAAGGCAGTCGAATATCTGGCAGAAAAATACGGCATCCGACACATCCGAATCTCGCCGTACAACTCCCAAGCCAACGGACTCGTCGAGCGGAGACACCGGGACGTTCGGGGTTCACTCCTGAAGACTGCGGATGGCAATGAGAAGAAATGGGTTGAAGTCGCACCATCCGTCTTCTGGGCCGAGCGTGTCACCATCTCCAAGACCTCCGGAATGTCTCCTTACTACATGGTACATGGCATCGAGCCCCTCTTTCCGTTCGACCTCCACGAAGCTACCTATCTCGCCCCTCCTCCCGATACCACTCTCACCACTGAACAGCTCATCTCCATGCGCGCCCGACAACTCCAGAAGCGTCCGGACGATATCGAACGTATGCGCGGGAAAGTTATTCGGAGTCGGATCGCCTCCCTTGAGGAATTCGAACGTCGGTTCGCCCGGACGATCAAGGACTTCAACTTTCTTCCCGGACAGCTCGTTCTCGTTCGTGATAAAAAGATAGAAGGAGATCACTCACTCAAGCATCTGCCTCGCTACATGGGACCTATGATTGTCGTCCGACGCACTCATGGCGGATCCTACGTCCTGTCCGAACTCGATGGCTCCGTTTCCAATCTACGTTATGCAGCATTCCGCGTCATTCCGTACTACGCCCGACACCGCCATCTCTTTCCCGTTCCCCAATCTGCCGAACCCGAGGAATCCGGTGACTCCGAAGATCTTCCGGAACCCCAGTCCGCTGCAACCTTCGCCGGACTACAAAATACGACGAACAACCGAGTTTTGACGCCTTCGCGGCAGCCTAACCGTCTAGTACTCTAAAATTTTTTCCACCCACACCAGGGTTCTCCCTGTGTTGTATTCCGGTCTTCGGGCCTGCTCTGTCTCCCGTCTCTCACTTGTTCCGTTCATTTCTCTTTTATCCGATGCTTATGCTCTCTTAAATCAGTTGTCGTACGCGTCATCCGACGACTCCGGTCATCCATTTCCGGTTCCGAAGCTCTCGGACTTGCCGGTCTCACGCTGCGTGTTTTTGTTTCACTTATGCTTACTTACTCATTTTGTGTTGATTCACAAGAAAAACTTTTCCCATTTTTTTACCTAAGTCGGACAAGAAATAGCTCTACGGGCCAAGTGCCCCTTCTCGGTCTTACTCTCCGTCATACTCCGCGTCTTCGTCCCTTCTCCTGTCCTCTTCCCGTTCCTCCGTGTCCGCCGCGTCCGCCCGTTGCGCCTCCTCCAGTTCCCTTCGCAGCATCAGTGCCGCCAGACTCCTTGTTGCCGCGGCCCGGGTGCTCTCCGCGTCCTCCGTGGCCTGCTTGAGAGCCGCGATCCGAGCGTCCATGGATGACATCACCTGGACGATGGTTCGCAGCTCATGGTCTGCGCACGCCTCTGCCAGAATTGGCACGAGGGCACCGCCCGCCGCTGCCCGCGTATTGCGGCGTGTCTCCCTGGCCTCTCCTACCCGACTCCGTGTTCGCGGGATCGCTCCTGCCCGCTGCTTTCCCTTACCGGGCGTTTTGCTGCCCGACGCCGTCTCCTCCGCTGTCTTCGCCTGCTTGGCCCGGGTCTTCGCGTGCGAACACTTTACCTTGGAGCCGGTGCACGACTCGCAAGCGTGGCAGCCGGTGCCGACGCAAGAAAAATGGCCCTGCTGGCAGCGGAGGCACCGCCGGTACCCGGAGAACTCCACTCTCGGGTGCGGGCACGATTCCTTTGAGGCGCCATATCCGCAGCCCCATTCCTCGTTCCGCGGGTTGGTGCTCCGATCTGTTCCGGCAGTCAGTAACGATGAGGCACATGGGCCGATGGGCTTACCCGCCGGGTTGTATTCCCCATACGCCTCGACGTCGTAAGGTGCAGGCGGGGGCGGGGTTCTCTCGTGCGCGTCATCCAAGTTTCCGGCTCGTTTTCGGATACGCTTTGTACGCGGAGTTGTCTCCGCGTCATCGCTCTCGACGGCTTTGCGCTTTCCAGCCCGGATGGCGGCAGCTCGTCGTCGGGTACGCGGCACAGGAGTATCTTCGTCGTCGGCCTCCGACGTGATCTCAATCACCTCCCCGAGATGTTGCGTCTCGCCCGGCTCCGCCGCAGTGCTTCCGCTCCCAGATCCGACGGTTCCCGAGCCGCCGACGAACTTGGATTTCCGGGCGGCCTGGCGTCGCGCCTCAGCCGCGAGCGCGTCCCGCCGTCGTGTGTCACGCACCTCCGCAGTTCTTCGAGCTTCCTCTGCTCGTCGTTCCTCCAATGCCGCTGCCTCCTGTCGCCGTTCGTCTTCCTCCTTCTGACGTTTTGCCTCCGCAGCGTCGCGCTCCTCCTGCGCCTGTCGTTCGTCCTCGGCCTGCCATTCCGCGAGCCGGCCCTGCGCTTCGAGCAGCTGCCCTGTGGCTGTAGCCATCCTTGCCCGAACTTCATCCTCTACACTCCCTTGCAGCCCCCGCGCGACCAAGATCTCCTCAGCGGCCGACAGCCAGTCCTGGTGCCTGTTAGTCCGAAACACGCAGACACTCGCCTAGTACGCACCTGCTGATGCTCCATATCAGCCACGGCCAGCTCCACGTCCTCGCGGTGTTCATCGTCCAGTTCCGGCATCACATCTCCCATCCCGGCGAAGTACTGGACTTCGGTTTCATAGGCGACGACCGCCTCCTTCTTCTTCATTGACCGGAGTTCCTCAGTCGTGTGAGCGGGGACGTGTTGCAGAGGATTCGACATGGCGGACGATGGTAGTGCTGATGGAGGGAGAGAGCAAGAGTAGATGTTGGACTTCGTCGAAATATCAACAATCCGTCATGTGACCGCGCTTCCTTTGGTCTCACGCCACACTTTCGTTCACCCACCCACCTGCCCACTTCGCATTTCTTGCTCGCCGTGTACGTTGCCCCGGAGGGTCAACACATAAAGTCCCCGGGGGATGTAAGGGTTGAACCCTTTCGTTCCGTGCAGTCCGACCTCCCCTATCCCCTATCGACCCCTCTCCGACTCTTCGGACACGCTCGCACATGACTCGGACGTCACGAACCCGTACCGGCCACACGTGATAACGGATCAGACAGCTCGGATCAATCTTTCGTATATCTTTTGTTCTCGGACTCTAATACATGGACTATACTAGCACCATTATTTGTTCCTGGTGCCTTTTCGTCTCGGACTTTTCCTTCATCTGACATTTTTCTTAGCTACAAAAGCCTCCTGTACTCGTAGTTAGAAGAATCAGATTTGTTCCCCCCCCACATCGAGTGAGATTCTAAGCCGTCCGAACCTTTCTTCTCATCCGTTGTCAGAGTCTGCCGCTGTCCGAGTCCGAGCCCGAGTCCGATCCGAAGTTGCTTTCTCCTGCCGTCCTTGTCATTCTCCTGCCGTCCTTGTCGTACTATCCGAAGCCAAGTTGTCTATCCGCGTCCGAGCGCGTCCGAAGCCATCCGAAGCCATCTGAAGCCGTCCGAAGCGTCCGAAGTTTCTCACTTGTTCGTTTTCACTCTCGGACTCATCCTTATCACACTTTACTCACGCGGGTGTCGCACGGACTTGTCCTGCCGGAGGCGGACCCTCGCATTTTACTAGACTACACTACTAGTCTACGCGTACATTCACTACTACACAAGGCAAACCATAATTTTGCGGCGTCGATAAGGTCGGGACCCGGCGATAATGGAAATGGCCAGCCGATAGCAGCTCGACCAGGCTGACGAGACATAACGGGTTGGTTTAACTTATAAATATCATCACATTCGTATAAGTCAACGGTATGGTGCGTATCGCCTATCTGGTGAACCTAAACATGCTCACACACATGGTCACTCCGATCAAGATGTCGTATCCTAGAAGGACCATTCCAGCATGGTAGGCGTCTGATATGGTAGGCTAGGCTCGTCACATAGAGCAGCTTTTTCATACCTATCACTCAGCTCCCAGCCTTCTTCTCATTCAAGAGAGCCACAATGTCACGATGCAAATCATACATCAGCAAAAAGGGAATCGCCTGGTGGGGGTTATATCCAGCCTCGCAAGTCAGTACAAGTACCAATATTCGTTCTTAGACTAATCATCATGATGAACATACAACAACGGCACAACCAGAAGTTGATGAAAATGGCCAGGTACTATCATACCAATCAGACCGATGATAATTGCCACGATGGCGAGCTTCGTACAACCTATCATGCTGATGTGACTCGATGGTCTGGTGGATTCCCGCTGTCTGGTGAGCCTGACCACGGACACCAGCTTCAGGAATCCTTAGCAGACTGACATCATAGGTTAGGGCCATTCCCATCTGGTACGCCTCCCATGACGCAACTGGCCGGACATCACAAACCAGGTCGCTCGCCCTAGAACCTTGCCTGCTAGGATTACCGCCACTTATTAGAACTGTATGCTTGCAGATCAATAAATATCATTCTATCTAATGTTCCGGGCAGGAAGGGTGGCAGTAATCAGTGATACAGCAGTTATAATGCGGGGCAAGGAATACAGCAGTTGTGGTGGAAGGTAAGCAATACAGCAGTCGTAGCGTGGAGCAAGCATGAGTGTTAGTACAGCAATTGCAGAAGGTGTAGGTTCTGGTGAAACGGGGCCAGAGATGCCATGAGAAGACTTTCATGTTTTGTTTGCACGTCGCCTAGGCAGTGGGTCCAGCATTGTTCCTGGTTCTAGAGTCGCCGTCGCTTGCAGTAGCACCATTGCCAGTGTTCCGCTGAGTGTGTCGGCGCTGACATTGGCGTTCAATCTTGGCATCCTCGTCTTCACTATCTGAGTCATCGGAGTCGTCTTCGGGTTCGTCAGATGTACTAGCACCTGTATTCTCAAAAACCTCACTGCAAATATGTCATGGAAGCGGGAACGAAGGGGGTAGGGAGCTCACGTTTGGTACCAGCTAAGCAGAGCTGTCACAGCTTCGTCGCCTTGTTCAAGGCCGGTCTTGAAGTAATTGGTGATCCGATCGTAAAATGCCCCACCGTCAAATTTACCATCCATGTGCCCCCAATCTGTCTGTGAATTGAGAATGAAGCGAGCCTAAAAAAGATAATGTAAGCTTTCAGTACCTTACATACGGTGGCATACCTGGCATGCTGCATAGGCGATAAGGTTGCCATTGATGTTCAATATTCCAAGAATGGCCGCATTGCAGCGACGCGGTAGTGTGACCCGTGAATTTGATTTTGCAGCGCTTGGACCAATGAGGACATGGCGAAGGATCTGGTGACATAAGTAGGGAAAGGGATAGATGGCGAGCTAGTCAAAAACTTACTTTAACAAGAGCCTGATGTTTAAAGAGGCCTGATTCTGGGTCATCTTTATCGTATGCCGAAGCGTTGTAAAGGAAGGCTGGCCAGTCTGTGTGTTGTTGGTATTTCCGTGCTCCCTTTTGGACTTTGAGCATGAACGAACTAGTGCACGGTCAGGGACATGCAGGTAGGCCAAGGAACGACTGACTCTGGGTCCTTGTGGAACTTCTCAAGGTATCGCTGTGCGCAGAGTCGTTCTGCTGTCCATTGGTTGTTCCATCCACGCGCCACTTTTGAGCTCAGTTCACGTGGAACGACTTCTTTTGGATCGACGAGGAAATACTCGAGCTTGTCCCGGAGAGTCGATGAGTCATTGGAGCGGGTCTGGCTACATGTATTGGCAATCTAAATGTCAAAAGTATGTAGGAGCATCTTGAGAGCGACAACAGAGGTAATATGTGGGTACGCACCATGGCTATTATGTCATGCCACTTGTTAAAGTTGTTCTTGCGGTACTCCTCGATGAGCTGGGGAAGCTGGGGCTGTCGCAATACCAGGCTCTTGTATGCTAATTTCAACCGCTCATTTTCCCTTACAACCCTAAGTGACAATGTGAGTGTTTTTGGCGGTGAACGAGTGCGCATATATGAGCTTACTCAAGGGGTAGTGCGGCACCACCTGTAATGATCTCTGGGGTATTCTCGGCGAGTGCTAGGCTAGAGCCTATGACTATGAGCTGGCGTGGGTGCCTATAAGCATCAATGAGTCGTGGTATAGCCTTCCCCAAGGCTTCCGTCACTTGTAAGGCTGTCAGTGCATCATTGTTGCTATCTCCAAAGTGAGCAACTGAAACTGATGAAAAAATAAACTCACGTTATTCGCTCAAGCCGTGTTTTCTTGGTGGTTCTTGGGCCGATGAGTCCAAGGGCCTCATTAATCAAATCATGTGTGCGTTTTGCAGGGGTAGGTGCCATGGTGTGGGGGGAGAGCAAGGGGCGTTGAGCGCTCAACATTGGCGTTAGCTGTTGATGTTTGGTGCTATTTGGCCTAGTCCAAATATGGTTTATGTGGTTCGTTAAAAACTGTATATAGATTTACGAGCTCAATACAAATCATATTCATGACATGTTCACCAATACTCTAGTTGAATCGGCTCCAGTTCCTCACTAGCTGCATCTGATTCCTCGTCTGGGGTATCTGAGTCCTTTGAGTCATCGCCATCTTCGGAATCATCAGATAACCATTCATCCAAATTATCATCATCGTTCTCGGCCTCCTCTTCGTCCAATTCAATATCAGCCTCCTCCTCTTTTAATTCAATATCATCCTCTGTATCCTCCTCAATCACGTCCATAGACCCCTCGTCATCTGAGTCAGACCACGAATCTTCCGGGAGAATTGGCTTTTCCTCAACCGGTAAAGACTGGTGTCCAATGGCTCCACCGATGAATCGCATTGCTGTATCACGATCAGAAAACCTACTAAGTATGAGCTTATGCTTTGAATAGACAAAGAGAGGTGTCTTACATGCCAACGTAATAAAATCGCCACTTTCCTTTGTTTTTTGCTTCTGAGGTATCCGCAACAGCAGACATTTCAAGTGTTGCCGTAGTGCCATAGTGGAAAGCTGGAAGGATATGAACAGCCCGGATGACTTCATTAGGATCTAGAAAGGCAAAGGACATGTCATCGTCAATTGCGACAAATCCAATGCGATGGAGTCGCTTTCGTGGGAATCCAGCCTTGAATGTTGTATCTCGGCCAAACCAACGAACCCACAGAACATCCATGTGCTGGGGTTTCAGTAAACGGGGGTGATGAACCACGACATGAAGGATTTGCACGATACGGCCATACCATAGCGGATGTTGATTGGCCTCGCTGATATCGTCGTCCTCGTGAGATGAGGTAATGAAATCGGAATTTGTATTTGGGTTCAAGGAGTCATGGCAGCGCCGTCCATCGTAGCTAGTGTAGTTGATGTGGAGTACCTTGAGCAGGTAAAGTCGATCATTCTCAATAATGACGTTGAGAAGTTGATTCGTTGGAAATATGTTGTTAGGGCGACACTAGTCAAAGACTAACGTGGCTCCTACAAGAATACTAAAACAAAAGGAATAGACGAAGTAGCTTAGTTGACTTAGTTCTCACTATTACTAGTGGAAATCCCAAGAGAACGAGCTAGCGTTCTAGGGCCTGTTATTGGTACTTAAATACTAAAATACATGCGTAACCCTCATGTACTACTACATGCCTACTGCAGCCGTCTTTCCATGGAACGCGCACCGATTCCATGAGGATGCTTGGTAATGTACTGCGGACATGTGTTATGCGTGAGGATCTTACTAAGGTACCGTAATGTGAATTAGTAATAGGCGCGTCCTGCGCGTTTAGATAAGATATCGAAAAAGATAGTGTTCGGATCAGACCGGACCATAACATATGTACTCGTCGCCTTCATATGCAGCATTGAGAATACGGCCAAGAAGATGGGACTTGAGCTTCGGTAGAAAGTCCTAGCACAAGAGTAAGCATGCGAATACATACAAATACGGGGCTTTACCTTGAATGCAGGGTCATCCTGATTCTTGGTTAGATACTCGCCAATCGTAAGTGATGTCCAACCAGACTGTGATATGTAGTAATGGGCGTTGAGCAATTTCGGCAGAGACTTCTTCTCCAGTTTCTCAGCGGGAGTGGTGCTTGCTGAGTCCGTATCCATAGTATCTAAGCGACGCCTAACTTCTCTCAGTATACGTTGGCGTTGCTCTTGCCTCGCAATTTGCTCTTGATAGTTATTCTTGTTTGTGCGACTGTACAATCGCTTGACACGTCGGTGCTCTAGTTCTCCCTATGGCTATGAGTATTCAGTGTTTACGAAAAAGATATCAGCACCTTACCACTTGTGTAGAGTATGATTCAGAAGTTCCTAACCTGCGGATTGTGTCAACGTAATCCCCGAGAGCGTGCATCTTGTAGGTATTCATGTTGAATATGCGTGGTTTTGCCGCTGATTGAACTGTGTCCTTGGAGGATCTTTCGGTGGCATTGGTCCTGATATCAACAGGGCCTGTCTTTCGACTCCGTCGAGCTCGGGCTTCAGCCTCCTGTGGTAGGTCCTTCACATTGTACGAGGGACAAACAGTATCCGAGAATTTGCGAAGGAGGTTGCCCATGTCTATGGTAGCATCTTGTAGGAGTTGAAGAGTTGAGTCTGTATGAAGACGAAGCTTTGCGAGCGCATGCCATGTTGATAGAGTGAAAAGAAGATCAATTACAACTTTGTCGTGCGGAGCAGGAAGAAGACCTTCGAAAGCAGGAATGGAGCACTGCTGTCATTAGAAAATAATATGGCACGGAGGGATTACTTAAAACCTTACCTGAAGGAGATCTTCATAATCTCGCGCGGCAAGCTTCTTCATGGCAGCAGCATCTGCATGAAATCGGCGGATTACACCTCGCCCAAATGTTGGCACTTTTCGGTACCTCTCATTTAGAGCTGCAACAGAATCTGGGCCTAACGCGTGCAAGATACGAACAAGGTGAATGAAGACAGCCTTCCAAACACCAAGTTCGAACTCATGCAGCAAATCGGGGACAAACATCGCGTAGAAATTGAAGCCGTAAGGTAAAAGAGCAGAGAAAGCATTCTAACATGACCGCAATATGTCAGTAGCTACAACGCTGAAATGAAATAGGCTTACTCGAGTCGGTACTAGTGAATGCTTCTTCAACGGTCCGTGACCTTCGTTCCATTTGGAAGCGACCCGAGGGTGAAGATGTATTTACGGGCTCTTTCAATTTTTGCGCGGATAGTTGTCGAGTCGACGCGAATGTGATTTAATCGCACACGGGCGTTCATGTCACACTTCATGCCCAGTTGTCTGATCTTTTCTTTTTGAATAAGGCATCGGGGGCATGGGCAACCACCTAGATACTTGATCGTCGACAGAAGAACTCTGTAATACTTAGCTCAGACAACATATACAAGTCAGAAGCCTAAATCACTCACTTTTCAGGGTAATCTGCGCCGTAAGTGAAGAATCGAGGGAATAACAGACGCGAAACTCCGTCGAAACACTTGATAACAATACCGTGAACATATGCGTGGATGAATTCTGCTGTTAGCAAAAGACGCCAAACAGCGTGCATCAGCTCTCGTTTGAGGTATGTGAGATATGCCGGTCGAGGTGGATGCCCATGGTGTTTGCAGTACTCATCATTCAGGGAGTCTGGGAGCTGTGTTGATCATCATATTAGTTCGGCACAGTAACGTACAGGTTGCAAGACATACCGAGGGGATGTACGCTTGATGATGACAGTGATTACCGGTCGGCTTCAGGCGAAGATACTTTGAGCAGTTCCCGAAGAATGTGTACAGTGGCCAGAGTGAGGCAGTTCCAAATGTCGCGAGATGAGTGGCGTCGCTCCAGAACATGAACGCAACAACAATGGTCTCAAGATTAGGATCAGTGGGAAGCGCGCGGTGGGCATCCATCATAGACTGCGAAGTATAAATCTCTCCGTATGTCCGTTGATGGCCTGGGGGGACATCTGAGAATGGGTTGCGGGAGGGTATTTCGAGGTCAGGTTCTTGCTTGCTGACAGCTGAAGGAACCCAACATTCCTCGAATGGCGTAAGATGCAGGTTCGAGAATTCAGGCCCTTGGAATGTGTCTCGCATGACAGACAGTAACAGTCGAACAAGAACATCCTTGATCTCGAACGTAGGTGCTTTTGCTTCTGCCTGCTTTACCTTGGGTGCTGGAAGGGAAATCGTGACTGGTTTCTTCTCCCATCCGCTCGTTGCTGGGAAGAGTTTTGACGCAGCATCACCACTGGACAACAACTTCAGCGCATCATCGACTCGATCATGTTCAACAGTTGTGCTGAACCCGTTGAGGTCTGCACTGTTGAAGTCGTTCTTGAGCAATACATTCTTGACAAGTGAGTCTAGTTCATTGTTCGACTTCTGGGTGGACCCGCTATGGAACCAGCAAAGGAGCCGTGCAACGGTTGCACTCAAGAATGGTGACCACGGAGTTTGTCCTTGCTGACCGATAGGTGCATTGGTATCTTGTTTTGGCCTGTCAGGCCTGCCGGTTACATCTGTATTATCGTTCATTTCTGTATCATCGGGGTTATGGGAGGGTGTTCGCGGATAGATCCGGTAAAGACCCATCATATTGGTGGGGGTGCAGACCACTGTTGATTCAGCTGAGGGATCTTCCTTCGTAGGTTCTGGTTCGGGCAATGGACGCTGCTGTATTCTTGGTGGTAGGTCGAGAGCGGCTTCTTGCAGCTTCCACGTTTTCCTCTTGACATGAACAGGTCGGCCACCGGTAGACTCAGCGACTGGTATCTCACCAGAACCATCTAAACAAGCAGCTGCGTTGTCGAGATTGGTAGGTTCTAGCATTTCCTGGCGACAAAAATAGGTTAGATAGCTCTCTATGGTGTTGATTACACGCACGAAGTCATCTATATTGGCTTCATCTTGTGGACCGCCAACAGGTCCAAGGAGTTCAAGCTGAGTGGCCGCTTGCATCTGCAAATACTTGCGCGAACACGCCGTCTCGTGTCTCAGGAGGCCTCGGTGTGTCTTCCATTGAGGATTATCGACGTAGCAATAATTACACCGCATCTGCGAAGTACTTGTGAGCAGGCAAGGAGTGAAATGGGAGGATCGAGCTCACTGAAGATGCGAACTTATGTGGCGCTGTACTACGGCTGAATGAGACAGAGCTTTATACCTGTACCCAAAAACAAGAAGTTTTTCCATCGATATTCTCAACTTGGACTCATATCATTCTATTTTGAGTATATAATCTTGATTGACATGTTCGAAACACTGAGTATACAGAGTATGGATGTCCCATTAGCTCCTGTGCGAACATAGCCAGAAAGGCATTGAGAATGGACACATTTGAGTTGGACAACAAGGGGACTTACCACGTCACAACCTCTTGACTCGGGGTTGAATAAACTCGCAGTAGAGCTAGCAAAACAGTGAGGGTCAAGCTACAACGACGAAATGGGCCTGAATGGGGGGGTTCGTTGGGTTGAAGCCCTGCGGCGTTTGTCGGAAAGAAGTCGTCCATGAGAATACGACCAGTGGCCACGCAGATCTAGCTTGACATTGAGCAGACTGTTCATTGGTTGGTTAGGACACTATCAGACGTCAACCGATTTGGGGAGCGCAACATGGGCAGGATAAGGCCGTCGCCCATATGGCGTCGTGTTGATCAGTCTGGCCTTAAACCGTAAGCCAGGCGCAATGGTAGCAAGACCTATATCAGCCTGGCGAGTATATGATTTGAGATAGGTCATACTGGGCACAGCCTTACCTTGCTCGGCATGGATGGTGATTGCGCCCACCTCTGGAACGCGGCAGTAAGAGACAGATGAAGCGTTAGTCTGGTAAGCGCCAACCTATTTTGCCTTGTTAGACTTGCCAGACAACACCCTTTTTGCTGATGTATATATCATTTTATCACTGTTACATGTAGGCGCAGGTGAGAATGAGAAAACAGGTCAGTAGCATGAGTTAATCTGTGACAGGAAGAGCTAGCAGGGAGGAGTCAAGGTGAAATCAGCATTCCAGGCAGTGCGAGCGAAGACGTGGTCCCAGTTCAAAGAGAAGAACGAGCAGCGGTGGGAGCATGCGAGTATCCAGAATTCTAAGTTGCGGGTCCAGTGGCGCCCGAGGATCCAGCACTAGTGTCATCTATGGTTCCAGCATTGGTCCCTCCAGCGTTGCCTGTAGAACCAGAGGCAGCCTCTCCTGTGTTGCCTGTAGCACCAGTGGGAGCCTCTCCAGTGTTAGTGCCCCGTGATTGCCGGAGTTCGCGTTGTCGTTGGATTAGGGCATCCTCATCCTCGTCGTCCGATTCATCGTCGTCGCTGTCCGAATCTTCATCTTCTTGCGAAAGACCCGAACCGCTGAACACCTCACTAGCGAAGTCGTTAGTTCAAGAAAGAACAATCAATGACGTGCCTACCTTTGATACCACTTAAGTAGCTCGTTTACGTTTGCATCACCTTGTTCAACACCGGTCTTGAAGTAATGTGTGATACGGTCGTAGAAAGCAGAGCTGTCGAACTTGCCGTCCATTCGTGTCCAGTCTGTCTGTGCATTTAGCATAAAGCGAGCCTGTCCCAGAGATAGTTGTTAGCAGTGCCAAATGTCAGTTTAATACACACCTGGCAGGCTGCATAAGCGATGAGATGACCATTGATGTCCGAAATACCTAGAATGCTAGCATTGCAGCGCCGGGGTAAGGTTGATCGTGTGTTTGACTTTACAGCACTTGGGCCGACAAGGATATGTCGAAGGATCTAAAGGAACATCAAAACAAATAAGCATGTTAGCTGCAGGGGCATCACATACGAGGACAAGAGCCCGGTTCTTGAACAACCCGGACTCTGGGTTGGTCTTGTCATACTCCGTAGCATCGTAAAGGAATGCAGGCCAGTCGGTGTGGTGTTGCATCTTGCCCGATCCCTTTTGAGCCTTGAGCATGAGTGCGCTGGATGGTGTTGTTAGGGAATATTTAGAGCACGTCAGCTGAGCTCACCAGGGATCTTTGAGGAATTTGTTGCGATATCGTTGCGGGCACAGTAATTCTGCTGTCCACTGATGGTTCCACCCACGGGCTACCTTCATGTTAAGTTCTCGCGGAACAATGAAGTATTCAAGCTTGTCACGAAGGCCAGATGAGTCGTTGGATCGTGTTTGACTAGTTGCGTGGGCAATCTAATGCATGCAAGCAGGTGAGTTCTGCCAGATCCAAGTGCATACATAGTACTCACCAAGCCCACCATGTCTTGCCATTTGTCCCAGTCTGCGTTACGAAACTCCAAGATGATCTCCGGCAACAGTGGTAGCCGGCTGATTATCTTCTTGTATGAATAGAGGAGAAGCTTGTTCTCCGTCACAACCCTGGAAAACCAGCAATTCAGGTAAGGTTGGGTGCGCATATATTTACTTACTCAATGGCAAGTTGGGCTCCACTGGTAACTACACGTGGCTCTTGTTCTGCGAGGTGTAGTTCATACCCCTGACAAAGTAGCTCTCGAGGGTGCCTATACACATCAACAAGTTGCGGAATAACCTTCCCTTGGTCTTCAATGTTTTCTAGGGCGATGCGAGCCTCATTGCTAGGCTGAAGGTTAGTAACTGGCTACTGTGATAATACAGGTACGAATCTTACCTTACACGCGACATCCTTTGCTTCTTTGAGGTTCGGGGCCCAATGTGTTTGAGGGCCTCATTGATGAGGTCGTGTGTTCGCTTTGCGGCCATGAGTGGGGTAGTTGGCAAGAGTTCGAACGTGTTTAAGCGCTAGCTCAACTTCATTACGACACATTTGGCTTTGTTTGTACATACATCCAAATATGGGCTCTGTGGTTCAATCGAGGCAATCACAGCACAAACGCACATATATTTTACCAAACTTCGACTTGTAGGTCCTCCGATTGCTCACTCGCTGTGTCGGATTGAGCATCTGTGTCCTCCTCCTCCTCCTCCTTGTCGTCACGAGGAATTTCATCTTCATCAGATAACCATTGATCTAAATCATCCTCATCCTCCGCCTCCGATAACTCAACATCATCGCCCTCGTCTTCATCATATGCGATCATATCCTCTAACATCTGGTCGTTGGCCGCATCGTCATGGGACTCCATGTCAGAGTCAGAATCCGAGTCTTCACTAATAATTTCCGTGGCATTCTCTTGATCTGTCTGTACAGACTGATGTCCTACAGCACCACCAATATACCGCATTGCTGTATCGCGATCGGAGAACCTGTAGAAACAATGAGTTCCTGCCTTTAAGATGTCCTATTGAACTTACATTCCAACATAATAAAATTACCACTTTCCTTGGCTCTTCGCTTCCGCGGCATCAGCTACAGGTGATGTTTCATTCACCTGTGTTACGCCGTAGTGAAAAGCAGGGAGAATGTGGACAGCTCTGATGATGTCTGCAGGATTCACAAATGTGAACGCTGCATCGTCATCTAGAGCAACAAATCCGATACGATGAAGGCGCCGTTTGGAAAAGCCAGCCTGGTATTCTAGGTCGCGTCCGAACCATCGAACCCAAAGAAAGTCAACTTGTTGTGGTTCGTGAAGGCGCGGGTGATGAACGGTGGCATGAAATATTTGCACAAGCCGGCCATACCACAATGGGTGCTGATCCGCTACATCGTCATCCTCGTTTGAAGGAGTGATAAAGTCTGAGTTTTTCTTGGGGTTCAATGAATCACGGCATCAGCGACCATCATAGCTTGTATAGTTCACGTGGAGCACCTTGTGCAAGTACAATCGGTCGTTCACGGTCACAACCTTGAGGAGTTCGTCCACTGAGTATTGCTTGCCATCTCCAGTGTCAGGAATATTGAGGATTCGTTTGAGGAGGTGGGCCTTGAGCTTCGGAATAAAATTCTATTTCTGGACGTTAAGCAGCAGCAAAGTCAGTGGCGTAGATGAACCTACCGTAAACGCTGCATCTCCTTGGTGTGCCGTTAGATACTCACTAATTGTGACTGCTGTCTGGCCAGAAGATGAGATGTAGTGGTGATCATTGAGGGATTGCTTCAACGACTTCTTAGGCGGACCTTTCGGTGGTGCATCTGCAACGGCACCATCAATAGCTTCAAGGCGCCGTCTGACCTCTCGAAGTGTTCGTTGGCGCTGTTCTTGCTTTGCGATCTGCTCTTCATATTTATTCTTGTTAGTGCGCCCATACAGCCGCTTAACACGGCGATGCTCCAATTCTCCCTATTAAGCAACAGTGAGAATTATAGTGAAGACTATCTCTGCAGAACGTACCACTTGTGTTGACCATGATTCAGATGTTCCCAGTTGTTGTATGGTATTGGCGTAGTCACCGAGTGCATGCATTTTGTATGTGTTCATGTTGAATGATCGCAGCTTTGTGGTTGTTGAGGCTGTAGTGTTTAGACTGGTAGAATCCATCTTGCGTGCTTTTCGAGCACGAGCTTCTGCCTCACACGGCAAATCCTTTGTAGTGTACGCAGGACAGACTGTATCCGAAAACTTGCGAAGGAGGTTGCCAATATCTACGGTGGCTTCTCTTAAGAGACGAAGTGTTGTATTGGTGTGAAGACGGAGCTTTGCTAGAGCATGCCAAGTCGACAGGGCAAAGAGAAGGTTCAGCACAGTTTGATTGTGGAGGCCTGGGAAAAGCCCCTCAAAGACCGGAATTGAGCACTACTCTCAGATATCAGGTGGATGGAAAGTAGAGATTTAGGAAGGAACGAACCTGGAGAAGATCTTCGTAATCTCGTGCGGCAAGTTTCTTCATGGCAGCAGCATCAGCGTGAAATTTGCGAATCACGTCTCGTCCAAATGTCGGCACCTTGCAATAGCGTTCGTTTAGCGCTGCAACAGAATCAGGGCCTATTGCATGAAGTATCCGAACAAGATGGATGAAGACGGCCTTCCAGACTCCGAGTTCGAATTCGTGTAACAAGTCTGGAACGAACAGTGCATAGAAGTTTAAGCCATGTGGTAGAAGGACAGAGAACGCATTCTATCAAGCAAAATGTCAATGTAGCTCTGCGTACGCTCATATAACTAAAATCTTACACGTGTAGGAACAAGGGAATCCTTCTTTAATAATCCGTCAACCTTGGTTCCATTTACGAGTGCCCCAGCGGCAAAGAGATGTTTACGTGCAGTCTCAATTTGCGCACGGATTCTGGCAGAATCAATGCGGAGTTGGTTAAGCCTGGTGCGAGCAAGTAGGTCCCGCTTCATGCCAAGATTTCTTATGTTCGCTTTTGCGATAAGGCAGCGGGGACAAGGACAACCACCCAGGTATTTAATTGTCGCCAAGAGGACTCTAGAAGACCAAGGATCAGATGTATTTACAAGAAAGACACTGAAGTATCACCTACTTTTCAGGGTAGTCGGCACCATATGTGAAAAAGCGAGGGAATAATAACCGCAAAATACCATCAAAACATTTTACGGCCAGGCCGTGAATGTACGCATGAATGAATTCGGCTGATAGCAACAGGCTCCATACTGCGTGCATCAGTTCACGTTTGAGATGCGTGAGATACGCTGGTCGAGGTGCATGGCCATATAGTTCACGGTATCGATCGTTCAGCGAGTCCGGAAGCTACATCAACTAGACGTTAGGTCATCGGACTCATGATGTCAACCGAGGGATCTTACCGAAGGGATATAGGCCTGGTGGTGGCAGTGATTACCAGTTGGCTTTAGTCGAAGGTACTTCGAGCAATTGCCGAAGAAGGTGTATAAAGGCCAGAGTGAAGCTGTGCCGAATGTCGCAAGATGGGTAGCATCACTCCAGAACATGTATGCGACCACAACTGTCTCAAGGGTGGGATGAACGGGGAGGGAGCGATGAGCGTCCATCATCGCCTGTGAGGTATAAATCTCGCTATATGTTCGTTCGTGGCCTTTAGGAAGTGTCGAGAATGGCTCGCGGGTTGGTGAGTCAAGGTCAGGGTGTTGATCGTGATCATCCGCTAGAGGAATCCAACTTTCTTCGAAGGGGGTAAGATGGAGGTCTGTGAATTCAGGTCCTTGAAACGCATCTTGCATGACAGAGAGTAGTGGTCGAATGTTGATCTCCTTGATTTCGAAAGTAGGAGCTTGAGCCTCTGCTTTCTTTACCTTTGGCGCAGGAAGAGAAATGATGACACTGCACTGCTCCCATCCACTTGTAGCCGGAAACAACTGTGATGAAGTGTTGTCAACCTTGAGTGCATCGTCGACACGAGTGTGTTCTTTGGATGTGCTGAAACCCTTCAGACTGATGGCGTTGAAATCCTCCTTAAGCAGTACATTCTTGACGAGTGAGTCGAGTTCGGCGACAGATTTCTGGGTTGAGCCGCTGTGGAACCAACAGAGCAGCCTGGCGACAGTCGAGCTCAAAAATGGCGACCAGGGATGTGGACTCCCCTGATTCCCCGTGTCACCTAATTCAGTTTCTTTACTTCTTCGTTTGGCTGGATCGATAATGTCGGTGTTGCGGTTCACATCAGCTAGATCTTCGAGAGAGACTGATTCATCGGGATTATGTGTCGGTCTCTGAGGATAAATGCGGTACATTCCCATCGCATTAGGAGAGGTACAGATTGCTCGTGAGGGTGGAACTGTGTTGTCAATTATCGGCTCATGTTCGGCGACGGGAGCACGTCGAACTCTAGGTGGTAAATCAAGCATGGCCTCTCGCTTCTTCCAGGTCATCTGCTTGCGTCGAAAAGTTCGTCCACTCGGAGCTTCAGGAGGCTCGACCTCTACTTCAGGTACGCCTAGATCCATCACCGGTGCAGGCTCAAACATGTCCTACCAGAAATTGTTAGAACATCAACACGCAAATTGACGAAGCTGCTTACAAAATCTTGCAGCGTTGGTGCAGGCTCAGGTGCCTCAAGCTCGGGCTCAAGTTCGGGAAGGGGGGGTAAATTCGCCCGTAGGTATTTTCGCGAGCAAGCTGCCTGATGTCTGCTGAGACTTCGGCCAGACTTCCAGCGAGGATTGGTCTCGCCGCAGTAGGAGCAACGCATATTCTGTTAATAGAGGATTAGTACATGATTGTCAGATATTGATTGAGGATCCTCACCTTCGCTTGTTGCTAGTTTGTAGGCACTGCTGCTTTCTGTTAGTCTGTCTGAACGGGGGTGCAAACTTGCGACTTATAAGCCTTTCGCTGTAAAACAAGATTTTTTTCCGTGTTTAATACTCGGACCTTCATTCCGTGTTGTAAAGTAGCACTCTATTTGCAAATACAAGGCTATTTGACATGTTCGACAGAGCCGCACAATGCTCAAAGCGAGCTTCTGTAGTGTTTCTCCTCGAGCTACTGTTGAATGAGGACTATACATAGAAGTAAGGTTAGTTACATATGGTACGCCCTGACTCGGGATCAGATAGACTTACTGGTTTGTTTTATCCATCTTCTGTTTTATCCATCTTCTGTCGCAGAGGTAAAGGTTAGAGTGCGAACGGTGAGAGGGAGAGAGTAGGCTGCGGTGTTTGTCGGAAATATGGCCCGGGTATGTGAATGTTTGGTCAACACACCTGATCTGACGTCCATCAGACAGATGGATGATTGTTTGGGCCACTGTCAGGCGACAACCAACATGCGGAACACAATCTAGCGCGGACCGGGACGTGGCCAACATGTTTGGCCGTTGGTTATTTTGGTGTCGCGCGCCCAGGCCGGAGTAGAGACTAATTGACCAGCAATCAGAATGGTTAGCTGATTATCAGACATAGACCACGTTGGCCACAAGTTTACCTTGTTCACCATGTCTGGTGTAATACGACATCCGGATACAAGTACGGTAAGGTACGGGTGAGGGACTGACGTGGTAGGCGCCGGGCTGACTTGCCTTATTAGGCCTACCAGACAACGACCTTTTCGCTGATGGGGTCCATGTAGATCTATTCAAATGGCAGATCGAACATTGCATTAACCACCTGGTCGCCACTGACATCTTTCGTCTTGACGAAATGCTTGATGGCAAACGAACAGTTGAACGCCGCTGACATTCTTGCAGTACTCTACTCTCGAGGCGACGGCGAAACCTTCCATTGGACCATTTGCCTCCCCATCTCGACCCGCAACGCCATCAAGCTACATGCCAAAGACCCGGGATTAGGACATTGGTTTTTTGAAGATCCCCCGCCCGAGGATGATCTCGTTGGCTCAAATATAGTGTGCGCTGCTGTCAAAATAGGTACGGCTTGGCCGCCACTTTAAGTACCTGCACGCGAATGTTACTAAAGCGAAATACAGGGAAACTAGCGGGAGATTTCGACATCGCGTCCGTGAAGACCATACTACGAGCGATTCCAATGGAGGTTCCAGCTTCGGATGCGGAAATCGAGCCGAGGTTCTCGTGCAGAGTTTGGTTCAAGGAAGCCGTTCGACAACTCGCTTATGCAGGTGTTATTACATGCACCGACGTATGCGCCTTGGAGAACGAATGCAGGGAATACGCACGGCGGAATGACGCATCACAGGTATCCTATGTAGGATATACGTTCTATGTCTCTCAGTACTCCTCGTGAAAACATGTCAACCCCGAGGTTTCTTCAAGATAGCCAAGACGCAATTGTCTGCAACCGTCTTACGTGACTGGAAGGTAGGCCCGAATGGATGCTTTCGACCATTGACTCGATTTCATAAGATGTTTAGCAGTGCTTGTTTTGCAACTATGTCCGTCCGAATCGTGTCCATATTAATGCAAAGAAGAGATAAAGCATATGCGGGGACAATGCAAGACGACAGGAATAGAATGGAAAAATGTCCAATTTATGTCCGTGTTAAGAGATGAAAGCAAGCGCAAGGAAACAACAAGGGCGCAAGGAGCATATACACAAATACAGTGCGTGACCGGGTAGACCTTAACACGTCGCGGAGGGGTGGAACCTTGAGCGGTCGTCCATCGAGCGGGCCTTCCGTCGTCCGAAAGCGCAGGAGGTAAGACTTTGAACAAGGCCTTGACCCATCGCCGTGAACCCAGGTACAGTCTATTTTATAACTTCAACGCAAAACGAAATTCGGCGAAGACGCACCTGCTGCTCACACGCAATGCTGCCGCACCAACGGCGGTCTGCCGTTGGTGAAGCAGACATAACATCCGAGCGGCCGTTCACCACCCTCCTCTACCCTTCCCGCATTTCATCTAGCAACTCTATGGCGGCATGGCCAAGCCGCCATGGATTCGCATCAAGGACTCACATGCCACTCTCAATTACGCCAGGAAGCCCATCGTCGTTTGGCCGAACGAAGATGGGCTTCCTGGCGAACTGAGGCGCACGGGAGTCCAAGATAAAATGGGGGAAGAGGAGAAGAGGGAGGCGAACGAAATGTAAGAAACGTTGGACACACCTGGATACCCGCACCCAACACCGCCCCCTCTACATCTATCTCCCTCTTCCCCACCCCCAACGACCTCCCCACAACTACCCAGCACCTTCATCAGACCACGCTCGAAGAGACCTCATTGGAGGGCGTCCGCTCCCGTTGATTCCCAGGTCCACCGCGTCCACGCCCCCGGCCCAGTGCGCTCCTTCCCTGCGACATAACATCCGAAGCGTAGCCAGCTACCCTTCTCACTCTTTCGTGCAACATGCTTTCGCGGTAAAGACTTTTGAAGCACGCACGCACACCTTTCTTCGCCGATGGCCCATCCCGAGGGGTTCGCCCTACTTCAACACGGATCACACACTCGTGGCGCAAGAGCGGGCGCTTTTGCGCCTGGCCTTGCGACGCCGCACGTATCGCGGCTGAGATAACACCCCCGCGAACATTGCGTGCTGCTGCAGGAGCCTGTCTCTGTACTGGCGGGAGCGACTCTGGCTGGAACTGACGCCGGTAATGTGCGTGGAGGAGCGCGAGGTCCATGGAAGGTGTTGCTGCCTCTCGACTAGCCTTCACATCGTCAGGAACATTGCAGCTGGGTACACCTCGTGGCCATGAACGGTCCTCAGCGCGAGAATCGCGAAAAGCGTTCATGGTATTGGCGTCTGCGTGACACGCATGCAACTGGATAGCTGGTGTCGATGGTCTTGGTCCCAAGAGCAGGAGGGTTATCGGTCGAGAGTCGGACGTAGCAGGCGCGAGGGATGTATTAGGGGTATATATGTCACGGCTAGCCCGAGCGCTCGAAGCGTAGTTATCCAAAGAGGCAATTGTCTTTTCAATGGACGCGCAAATGTCAAAGACGGAAGCAAAATCAGCAGGAGTGAGGGTATCTGGGCATCAAGTTGTAATCAGCAGCAGTTCGGATGGGGTAGAGTGTGAACATACCACTCAGAGACAAGCTGACAGCTGGAGCTTCCAGAACGTTGAACTTGGGCGTTGACGTTGTAGCAGGGTCTACGGGCGTGCCAGCCGCCGAGTAGATGTTGAAGGGGTTAGGGGCTCTAGGGGCGTCACGTACAGCGACATCGCCAGTACGGAGAAGCTGAGTTGATGGCATGGTGAGGGAGTGGTATGTGCGAGTTGAGAAGAGATTGAGAGTGTGATATATGATTGTGGTTAAGATGATGATGGTAAGGAAGAAAGAGGTGAAGCAGAAGTTGCGAGAGCGTCAGCCTGCATAATATAGGGCTCAGGAGACAGGAGACGAAAGCTTCTTTCCACGGTCACGGGTGCATGTCCGATCGCGCCAGCCTCCCATTTGGCTGGAAATAGTCTTGGATCCTTCGTCTGGACTACGAATCTCCAGGCTTCCCGAGCGAAATCGCTGCAATGTTTGAAACTGTTGACTGTGTGTCAGAGTCTGACGGTAAGGCACCCGGGACGGCAAATGAGTAGATCGGGGAGTCGAGGATTTCTTGGGGGTGGCTAGCCCCGATTTACTATCCTAAGGACGGGGATGGTGATGAGATCTTGAGATAACGAACGGGCGAAGGATGCACAGGAAGGCACACCGTACGATACCTAGACTTCGATTCGCGTGGATCACTGAATTACCCTCACGTTTTTGTAGACCGCCTACATAGTGCGAATACGGATGTTAGAAGTTGGTTAGAAGGCTTGTAAACGACGAGCGACTCAGCGAACGACTACGAATCGCAAGGGATGTCGTGGGAGAATGGAACGATAGATAGCAAGTTGAAGAACAGGCGCCAGTGCATGGACGCTTCGCTATCCCCGCTACAACACACGACAAGTATTGCCACCAGTAGATGAACCCTTCGTTGTCCTCTGCCTTGGTCTCTTCTACGACGCTTCAATGTTTCTCGCAGGCCAGTGCTGTTGCGCTGATGCCCAGGTGTAAGTACATAATTTTGGGGCGGAAGACATAACACCGATCTGGAAACGCTTGCTTAGTTATCTCGCCATCACACGAAACGGTCGCCGATAGATAACATATAGCCGATCTAAAGCAGTTACCACCACTAAATGGACAACCGCAAAGGATCGCTTCAATAAAAAACCAGGCATCCCAATTTCATCACAAGAAGAGTCAAAAGCAGAAAGATTATTCATTGTTGGTTATGCGATGCAATGATGCAATAAAGTATGAATCCCCGACATCCACCCTTCCAACCCACTCATATAGCAGCGGTGGCGCCTCGTCGGGAGAGGCTACTTAGAGGCCAATGTTGATGGGAGTGCAGCCAATGTTAACCAGGCCGTCTAAAGAGAACGAGAATCGTCAGTCCAACCTATCTCACAGGGTAAAGACGCAAGCTTACTGAATTTGGTGTTCTCGCAGCAAACTGTTTGGCCAGAGCTGAAACAAGCAAAGAGCATTAACGCTACGCCTACGATCCTTCTCAGAGCCACCTACCACTTAGCTCCACCACCAAGAATGCTGGCGATGGGCGAGCATTGCATGCTGAACTCGCCGGTGATTCCGCCGAGGTCAAGCTTCAACAAGGAAGCGACGAGACTGGCCTCGGACGACTGGTGCGACTTCATTTCGTTGCAGCACTTGACAGGACCAGTGTTGCACTGGTAGTCGGTGCGAGCGGCAAGCGGAGAAGCAACTGCGACGGCAGCGATGGCAGCGACGAAGATGGATTGAGCGAACATGGTTGAAAGAGTGAGGGTGGGGTTGGTAAAGAGAATGTGGTTGATTGGTTGTTGAGGAGAATGCGAATGCGAAGACGAAGACGAAAGAATTCGAATGAAGAAATGGGTGTTGGCGGCGAGGTATTTATATGTTTCTGGCCTCGCCCAGATTTGCTTGCTGAATGACTTCTCAGCTTCCTCGTCCAATCATGGTGTTCCAAGCACCCAGCGCAAGTCTAACGGCTGACCATTTCACACTCGAAGGGGCGCGGTGATCGAAGAAGCGCTCCTTATTTTGCGGTCAGGGTGGGCGGCGCTATCATTAAAAACAAACGTACTCTTGTAGGCGTCAAGCAACAATTAGGAGCAGTTAGGCGGCTAAGGGTCACCAAGAAACATCCGCTTGGCCCAGAATTCTTCCACGGAAATGGAAAACGCCCACACCGGCAAGCAAATTAAAAGAGCTCTTAACGCACTGAGGGATTTGGCACGTCCGTTGCTCCGGAAGAGAGGTAGGTCTGAGAGACATACGCTCGTATTGTGCTAAGACGCATACCGGGGCCGCTTCCCTTGCGCTTCCCAGCGTTCGAGTGTTGAAGGGGAATCCCGGCCGAGAACCTTCGCCGCAGTAAATTGACAGAGAAGCCTTGGGAGTCCCCAGCGGGCCATTTACGTAGGGGAGTTTCAACCCCGATGGTATGCGGGCAAATTCACCCTTCGAGCTTCGTGTGTTTCATGATGGTCTGGCGCGTAATGGATCTAGGATGGGTCGATGAAGCGTAAACTCGGCGACAAGTGCAGGTTGAGCACAGGCCAAGGCCTTCGTCTAAGCAAGTGCCCGGCATCGTTTCACTGTCCATTGGGTGCCGATGCGACTCGAGGACACGGAGGAACAAATAATAGCCCCTTCGGAACAAGGCGTCAAGAAAAATGAGCATGCAAGGCCAACCAACAGTCGCGAGGCCTTGCAGAGCCGACCAAAGTTTCTCTGCGGTACGATACCGTTCGAATGTGTTGCCACGCACAATCCAACAAGGCAAACGGGAATAACAAGGCAAGGAATACGTAGCACTCGGTAGCACGGTACTCGGTGAGCACAGAGGATGAAAAAGCCCAAGTCGTACTACTTATGTACACTGACACTACGTCGAGGGCGATCCTTTCCTGTTGGGGCATCAACACCGGAGATAATGTGAGGGATCACAGTACGCCTAGGTACGTATTATCTATGGTCTCTTATTGTACGGCGTCTGACATGCACCTATAGCCCGCGATCTTACGCCTATACAACGATTTCATTCATCGGGAGAGTGAGGGTGAGTCCTGTAACGACCGACGCAGTTGTCAAAGCTATGCATGATCCGAGTGCACGAACCACGTTTACAATTCACCATGCACCATTCTCTGTTCAACTATTCAACTACTCAACGCTCAGATGCCCATCGCCAAAAAACCTCAATGCACGGGGACCACGCGGGTGGCTCCGATATCTGACCTCTACTCAAAGAGTGCCATGCAATGCGTATCGCTTTACTGCCTTCCTTTTATGTACATCCAAGTTCCTATTCGGTACGCGCGCTCCCCCTATCTATATAGACTATAGAATGCCGTCCAAGATTCTTCAATATGCAGCAGGGCGGCTACGTGAAAAAAGGTCCAAGGGGATGTACAGGATAAGGCCTAAGGGTCAAGCTTCAAGGTAGAATAGAATGTAGGTTATTCGAAGAAACTCGAGGTGCGACGACTCCACCCTACTTACTTCTTCTTCCTTACTTCCTCCCACCTTCTACATACGCGCTCGTTAGTGGCTCAGTGGCTAGCTATCATCCACTTGCTAATATGCAATTGCTAGATGGACGAGCGGACAGATAACACCGAATATTGAATATTGAATACTGAATATTAATGCTTGACTTGTTAAGTTGTTATACTTTTATACCCCTAATTCCCTGATTCGATGAAATGCACGAGATGCTAACGAGATGCTAATGAGATACGTAGATGCTGACGACACGCACCTCATGCAGATAGAAACTCCACACCCCACCCGACATTCAAATGCCCACCGCAAAGCAAATCTCAGACACGCGGCATGGCGAGAGCCGCAGAGTCGGGATCTATGCGGGTGGCTGGTATGTACTAACGATTGGACGATTGTAGGATAGACGGAAGGTTGTAGGATAGACGGATATACGGTTGGGGTTGGGCAGCAAGCACTGAGTACTGACCACCCGCAGCGAGCACTCGAGCTGAGCGGGGATCGTTCCAAAAGCGACTTCTCAAGTGCATATGCATGCGTATGCCTGATTAGATACGAACGACGATAAATGCTAGGATTCCGAGACGCGAGATGATGTATGAGACAAACTGAACTGAACATGAACTGAACTGAACTGTATGAGTTGCTGGGGAGATGTTGGGGAGATGTATGAGTTGTGAGGGAGATGTAGATGTATGCAAGAAAAAGAAACAGACTTGAAAGAAGCGATATATGTACATCGACGATATCGATAAAAACTAAAGACAAAGTACTGATAAAAACTAAAGCTTAAAGACTAAAGACCAATAAAGGAAAACTCGTACGAGAAAAACGCGATCGCGGGACATCGTAGCGTAGAGAGACGTAGAGACGCAGAGAGATGCAGACGTAGAGAAATGTACAGGGATCAAGTGGAAAGACGAACCGTAGAACGACTACGACAGCAGGACATAGAACAGCCCCAGCAAACCCACGAGACTCAGGAACCGCGAGAGCGTGCCCACCAAATCGACGTCTTCTACCCTCGTTTGGGTTTGCGTTTTCACCTCTAACCCCACGTCTCCGGCACCCCTAACGTCTCCCTCCACATCGCCGAGTCCTCCTACATCTCCACCTCCACCAGCAGATTTTGCACCCACCACATCCACCGCATCCCCCGCGCCCGCGCTCGCATCGCTGTGGCGTACAGAAGCGAACGCGGACGAGGACGCAAATTTTTCTTTTATAGAGGGGAGCGCGGGGAGCGGGGGCGTCGTACACGTCGACGACCCCTCCCCCTCCCCCTCCCCGGCGATCTCGGGCGACGAGTTCGAGCGCGAGGTCGAGGTCGATGTTGACGTTGAGCTGCTCCCGCCCCCACTCTCTCTATCCTCTCTATCTTCCTTTCCAAAACAATCACCTTTACCGCCCCCACCCCCACCCCGGCCTTCGCCCTCACCTTCAGCAGCTCGGGCAGCTCGGGCCCGCTCGACGTGCTCCGAAAGCGGGTGCGGGTGCGCGCTCCTCCCCCTCCCCGCCGAGCCTTGCTGCTGGTGTTGGTGTTGATTTTGGTTTTGACTTCGATTTTGGTTTTGATTTTGACTTCGATTCTGAACTTGATTCTGACTTCGATTCTGATTCTGAACCTGATCTCGCGCCTGCGTACCGTGGTGTTGCGAAGCCATAGGGATGAAGCCCTGCGTCGCAGGCGGCGTGCCCGGCGTAATCGGGGTCCCCGACGCGTACGATGAGTACGACGGGTGTGGTGAGTGCGGGTCCTGTGGGTTCTGTGGGTGCTGCGCCGCCGCCGCCGCCGCCGCCGAGGACGACGAGGACGACCACGGTGGTGGTTGCGAGTGTTGGTGTTGCAGTTGGTGTGCAGGGGGTAGGATAGGAGAGGTAGAGGAAGAGGCAGAAGATGAGGTAGAGGGTTCGGGCACGAGCCACGACGCGAGCCACTTCCACGCCGACGTCGTCTCCACACCGCGTCCCCTGCCCCCATTTCCCCCATCTCCCCCATCTAACACCCCACCATCACCGTCCTCTAACAGACGCCCACCCCCACCCCCCTCATCGTCGTCAACATTATCTGAAAGGGATAGATATCGAGATGGGGAGTAATACGGTGATTGGGACGAAAGGGAGTATGGTGATTGGGAGGAGGAAAGGGAGTAGGAGGAAAGGGAGCCATCGAGCCGCGTTTTACACGCGGGACACCGTCCGTCGGATTCGGTCCCTCGGAGCCACTAAACACAATAAACACATTTTTTACAATAAAATGAACGGGTGGTCAGTTCGGTGTTTTTCAGGTTTTGGTAAGAGGGAGGGGAGGGAGGAAGCCCGCAACCGGCGACATATACGCTCCAAAAAAAAACCTCCCCCAAACCCCCCCCTCCAAACCAACCCCCCTCCAAACAGAAATAAAAGAAATAAACGAAAAAGAAATGCACGTACCGCATGCAGATGCTCGGCGCAGAAGACGCGCGCGCAGCACGGCGTGAGCGTCGGGCGGACCGCTTCTTCGAAACTGCAATCCACAGTAATCCAAATCACAGTAATCCAACGAACACCAAATCACAATGATCCAACGAACCCCAACGAACGAACGAATGACAAATGACAACAAGTTACCACCGAGGGAACAAACACCGCGAGGAACATAGAAAACAAACAAGCGTTTGGGCGTCAGCGATGGGAGATGGGAGGGGCGGGATGGGGGAGAAAGGGCGTACCATATCCCACAGTCACCGTCTACGTATTCCCTGTCTTCGCCAACGTAATCTTCCTGCTGTTTCCCTTTCCCTTTATTCCCATTCCCATTCCCATTCCCGTCCCCATTCCCAACACCAACACCACCACCACCACCATCCTCATCATCCTCATCCTCATCATCACGCTCCTCCCCCTGCCCCTGCCCTTGCCCCTGCCCCTGTCCTAGAACGGGCTCAAACCACCGCCCGCCGGGCGTGCGCGGCGTCAGCGGGGTGAGCGGGGTGAGCGCGCCGAGCGGACTCTCCTCGACGCCCAGGTTCAGCGTGAACGACGGGTAGCCGCCGCTCGCATTCGCATTCGCACTCGTGTTGTTCGCGAAGCTCGAGGAGTGCGAGGGGTGCGAGGGGTGCGAGGGGTAGGGATTATAGGGATTATAGGAAGATGGGTTGTTGTTAGTATTATTATTGTTATTATTATTATTGTTGATGTGATTATAAGGGTGGGTGGAATGGGAGGACGAGGGGGTGTATGGCTTGACGATGGAGAGGGGGGCGTATTCTGGGATGGAGTCGAGGCGGAGGGTCAGTTTCGGGCGGGTTGGGCGGGTCGACGGCGTATTCGCATTCGTATTGGTCGTCGTCGTCGATCCATTCGCCGTATTCGCCGTCGTATTCGAGGACGGCGAAGGGGAACGCGCGGGGGCATTGGTAGACGCGGAGCGATTACGATTAGAGATCGAGGAAGAAGGAGAAGGAGAGGCAGAGGAAGAGGCGGTGGATGGGAGGAAGGGGGTGAAATTGAACGGCGGGTGGGACGCATAGACGGGGTAGTGATATTGGGCGGCGGCGTGCGTGGAGAGGGCGTAGGAGGGCGGCGGCGTGAGCGGTGTGCGGGGCGTGCGGGGTCCGTTCGCGGTGGCGGAGGTGGTGGTGAGGACGGGCATATGCGTGGATTGCGTTGGGGTATGTTTTGTTATCCGATAGAGATAGAGATGGGTTAGAGAGAAGAGGGAATAGAGAGGTTAGTAAGAGTCGTTCAGGCGGAGGAGAGACGAAGGAGGTAATGGGCGGACAAGAGAAGACCAGAGACAAGAGGAAGTGAGACAAGAGTAGTGAGACATTGGACAACGGCGCGACACTGGGACACTGAGACATCGGGAGTGAGACATACAGCATACAGCATAGCGGCCCGGAGAACGGAGGGCGCAGTCCGTAGCCCATAGTCCGTATTCACAATAACCGGAACAAAACACAAAACGATGCCCAAACCCGCAGAACAAAAAGCAACGAAACTCACCGTCATCTCCTCCCTCTCCTCCCTCTCCCCTTTCTCCATCATCTCCATCTCCTCCATCCCCACCATCTTTCTCTCCTCCCCTTTCCTCCTCGTCGTCCCCAGCGCGCAGCTCGCGCCACACGTCCTTGCGCGGGGGAATGTAGTCCGGCAGCTGCAGCAGCTCGACGCCCTTGTCTGTCGGGATCGGAATGAGCATCGGCTTTCTTGCCTTCGTTTGCGTGTTCGAGTGGGAGCTGGTGGTGTTCGGGTCTGCACAGTGTGTAGGAGGAAGGTACGCGTTGCTCGAGTGTGAGCGTGAGCTTATGACCTCACCACCCGCGTCTCCGTTGTCCGCATCGTTGACATCGCGTGCACCGTCCGCGTCTATGTGGGTATCCATCTCTCTCCCTATCTCTCGTTCCATATGCCTATCTCTCTGCTCGCGTGTGGTGTATGTGTGGGTGGGTGTATGCGTGTGCGCGTGGTCTCGTCTTCTTCTCGACTCCGGGTGCGTCTTCTGGTCTTCTGGACAGTCGATGCGTCCGCGCTCGCTTGTCTTGCCTATCCTCGCTTCGAAGTTCGGTGTCCTCGCCTGGGTGTCGCCTGCTGATGCGTGCAGCTGTTTGACGTTTAGCGTTTACCGACGGCGACAGAGACGGTGGGGGAAAATCGGTGAAAGTGTCGACGTGTCGAGTTTAGCGGGTGAAGGGGTGAAGAGGTGGTTGAGCGATGTCGCGAGGTGGGTCGAGTGTCGTGGGTCGAGATGCAAGATGCCAGTGTCCGAGATGCAAGATGCCAGTATCGAGATGCAGAGGAGCGTAGCCGCGGGCCTCGTCCTCCTCCTTCTTAAGCTTCTCCTTGTTCCCGTTCTCCTTTCTCCCTTCCTTTTTACTTCTCCTTCCGATGTCCCGATGTCTCGTCCTTCAAGCTTCAACACCAATACCAATACTCAATATCAGTACCAACACCAATATTCAATACCAATACCAATACCAATACCAACCCCGGGCGTCGTGCGGCAGACTCTGCGACGAGTACACAATATAAGATGCGAGGGTGCAAGGTGCAAGGTGCGAGGTGCAAGACGGTTCGTAATAACGAAAGCAGAAGATAGAATGTGGAATGGACGGACGGGCGCTCAACTCAGTGGGTGTCGCTCTTCCTGTTTGGCGTCTTTGCGTCTTTGCGTCCTTCAACCGTCGCTCGTCCTCGTCTTCGAGTTCAAGTTCTCGATGCGGTTCGTCGTCCGACGTCGTCACAACAGGCTAAGAATGGTCGATGCGGTTCGTCTTCTTTGCTTCTTTCTCCACCAAAGGCCAAATACCAAACACCGAATACCGAATACCAAATCGAATACCAAATAGGTTACGTTACTCCTCTGGCCCTTCTTTCACGTGGATGGTTAGGCAAATCCCCGCGCGTCACCGTCCCTGAGTTCCCCGCCGACGCCAAAAGTCGATGGGAAGCGCGTGATTATCGATTATACAGACCCCCCAGAGTCCCAAAGAGTCCAGAGTGGCATGTGATAAAAAGTGATAAAAGTGATAAAGTGATGATGGATAAAAGTGGTGATGATGGGATATACCTCCGCTCACTCAAGGACATCGACACGATAATTGCGCTGAGTGAGGTAGACGCAAGACACCTTCTGATATCCACTGTCCACTGTCCCCTGTCTTCAAGTGCATCATGATCGACAGTCGACAGTCCAACCACCAGGGCAACCACACTGTACACAACACCCTAATTGAGTAATACCCTATACCGTATACTGTATAGCAAGTGCTATTACTAATGCATAATGTATTGAGCATTGAACGTTGAACGTTTGAACAAGAATGGCGCACTACACAGGCGCATCCGAATCTCGGCGCCGAGACAGCCTACTAAAGTCCGTATCGTGCTTCGCTTCGGTCTCCTGAAGAGCATCCAGCGCCTACCCAAGCACAGTCCGAAGTCAGCTCCAACTGTACCACAACAACCACAAGAACAACAACAACAACAAGTGGTGGTGGTGCAGAGTAATACTCACTGAGTCGTTGTCCCCAGAGTGATGTCCCTACATTGCAACACGATGCATAAGTCAATTGACGTATACATATATATCACCCTCCTCCAACGGCGGACCAAAAGGTGAAAGCTGGCAGAAAACAAGGACTCAACTCACAAACTGGATGGGAATCGACACTACTCGACTTTTCCTGGTGTCGGCATTGCTTCTGAAAAGGAGATTATCGGGGCTGCTCAGGATGGCGCCGTAGTCCGTGCGCGCATTCAGCGAGGCCAAGAGCGTGTTAGTGTACAGCTTGCTCAAGGCGAAGTCGGGGATGAAGTTGCTGGAGAGGAGCGGTCAGCGATGAGCGATGTACGAAGAGGAGCGCACGTCGAGAGAGCGAGAGAGTTGACGTAGACGTACAAGCCTTTACCCTGCACCCAAAAAGCCAAAAAGCAAAAAGCAAAAAGCCGCGTACGTACTACGTGAGCTACAAGGAAGAGGGAGCGGCAGAGCGGGTCTCACCTGGACCGACAACGCAAGCACGAGATCCGCGATTGCGAAGACTGTTGTTATCAACCCCGTCTGGATGGTGACTTGACACAGGCAACCACCATCGCCGAGCATTAGCGTACGCGCGGTATGTGAACGGGACAGGGGAGACGTACGGAGCATGATCTTGTTGATGATGCCGTCCGTAGCGCGCATCCCCGTGCGCTTGCGTTGCTGTTAATCGCAGTCGCGGGCGTCGCATCAATCAGCATCAATCAGCATATACTGCAGGAAGCACAGAGAACTTAGGGGGGAGCGCACCAGAGTGAACAAGAGACACCCCGTGATGAGCAGGTCCGCAAGAGCCGACGCGCCGAGCCACGTGCTGACCGCGGGGTAGAACTCGTTGAAGCGCGAGAAATCAGGGATGACGGTGACCAAGATGGATAGGGCAGTGCCGCCCCCTGCATTCATCCGAGGAAAGAGGGAAAGCAAAAATCAAGGTAAGGAATCGGATTCGGAATCGGAAGCGGCACGCTCGGCGGGAGGGAGGGAGGGGCGAGTTGCTGGCGCTCACCGAGAGACACAAAAGACAGGACCGAGATGATTATCGGGACGATCACCGACTCGCTAAGGACACAAATACGCCGCGCCATGAATAATTGAACAGGCGTCGATATAAATACCTGATCCCAAGATGGCACTTTAGCAGAGAACGGAGGGGCTCGCAGGCGATGGCGGCTTACAGTTACGATGGCATCTGCACAACCGTGGATAGTGTTAATGTTAATGATTATAGTCAATCAGAGATGGATTCGTCGGCGCTCACCCGCCGAAAGAACTGTGCATTGCGAGGGAAATGGCGAAGGCTGGTTAGGATGGTGATCATCGCAGATGGGCTCTTGGACACGTACGCATCGGGGGCTTAGGTGGGCCGCTCGGAGGTTTAGTCCTCGCTATATCACCAGATCACCAGAGCACCGTCAAAATCAAAGAATTGACGGGTTGGAACAGGAAGAGAAACATACCCAGTGGTTTTACAAGGATATCGTACATCATCTCCATCACACATCCAGTGTTAAACGTTTCCAGAACGAGGAGGTATATCACCTATTGAATAGAGAACGACCGGTCAGCAATCCAGCACCAGCAAACGTAGTCGTGGTTATGTGCGCACCAGATACCGGATCAACGGTTTGTCGGTCCTATTCGAGGGGAGGGATAATGTCAGAAATCTGGAGACGGTACTCGGGCCAGCGTTCGACGAAACTCACGTTTTGTAAGTTTGGAAGTAATTAAAAGTCTAATTCAGGGTCGTTGTGAGTAGGTTACGCGCGATCGCCGTGAGCAACACAACGCCGACCTGGACTACAAGTACCTACGGGCACAAGTATTCCATCAGCTAGTCGCGCGCGCAAAGAGAGAGCAGCACACTCACTCCGTACAATATAGTGTTTAAGAAAACGCCTATAAGCATAGGCCCAAAGCTACACCGTGTCGGCGTCAGCATTAACGACAACAGACGAACCTAGGTGAGCAGATACGCACAAAAGTTCGGGATTAGGAGGGGCCATATTGTATGATGTGGCATGAGAAGGCCCGAACGCTTCTTTCGTGAGTATTTAAACCAGTTTCTGGTGGTTGATGGCCGCGGAACACCGCCGACAGTGTGTGGCGGCCTATTCTTAGCGAAAACAAACACACCACCTGTGGGAGCAGGGTGCGCCAATAAGGCTCTCCTAGGTACACTTCATAATTGGCCCATCAGCTTCTCTTGTCAAACCAAGGGATCTGTCGCCGGTGTAAGTGTATGTACGTGAGAAAACAGCGCCATGGCGAGCGTGGAGTGGATACCCGATGAGAAGATATTGATATTGCTGGCCGTGACAGTATCAAGCAAACGGAAACACCCATTCGTAACTTGGTCTGAATGGCTGAGCGTTGCTGTGCTGTGAAGAAGGTTTGATGCAAGAACAGGCGATAGCATCTGTCTCGACGAAGCAGAATGCGGTCGGAGGCGTAGAGTGTACCGCCCGCGCGGCATTGATCGATGCCTGTCAAAGACTCAGCGGTCTGCGACACGCGAGGCGGAAGCGAGAGATGAAAGATGAAAGATCTGCGAATAGGGCTCAGCACATCAAAGCAAGGAGCAGTATCATTGCTCGCTTATTAACATATAACGATAACGGCTAATCGTCGTGCTTGAAAACGGAATATACCATGGGAAGCAGAGAGGCAGGCGACGTAGTTGCTCAGACGGTAGTCAGTCGCCAACACAGTTCCATTTACACCCGTCTTCTCCAGCGCCAAGGAGATCCTGCGAGCGGGTTCCAACCATCAATACATCACCCAGAATTTCATTAGCTTCACTGGAGCGCTGGCACTCACAAATCCCTCCCCTATCAGGCCAAGTTGAGGCCGAGTCAAATGGTTGCAACCAGACCACTCAAAGTCTGTTATTGCTCGAGATTTCGATTGCACCCAAGTGATGCCATGTTGAATAGATGTTATTCGACCTATAGAACCGTCGAAACGGCTTTGATCGGTGGAACATGTTGTCCCAAACGTGTGATGGCAAAAGGTATAACCAGACATCTATTTCATTATACAGCATCAACGGAGCTGCAACGGATATGAGAGGGGAGAGAGTTAACCTACGAAACAAGGATTAATCTTGATATGTTTCAATCCTTGTGGCCCTGGGTTCCAAGCTCTTTCTTTCGACCAGCGAAGATGCTACGGTCAAACGTCTCCAACTGAGATTGTCATTTCGAAGTCACAAACGCAGTGAACTGTGCCGGTTTATCAGCAAGTGCTATTGCGGTCCTTGAAAGTAAAGGAGTTGATGAAGTCGAGCATCGTCGGCTGTCGAAGGATGGCAGTGGCGACCTGAGCGCGCCTAGCGAGCGCGAGCGTTGAACAGTTCCATGAAGACTAAGAACTTTGTGGGCGAGCGGAGATGAAATACGAAGACCCTTCAAATTCCCACGAATTCAAGTGGGGTCAACTTTCCAAGCAACTCTCTCAAGGCCAGGACTTGCTGTTATTGCTGGTAAGCAGCCGCATAGATGCTTGCGCTAAATCGCACTGCATATCAACTTCGTTCCCGCGCATTGCACTTTTCTAGAAGTCGCCCTCATGCTTCCGCTTGATTCGCGATTTTTCGCCTCGAGTCCTTGGGAATATTCAGAGCGCTGCGCGTCGAGGACCTATCATCTTGAATCACCTAGCTTGAACGGGAGAACTTCGGCGATCACGTCCCTTTCATAGTGACCAGGGGACCGAAAGAGCACAGTACGTGCATGGCGATCAATGATGTCGCGTAAACAAGCAGCCGCATGAGGTGATTATTGTCCTGAACCCGCCAACTCTTATTACGGGCCGCGAAGGAAGTCACCTCTGGCCCCCATGACCTGACGCGCCGTGTGTTCGCTTCAGCCCAGAAGGCTGCGAAGAGTCTGCACCAATGACCGAAGAACGATTGCCGTAATTGCGGGAGTATAAAGTCGACCCCATTTTCTTTCGCGCGAACCACATTCTACGCAATGTGGCTGTCTTCCCTTCTCGTTGGCTTGCTTGCAGCAAATAAGGTCGTTGGACAGTCCACTGTGGATGAATCTGCACAATATGTGATGCCAGTGGGATCACGTAAGTCAGAAATCCTCACGTATTCATCTTTCGACTTGTTGAACATAACGCCAGCCGGCTTCTACAACGGGCACTCTAATGCTTCCGTCACGTTCGACCAACACTCCGTGCTTCTTGACGGTAAAGTGAGTGATGGTATTACCTAAAAAAGATCTACTAGTAATTACGGATATAGCGCGTCATGGTATTTTCTGGGGAATTCCATCCATTCCGCCTCCCCGCTCCAGAGCTATGGAAGGACGTGTTGGAAAAGTGAGTTTCACAGCTGTCTTACTCACTTCTACGTTGATAATATGAGTAGATTCAAAGCAGCGGGATTTAATGCCGTTTCGGTTTACTGTAAGCGTGTTTTTCGTGTATAGACCTCCCCCTGAGATGTTCATATGTTCGAATTGATCAGGGCACTGGGGCTTGACTTCCCCTCGAGAAGGCGAGATACGATTCACCGAACACAACGATGCGCAGAAATTTTATCAAGTCGCGAAGGACGTTGGGTTACTGGTTATCGTACGCCCAGGACCATATGTCAACGCGGAGACGGCTGGCGGTGGGTGCTAACTGGGTTTCCCTTTACTGTCTGTCACGTCTCATTGTAATGGTCGAAAGGCGGTCTGCCCGGTTGGACGACTAATGTGCCAGGTTTAGCTCGTACGAATGCAACACTATATCGTTCTGCGTGGCACCCATAGTATGTGGCATCGATACCTTCGCAGTTGTGAGACAGTCTCAACGAAGATGTACATAGTATACTATCGTTCGCTCAACAGACAGCACCGTTCCAGGTAAGTTTCCATACCCCCGGACTGTTTTATCGCTGTCTGACCAACTATAGTACCCGGATGGTCCAGTCATTGGTAAACTATTGTTCCCGTCGAAGTACTGATTTCTCAAATGCGACCCTTATATAGCGATACAGAGCGAAAACGAGTACGCTACAACCGCACAGCAGCACATACCTGGGCTGGACGAACACATGCAAGATATCGTTAACACGATGAGAGAGGGTGGCCTGACTCGCATTCCTACCATCCACAACGACAAGAATCCAAGTGGTCAATACGCTCAACCCGGTCTAGGGAAAGTCGACTTGTGAGTTTTCGATATTATCACTCCATACACGGTGGACTGATGTATGTATATCATTGTTCGTAGATATGGATGGGACGGGTAAACATGCTCATCTACGTCGATTTTCTCGCCGTATCTGAAGGGTTGTCTAGGTATCCTCTAGGCTTTGATTGCGACAATCCGTCAAGATGGACGGAGTTATCAACGGGTTTGCCTTTCTTCCAGTTGTCAGACCCCATCTTCTGACACCGTCGAAGCTCACGACACGAATCACCAGAGGTGGAATCCGGCGGAACCATTGGCGTTGTACGAGTGGCAAGGAGGATCGTTTTCGTACTGGTCTGGCCCGGACTATTCTTTGTGCTATCAGCTGATCAACGAGCAGTTTGCCAACGTATGTATAGGTTGATCTCCAGCCGGCATGGGCAAGCTGATGTTGTTTGTTGTTGTAGGTGTACTACAAGGTATATTCGTCCTTTCACTCGACGGCGAAGGTAAAGCTGACATCCTGGTCAGAATAATTATGCTGCCGGAGTGGCTATCCAAAATCTGTACATGACCTACGGTACGGGTGTTTCATCCACTCTCTGATACGTTTGGTTAAACCTTGTTAGGTGGGACAAACTGGGGCAATTTACATACCCACACGATATATTCGAGTTACGAGTGAGTATCTGCCTGATAAATTTATCCTTTTGATCTGAGACTAATACTTCTCATAGCTATGGCGCCGTATGTTACCTCTTTGAATATTGCATTGGATCTCACCGCGCTGACTCCGGCTCGCCAGGCATTGCGCGAAGATCGCACACTCAGCCCCAAAATGGACGAGCTCAAGCTGCAGGCTTCCTTCCTCCGTGCTTCACCTGACTACCTTCTCGTTGGTCGTATCGGAAATGGCACCGTCGGGCAAGGAACCGCCTACAGCGACTCCCCCGATATCTATACCACTCACCTGCACGCACCACAAAACGACGTCAACTTCTACTTCGTGCGACAAAAGACAAATACAAAAACAAGTGATACGCCGTTCACGCTGCGGGTCAATACCACGCTAGAAGGGACTATTTCTATCCCCAAATCGGGGTCGATTGTCCTCGCAGGAAGAGAGTCCAAAATCCTAGTGACAAATTACCCATTTGGGTCTTCCGTTCTGCATTATTCCACTGCGGAAGTGATGACCTGGGCTACGTTGGACGGGGTGCGCACACAATCTCACGAAGCATCGGAAATACTGACAGACCCATTGCATAGGTCGATATCATCGTTTTGTACGCCCTTGAGGGGCAACACGTCGAGATTGCCGTTGTGGCTCCTGGTAAAGCCAAGGTTACGATCGCGGGGTCGAAGTCCATCTCCGCTACGACTACCAACGGTCTGGTCACGTTGAGTGGTTCTGCCTCCGGTATTTCCGTCGCCACTTTCAACAATAAGCGAATCATCGTAGCCGATAAGAAGTCGGCCTCTGGCTTTTGGGCCCCTCGACTATCGACCAGCAGTGCGGATGGAGTTAGCCACTACGCCCCAACGCCAGACGTCCCTTCAATCCTTGTTCACGGTCCATACCTTGTCCGTTCGGCTACAATACGTGGGCGGACTCTTGCGCTGACCGGTGACCTGAACGCAACCACTACGATCCAAGTATTCGCAGGAGCAGATGTACGTTCTGTGTCATGGAATGGGGCCCCCGTCAATGTTCGAAGGTCAGAACTGGGGAGTATACAGGGCGTCCTTTCGTTCCCACGTAGTCTCAGCACCGTCGAAATACCAAATCTGCAGAACATTCAGTGGCGATGTGCCGATTCTCTTCCAGAGCTTGAACCGAACTTTGATGATACCGATTGGGTTGTTGCGAATAAGACCTCCACCACGAGACCACAGCAACCGACTGCAGGCAAAGTAGGTGTGATATATCCGATTCTGTAATTCGTCGATTGATTGACATATCTTTTTATAGTTCGTCCTGTACTCCAGCGAGTGAGTTCATCTACTACATGCGCTGCTGTTCCGCTCATAGCGCTTTGCCATAGATACGGGTTTCATGCCGGCCAATGGGTGTGGAGAGGCCATTTTTCTGGAAACGCAACAGGCGTCCAACTTTCTATTCAAGGGTTCGTCGCTGAGGACATTCGCGTAGTTACGCACTGACAAGGTTTCTCTAGCGGTTTCTCGTTTGGGTACTCAGTCTTCTTGAACACTCATTTCCTGGGGTCTGGACAAGGCAGCTCGCATAGCCAAGACGGTGTGGATATCCTCTCCCCCAGCTTCAATTTCACACAGGACCAATTGCTTGACGGAGATAACGGTATGCAAACTGACTAGTAGTTTGATATGTGTGTTGGCTCAACCTTCCTCAGTGTTGACCGTCATTCACGATTCCACTGGCATGAATCAGGATTGTCAGTAGCGTCCGAGCATATGCGTGGACACGATCTGACAGCTACGACAGATGATATCAATGATGAACACAAAACTCCACGTGGAATTCGTGGATATAGGCTATTAGGCGATAATGGAATCGATTTTGATACGTGGAAAGTCGCGGGCAGTGAGTTTTCTGACGCTCTGTCAGATAAGTTTCTTATGGGCGCATCTGCGTAGACTTTGGCGGAGAGAATGCACCCGACGCCGTTCGTGGTCCCTACAACGAAGGTGGATGGTGGTTCGAGCGCGCTGGTTCGTGTACTAGATCTACCCTTTGTGATTGCCATGATAACACTTTGGATAGGAGCGCACCTACCGGGCTTCGACGCATCACTGTGGAACACATCGTGTACTCCATATCAAGGACGCTTGACGCCTGGGGTTACAGTTTATAGAACGTCTTTCTCTCTCAATATTCCTCATGACGCCGACATCCCCCTGGCGTTCGACCTTGAGTTAGACAACGCTCAACCCCACCGCGTTTTGATCTACGTCAATGGGTGGCAATTTGGAAGGTATGTATCACGCGAGTGCGAGCAGACATTACCTTGACAATGATACCGCAGATTCATATCTTCGTTGGGCCCCCAAACTAGCTTCCCAGTGCCTGAAGGTATCTTGAACCACCGCGGGAACAACGAGGTCTTGGTATCGTTGTGGGCGCTGAGTAAGTATAATATAGCGTTTTCTGCCTTTTACCCTCTAAACTTCGGTGTAGATTCTGGCGGCGCTAGGTTGAAGAAGTTGGAATTGAACAAACGAGGAACTTTCTCTTCTAGCAAGACAGCTACTGTCAGCCTGGTTAAAGCGCCGAACTGGAAAGATCTGCGAGCATGAGTGGGTATCTTCCTTCATATATTGCGAAGTGTTACCCGTTGTATCAATACACAACTTTCGGGATTTGCTATTGTTCTAATGATACATTCAAAGGCTGAAATATATAGGAATATCGATCGTCAAAGCGGGATCGGCTGATGGTTCACTCCAATGACTGGGCTCAACCAGCTCTCCGTGTCTGCCTCCGAATTACGATCTCCCGTCACACGCAGCGACCTCAACAATATGCGGTATTGTCCATTGTCCACGCGTGTCCTGTTGGCAAAGAAACCTCTAAAGGTGTAATGATTATATCCATTGAGTTTGGGTTCCTAGATTTCATCGTGAATCCGAGGTGAGCATAACTAATCAGAAAGAAGGGAACCCACTGCATCATATCCATTCCGAGGCGTGTATCTCAATATGTCCAAGGGCCCGAGTGTTGGAACCGTATCTTTGTCTCCAGCATCCTCAAACCACATAGCGGAACGTTTAGTCTTGGCATGCTTCTGCAAAGCGAAGTCCTTGTCAACGAGATCCAGGCGAACCAAAGGAGACCCAAAAGTCAGCCTGAACGGTTGAAGTGAGCATTTCGATTTTTCGCCGTACGACAAGAGCTAAATGAGTCTACTAACCTGTAGGCAACTGAGGGGTAGTCATGTTTGTCCATTGTGTAGTTTAATTCACCAAATTGAGGCAATGCATCGGCGTCCAATACAATTGGTAGCTGAATCCCAGGTCCAAAGTATTGCTCGGTCTGATCGATGATAGGTTCTGCCCTCAATGAACCCACCGCGCCCAAATACGTAACTTTCAACGCCTCGTCGGGTGAGGCGATGCGGATAAACCCAGAGTAGACTGGGAGCTGTTTGGGGTTGACATTGCTGGGCGGCGCGAACTTGATGGTGACGTCCTTGGAATGCCCCGGGCGAATGGTAACCTCAGAAGGTTGAATTTCAGCGGTCGCAAATGCCGGAACCAAAGGCACCGGTCCTTTCGAGGGTTCTGATGAATTCTATCAATGAAACCAATGATCAGTATCAATTTCTCTGGCACAAGTAGTGTGAGACAATTCACTGCTTGTATCGTCAACGCCGTGCCCGCCGGTACGTGGGATAGTTTATACGTGACCGGATGATCGTATGAGTTCGAGATGGATATAGTATGCCTGGAGAGCATGTTAGCCTCCGCTCCGAGTACTCAATTCCCCTACAACATGGACTCACGTTGAAACAAAGTTGACGGTATCGTTGAGCATCAGTTGCCCGGGTCTCACAATGGTCTTCGTCCAAATTGCCCGATCCACCTGTAAGAGCCCAGCCCCTTGCTGAGATGCCGTCTGGTACACACTATCCTCCGTAACATTAGACTTCACTCCCACAGCTGTTGTCTGCATCAAATCTCTCATCCTCTCTACGCTCTCCCTACTCTTCCCTTTCGCCTCCAAGAACAACGCCGAGGCGCCCGCAACGAACGGAGCAGCCATCGATGTCCCGGACCGGACTGCCCAACTCCCGTTCTTCGTGTTATACGTAGACAGGATGTTTCCCCCGGGTGCGACTAAAGCGGGTTTGAAATACATGTCGTAGGTTGGGCCATATGATGAAAAAGATGAGACGAGGCCTCCTTTGGGATCGGGGATGTTGAAGGGTGCGCCTTCTGCAGGGAAGTGCAGGCGAAGGGGAGCCCCTGCGGCGTATTGATTGACGAGCTAGAAGATATGGCTATTTACGCGAGGCGGATTGACACTATCCATCATCGACTCACCCATTTGCCGTCATCCGCCGTAATTAAAACCGCGGTATAGTTGCCTACAGCAATTCCAGAGAATTCTCCGTCGTCGGTACTACATGCACACAACCATGTCAGTCATGTACAAGATGCCAGACTCCAAGCGCTTAAACATTGAACCACAACTCGGAGATAAGTGTGGATTATACTATGCCTCGAGTCTAAAAATAACAAAGCGCGAAGGTGAATACGCACTTGTATATCAAGAAGGTTTTAGCCCCGAATTTTGCGGCGTTATCCAGTTTTTGCGTCTAGAACAGAGGGATGGGCAGACAGGCAGGTAGTCGAGAATGCCTAGGTCAGAGGAATGCACCTAGAATCGACACCGCGTTCGAACTCACGAAGAAGCATCCTCCTCTACGAATGACGACGATGTGGGAAGACAGATCAGGTGTACTCGGTGGCAACGGCTCGCAAGCATCGTTCTTGCTGGTCGTGTCGTTAGATGTAGCGTAAATCGGGAGATCATCGGTGACGTTCAAAGGTAGAGCTTGCAAGTACGACTATAGAGGAAGGCAAATCCAAAGGAAGTAAGGCGAAATGGATTGTGGATATAAATCGCTAAGGATGACATACGATAGGATTATGTTCCACGCCTTTGACAGTGATGTTCTGCGTCGGGATGACCACACTATAGATCAGAAACCAAAGTAAGCAAACTCTTCCCTGGACGAAGTTAAACGGAAACGCGGCAAAAGAGGCATGACGCACTTGTCTACACTTCCCACAGATACCGTATTGACACCATTCGATGGACTCGACGTGTACCACGAACCGACCGAACCCTCTGTAAAATCCGAATCGTTTCATCGTCAACGGAAGATGCATAGTCAGTTGTTCGTATGTCGTGTGCGTTAGAGCGAAGGAGGATGAGCGAACCATTTCCAGCGGCAACAATGACGACGCGGCCATGTGATGCGATCCGGCTAGCGACGACTGAGCCCATGCCTTCGGTCCATCCGTCAACGCCACCCAAGGATAAGGTAATCACGTCCATGCCGTCGTTGTAAGCTCTTATCAACGCGCCGACGATGACTAGTAACAAGGGGACAGATGTTGAGATATCTACTATCATGATTCGGTAGTTAGGAGGACGTACGCGCATCACTGGTGGATCCATTACATCCAAACACACGATAAGCACCGAGCGAGGCTTTGTACGCAACACCGCTGATCCCGAATATGTTACCGGGATCTGCACCTATGATGCCGGCAGAATGGGTGCCGTGGCCTGAACACCTATCCATCCCAACACACGTCAGACAAATATCATTCAACATTCAGCTGCAAGGCGGAAGGGAGGAATGAGGAGGGGAGGGGAAGTGGGGAAGAGTGCTCACTGGTCCAACGGATCCTCGTCGGGCGTGGGGTCGTTTGTTCCATTATAATGATCCCCAACGAAATCGTGTCCCCCGATGACTTTATGCCCTTTCCCTAATTTTCCGCCCAAAGACGGGTGGGTGTAGTCAACCCCAGTGTCGACGCTGTAAGACGGACCAATCAGCCTCAGTCCACGCAGTTATATTGACACGCATCCCAATTTAGGGCTCACATTCCGATACGTATACCCTCTCCAAATAGGCCCTTCGCATGAGCCTTGTCTACACCCTAAATGAGAGACCATTTAACGCTCCCCCTAGATTTCGGAGATTGACGAAGACGTACCGTCATTAGATGAGTGCTCAAAGCGTTCTTTGGGACGTTCGGGTCGTTTGGGCTTTCTATGGTTGTATGATGAACAGGCCTAGAGCATGATATAAGTTAGTTGTCGTGTTTCTGTTCAAGTATTGACCAGATTTGGCGAAACATATACTCACAAGGGCCGGCGAATTCGCAGGACTGGCTGTATGTGCCGCACCCCAGGAACAGTTCTCACTTTCTCCAGATCCTAATATTCGTGGCCAAAGCCGTGAGTACAGATGATTGAATATTCAGACAGAAATAAACGTACCGCAGCTGACTAGGAAGGAAAGATACGTGTCCAGCATGGTTATCACACCCGTGCAAATGGAAATGAGGGAGATGAACGTACTTTGAGGTTCATAGAAGCTCCAATCATGATATCTGGCGTGTCATATTCGTTCTTCACATCGAAAAGGATGCCTCGTCTTTTCATATGTCTATATATTGAGTCATGAACCGACTTATGCATGCCGATTCAGCTCCCTCGTGAAGAACACGAATAGTAAGCAACGTACCTCGTCTGATCTCCGTCCCAGCGCTGACAAACTGTCCATCTCCACCACATACGCGTTGGGAACGTACTTCGAGTCATCCCCCTCATCCAGCTCGAACCCCGCGACCGTCACCACCCAAGCACACACCAGCAACCCCATACACATCCACCGCATCCGAGAACAAGATAACAAGCCCAAGCCCAATGCCCTCATCAGCTTCTACGCGTTATGGAGTGATGGAGTGGAAGAAGAACAGAATTATCCGCCCAGCTATCAGCCACATACATGCTTTCATCCCGTTGCTTTGTTGGCGGGCTAGCGTCCAGTCAGAGTAACCCCGGGCGTGCTTGCGAGGTAGCTGTCATCAAGTTGATGCCAAAGTTGTCGAATGCCAGTGGGCTCAGTGCTGTGCTTAGTCTGGTGACTTGCTCTCTAGCATCTTGAATGTTGTGAACTTGTCCGCCCTATCCGCCGCCAACTGACATCGGGTGTAGTGACCACTGTACTGTCAAAACTTGGGTATATCTGACGTTCAAAACTTTGATGGAGAAAGAAAGAAAGGGACCGTGTTCTGCACATTCATGAAAGGAACTTGTGTCGCTTTTGGTAATCCTGGATGATGGATGATGGAAGTCGGACGATAGGAAACACTAAGCGCCCGATCACAGTTTGTCACACCCCAACACGTGTCACTTTCTCTCTCTTTTCCTCCACCATGACTAGTGCCAGTGACCATCGGTAGATTGACCTTGGCGAGAAGATACGCAGCGTGGCAAGGAGCAAGGATTTGGCTGAGACCTACTCGGCGAAATCAAGGGCGTACTCGAACCACGATTTCCAGTTTACCGCTGCCCGGGCGTTTGTTGTGAGGCCAAATGGATGGAGTGATGCGCTGGGGCAAGTTCGAAGCGCGGGGCGAGTGCGCGACGCGTAAGTTGGACTGCTCACCGCCTCTGCCTGATTTGGGCGTCGTTGGGGAATGCATGCTCTGCAGCTGCGCCCCTTAGAGTGCCTGTTGGGAGTTGGTGGAGGCAGCTTCTCCGCCGGTTCAAACTGCGGTTAACAACTCTCCGTTCTCGAGCTATCCTTTTTCTGGCGGCACTTACTCCCGCGTCCACCATGTCGGCCGCCCACAATAATTACCCTCTGTAGCAGTCATCGGTGCTCAACGAGGACTCCGACGATAGCATGCGGTCCGCCGTGTCTTCGCCCCTCAGCGCCCCTCTAGGCGATGCCGATATGAGTTCCGCAACCTCGTACGGCACATCGAACCCATCAGACTCTCCATCCTTGACTCCTTCAATGAAAGCAGCGGCATTCAAGATTGAGTACTTGAGTAGGTTTGCGGGATAAACGGCGCCTAGGATGTTACTTACCTGCTGATGATGAGGGGCTCGATCTCCTGGGTGAGCTGTCTCTAATGATTTCCGTAAACTTTTCCTAACGCCGGTCAGATCGGCAGCACCTTCTTTTCATCGAGGTCATCGGTAAATACCCTGAGCACCCTTCATGCGTCGAATTAGGCGAGTAGTCTGAATCAATATACTCGTTCACGTACCCAAGTTATTCGCGCCCCTCGATCGCGTATTTTCCGCTTCAAAGCAACGCCGAGCCCATCCCCATCGAGGGGCATAGATGTGAGCGGGGCCAGCGGAAGCACGCGCTAGGCGCGACGGACTGCGCTACAAGTGAAACGGTGAGCCACGTGCGTGCGTTGACTATACGGCCCCCACGAAGTGGGGGCGACCTATAAACTTCCTGTCTAGTCCCCAGGGAAAGCTGGGGTCCTGTTGGCTGTGGTTATGGATTTTGAACATCCTCGGACTCGTATCAACGTGTCACCCTCGTCAACGATGCCCCCCCTGTGCCGTCGTCGGGAACCACTCTACGGGTAGTAGAAGTTCTCACCTTGCTGAGAACCACGATCCAGGGCGTGCCATATTCGGTGAGCAAATCCCATTCAACCCAGGGAGCGAGCACAGAGCGCAGTCCTTGCCCCTCGCCCATGCCGCCCATTTTGCCTCACCCTTGGGGCTGGTGGATGTCTACGCGCGTAGGGGCAAAGTGCGCTTGCGCTTGGCTTGCCCGCGTCGCCCACGTCGAGCCTGGAAGCATGCTAACTGAATCCTTCGACGGCAGGCGTCGACTGGCAGCGAGTGGATCGCTTGTACTGGAGAAAAAGTAGGCGCTCAAGCTGAAGCCTTCGGCACCCAAGGCTCACCCCTTGGGCCATGCAAAGGGAAGCCAAAGGCAGGGCGAGGGGGATTCACAGGCTGGGGATCCAAAGTAAGCAATCGTCGGCTGCTTGATATTCCGCCCCCGCCGTCTTTGCCATATCACGGTTGCCCTTGTAGCGTTTCATTGCTCTCCCTTGATATATCCCTTCTTTCGGACGGTCCTAATTGTATCCAAACGCCTTACCATACCCCGCACATCGCTCGCCGTCTAGTTTTACTGCGCCTCCGCGCACCCCTTCCCATCCAGAACAAATGTGACGCTTGACACCTAAGGGTTTTTTATTCGCGCCTTTTGTTGTCTCCGCCATTCGTACAGGTTACTTCATCCAACTTTCAAACCATACACAGGCCATACCCGGCCATTACTTCGTACTGTACTATTACTTTGTAGTGTTAAGCTACTCCGTTTAAACAAGCGGTTAAAAGTAGCATGAGGAGATAGGCGTGGGTGAAAAGTTCACCTAAGTTCAAAACCAGCATCCGTCCGGCGGAACGGAAACTCATATAGTGGTCCTTTGTCGATATGTCATGTTAGGTGGCTTTCTGGTTCGGAGACCCACTGACTGAGTCATGTCACGTCCGCCCTAATAGGCGCCATTGCCCAGTATTTTGGCAGGAAGAATTGATTGAGAGCAAGCTCTCAAACATTAGGCCGCCAATATCGAAGATGTAACCCAGTAAGATGAGCCCATTACATAACTGAACATACAAGTGCTAGGATCATAATAATTATTAGCAGCGCCGCACACCCAAACCCTTGCCATCTCAAGAAGTGGAATGCCCGAAACGCCCCATCCGTTTACCCTTCTCCTTTTGTACATCCACTGACCCATACATCAATCTCAAGCTTGCGTTGAGCCCACTCGGCTTGCTGCCGGTAAGCCAGCTGCCTTGACGTGATGTTGGACATGTAGTCCAGGGCCTCATCAGGTGTTATTACGGGTCCTGGAATGAAATGAAAGGATCCGTTCTTACCTTTAGTTGGGACGCTTGGGCGCTACGGAAAGAGGGTGGCTATTGTGATAGCCGGATGCCGGTGATCGGGAAATTTGGATCTCATCAAACTTTAAGTTGGAATTAAATTAGCGCTGGGGGATTGAATTGACATTGGCACCAATTCATTGTCTTCCATGTTTATTGCACTTCTCTTCTCCCTTTTTACTTCATCTTGTCATTTTATTTGTCTATATCTTTAAATCTATTAAATCTATATTATTAGAATAGAATGGCCCAAATTGTTATGGTATCAAGATTAATGTTACATAATCAGAAATGAGCACTCACTTCAGGGTCACCCAGGGGAACAGGGGATGGATAGGTAATAGGGAATAGGGACTACCAGACTGAACTCTGGACTATCAATGCTGCCAGATTATGTCAAGGGTGGCCATAAAGGTATCATGTCTTTCCTCATTCTGCATAATATACTTCAACAAATAGGCTTCAAGTACTCAAATCAAGCAAATCATCAAAACACTGAAGTAAAATATCAACAAATGTAGCATGTAAACTGTAAGATTATACATTTAGTATTGAGTTGACACATCTTAGCTGCTACTATTATAAGAGTAACAGAATGATCTCATGTCTGGAAGGACAAGAAAAGATATCACAGTAGCAAAGTGAGCTACAGGGCTATAAGTAAAAGGGTGTGGTACACTTTTACATGTCTGCTAATTAATTAAGTATGGATCTTTCAGATAGATGGATGTCATGGAGATCAGGACAGTGACTTAATTGGAATTAGTAGGGGGTCAAAGGGATAATTATGGAATAGGGAACAAAGGGGCCATCAGACTCTAAATGCCCTCAATGTTATGGTCCAGTTTATTCCAAAGATCATCTCTTCTCACTATCATATCTAAATGTGGATGTCATGTCCTCTTACTAATCATTATTCTGATATCCTTAGTAATAACCTCACCAGTAACACATGTCTGCAGTACATAGGGTACCACATGTATTACAGTATTTAAAGACTAGTAAAATTCCAGGGAATGCCAGCTCATTCTTTTGGGATTCTGCTAATTCTAGTGTGATATCTAAAGTCAACTAAGCTATCTTCTATATCTTTTTTCTTTATTATTCTTGTAGGAGTCATGTTAGTCCTTTGAATTAGTGTTGCCCTAACACACAAGTCATGATTAGGGTGCAATAAAGACACTATTGCTTCATTAGAACACTCAAGTAGCAGACTTCAGATAGCCAAGTCCAGATGTGACATCTATTAAATCATTGTAGTGATACACAAGGGAGTATGGCATAGACATTTACAGATTAACTCACTTCCTTCAGTGTCACGACTCATGATAAATAAGCTGTATACATAGCAGAACATCTTTAAGATAGTCAGAAAACAAGGGAATAGGGGAAAGTGTTACTGAGCAAACAGAATGGGTAAACATCAACCACATGAACTTATATATATTGCTTGTATATCTTGTCACTGTTAAGGACTGTCCTTGCGAGTACAAGGGCCTCATGTTTGCCGCAGGTATGCGGCCTGCAAGGAAGAGGAAATAAGGACCAAGTATGTACAGGCTTGGCTCCAGCTACTACTGTGCCTCCCACACTCTTGCATGCCCTGTATTTCAATAGGTGAGGATAGAAGAGAGAGAGACTACAACAAAGTAGTTGAGGGATGCAAAGGGGGTAAGAACAAACTAATATTCAGACTGAGGTACAAGTAGCTATAAGTAGAAACTAGCTACTCATACAAACTAAATACTGAAGGGCACATGGTATCTGTGTGCCCATGAAACCTACATGAGTCTGGTAACAGTATAATCATATGTATCAGTATGTAACTAGTACAAAAGTCTGAGTATCCGCGCATACATGCAGACCAAATGTCCCAATCTTGTATCATGTGATCATGCCCCTAGTAGCCCCTAAGGAGCTTCCTGATTGTGCCCATAACAGTCACTAGAGCCCCCCAGAGTTTTTATGAATATCAGAGAACATGTGGGAATCAAGTAATGTGCAAGCCTTGAGCTAAGGCTCTTTCTCTCTCTATACCTATGTACTCCATGGCCTGCAGTTCCTTCATGTCAACTGACCTATGTTGGGCCATTCTCAGCATGGGAATGCCTCTAGACATCAACTCAATTGTCCACTACACTGGTTGCAAGCTACAGATTGTTCAATGTGTACTCCAGAGTTTCTCGTGCTGCTGGGTTGATGCTTTGCTGCAGTTTTGTTCAAACCCATTCAGAGTATGTGTCACTATTGTAGTTCAGTGGTAGTAAGAATATAGAAAAAATCATCCAAAAATCAGATCATAAAAGTCTGCCTGGAAACTGTTGGGGGACTCCAGCAATGGTATATACAAGCAATATATGTAGATGTAAGGCTGCTAAGCCCGTGTTCCAAAGTTATCATTCACCGAAGATGTGCACACCCAAGTGTGCATTTTTCTACAAAAGGGTGCCAGTGCCAACTGTTTTGTAAACAGCAATAATACTCAAAATAGGCCTCTCACAATCTGGTTTTTCTGTACTATATCTATCATTGAATGAGTCCATGTAAGACAAAGTCACAGGTCGGAAGTTTGTTATTTGTTGATGCTCACCACTATTCATTCTGCTACTGTCTACTCCACAGTTTCCATCTGTTATCTTCTTTTACAATGTGGATCTCATCTCCATCTCCTATCCTAACTTCAATGATTCAATGACTATCTATTTTACCAAGTACTATTATAGATCAATAGGACCCGTACAGGCCATGCATTGCAGTGGCTACAGCCCCAAGTTCGACGACCCCCTGCCAATTTGGACTCTGAGGGGTAAGGCGATGTTCCCTCACGCTTCGCTCGGGTCAATGCAAGGGAATTACCAACAGTAAACGCTCTGAAGGTGGGTTTGAGAGACTCGGGAGAGAGATAGTAATCATGGTGGCCACAAGGCTACACGTCTGGGAGTTTGGGCTTGAGTGTTGCTGCAGCCCCTGATGCAAACAAAGAAAACCTCTCTCACGCTTCCATTGAGATTACATTGCGATCGTTGGTCAGACTGCTACAAACAGGAGAAACCTCAGGGCTCGGTCTGCACGTCGAGTGCCGAACCGCAACAGTTACGACTGGCGGAGCACAACTACATATCGGTGAAACTACGGCGCGGGCGAATAGACAACTATTCTCAAAGAGCATCAGCCGTAGACGCCTGCTTGTTGCATTGCGCGACATTATGGTCGGGTTCTATCGAGCTCACTCGTCGTAGAGTCTGGCCGGGTTGGACTCCTTCCTTGACAAGATCCAGATCTCCAGAATTCCAGATTGAGAAGTTTCAAGTTCGGCTAACTGTAGCGGACGACGCGTACGCGTGCTCAAAGTGATTAGTAGGGCTTGGCCTGCATGTCGGATAGTAAAAAACTCAGTATGAAGTTCACACCTCGAGTCAAGAATTCTGCGGTGATATATCGATTAGTATACTGACCACAGCAGTCCTGCTATCTCATAAAACCACTTCGCTGACGCAAGTGGGTTAGTTACTATAAATACAGCCGAGCCGCAACTAGGTATGTAACAATTGATGAGTGCTGGATATTGGATGCTTACTTGATGCGCAGAAGCAGAAGTTCCCAGCGTGCGATTCAACGTATACCCCGCGGTGCGATCGTCGTAGCTTGAGTTTGCGTATCTCGGAGAATACACACGCGCCGCGCTGGAGCCTGGTACTGGCGCGACATTTACTCTCTAGAAAGCGACCTCTACATCCTCACGGCACACTTGCTTTAATCATGGATTACTCGTCCCAAACCGTGGGACGCGGGGACGTAGACGCCGGCCTGGCTGGTCTTCCTCCTTGCGGTAAAGATAGGACATGCCGTGACTGTTCACGCGTGGTCCTTCGCAGCGATGTTTTGACGATCTGGGTACCTCCTTGACCCAGGTATGCATGTCTTTATCCGGGATCCCGTCGATGCGTCCAGAATGGAACCTCGGTACACAAGCTATTACCGACAATAACGATATCTCGCTCTCCCCACACCTCCACTCCTCATCCCCCCTCGGGCATTACCGCAGTTACACCCCACCAAAAGAAACGGGTTTCGCCATATGGGTTCACGAGTGGGTTCCCCATTCCGCTACCATTTGGAGCCAATTCTGATTCTGACATAGCGTGGCTGCATCGAATAAGCAGATCATGGAATTGGAGATCAACCGCCCTTCGAGCTGGGGGCTGCAGGACCGAGGTATCAAGAAGCTGTAATGCACAAGCTTAAGCATTCCCAAACGTAAAAATTATAAGTAGCCTCACCTTTTCGTCTCCGTCATACTGTATTCATCGCCACCTTCACCTCCATACGACCTCTTACTTTACGCGTTATTCACTATGGGTTTGGTGTTATCGCTACCATCGAGCGAGGTCATTGCAGTGACAACTCTCGCTGCATTGTCACTTCTGGGAATCAAGTTATGGCAACAGCGCAGTTACGAGAAGCTGCTCCCTCCTGGCCCCAAGAAGATTCCCATCTTCGGCAACTTGTTCCAAGTCTCAGCTCTTAGGCCCTACCCTCAAGTAAGTGTCCATCATGTTGTCTGACAACCCTTTCCCTCCTTCCCAAGGCCTCGCCTCCCCCCATGCCTTCACGCTTACCTTCACCTCCCATTCTCTCTCAATCCAACTTCAGATCTGAAACCTATTGCTCATATGATCGCGTTGACAGTTCAGGAAATGGGCGCAAGAGTACGGGCCAGTGTACCACCTGAAATTTGGCTCGCAAGATATCGTGGTTTTGAACACCCCAGAAGCAGCAGACGAGCTCTTCGTGAACCGCAGCAAGATTTTCTCTAGCCGTATCGCACCCCACGTCGCCCATGATATCATGAGTGAGGGCCAACGCATGGCGTTCCTGCCGTACAACGATGAATTCAAGGCACGTAGTTTACGTCTTGCGGATCCCCTCACAGTTTCCTGCGGTTTCTCATCATAACCCACAGATGGTCCGAAAGTCACTCCAACCATCAATCGGTCCCCTGCCCTCTAGGCAGCTCCGCCCAATGCAAGAACTAGAGTCTCGTGTGGCCCTCTATGACTTGATGAACCACGGTGACAAGAGCATTACGCTGTACCACACAGCTGGCCCCAACGGAGAAGTCCCAGAACACCACTGGTTCTCGCTCATTCGCCGTTTCGTACGTCCTTTTCCTTTCTGTCCTTCTCTTCTCTCCTCTTCTCGCCGCTCTCTCCCCCATGACGCTCCCCTATCCTTCCCCTCCACTTCTTATTCCGTTCCCGGCGATCATTTTTAGCTTCACCGGACTCACCGTATGCTATTTTTAGACGACAAGTTTGGTGTTGACCCTGATGTACGGTACGCGAGTGCACAAGATTGAGAACACCCCACGACTGTGAGCTTAAGGCCCGATATCCTGCCGCTCGCTTGCACTCACCACGCGCTTTAGACACAAACTATACCGCGTACTAGCGAACATGACATCCGTGGCTCAGCCTGGGAACTACCTGTACGTGATACATTGATGTCCCACCTCTAATTCCGAGTGAATGGCTGACAATAATGACGACGCTGGGACATTGTTAGTGCGGATGGGTTCCCGATCCTGCGTAAGCTGCCCGACTTCCTAGCTCCATGGCGAGTTCAAGCTCGTGCTATGCACGAATGGTACGCCCGTTCCTTACGACCTGTCAAATAACCTCACTTACAGTCGCACTCCAGGGAGATCGAACTCCTTGGCGGGTTCCTAGAGGATCTGAAGGCTGAGATGAAGGCAGGCAGGCAGCGCGTCGAATGTTATGCTAGCAAGTACCTCAAAGCCCGAGCTGAAGCTGGGTACGAAGACGCGCCAGGAAGTGGGCTCACTCCTGATGGCCAGTGGATGAAAGATAAGTTCGTGGCATATACGGCAGGTACCATCGTCGAAGCTGGGTCAGATACCACCGCTAGCACTGCTCATACTGTACGTCGCACTCCTCCCGCCTCCATGATGTGGAGACGAATCGGTGCTGACGAGTGTTTCACCTTAGTTCATCTTGATGATGTTGAGCTACCCGCACGTGCTAGAGAAACTTCGCGCCGAAATCGACAGGGTTGTTGGACCTGATCGCTTGCCTACGTTCGACGACGAGCCAAACCTCCCATACTTGGTTGCGTGTATCAAGGAAACACTCCGTCGCCGACCTGCCGCTATTCTCGGTATGTCATTCCTTCTGCTCCTAGAAGATCTCCTAACCCAAATGTACCTGTATCCCAGGCGTTCCCCACGCCAACGACGAAGACGTATGGTACAACGGTTACCTCATTCCCAAGGGATCCAATGTCTTCGGAAACATCTGGGCAATCCATATGGACCCGAAGCTCTTCCCCAACCCCACCGCGTTCATTCCTGAGCGCTGGTTAAGCCCCGATGGCAAGTCGACGTCGTGGGGTGATGGGTTTGACGGTGAACGTGACCAGTGAGCATCCATATCCTCTCAATTACCTCTTTCCCCACTAACACGCCTATGTAGATGGGTTTTCGGTTGGGGCCGCCGCCTCTGCCCAGGTTCCTATATCGCCGAAGCATCCTTCCTCATTCTGCTCTCCCGCATCATCTGGGGCCTCGACTTCTCCGCCCCCAAAGACCCCAAAACCGGCCGTGATATCCTCCCAGATTTGGCGGACGAAGAGACCTTCAGTGAAGGTTTCATTAGTATCCCCAGGATCTTTGGTGTGGAGTGGCGCCCAAGAAGTGAGAAGCACGCACAAATCATCAGGAATGAATTCGAGGACGCTCAGGCGCATTGGTCGAACTTGAACTTGCCCGGAGATGAGCGATAAGTATTGTGCGGTTATCGGGGCAACCCGCAGCTGACTGCTGGGCGAGTGGGTAGCACGGAGGCGGGAGTTGAGTTGAATATTCGCGCATGTCATGTAATAGCATCATCAATCATTTCCTTTTCTTTTCTCCTCAAATTCTGCCTCTGAAATGGTCTGCTTCGGCTAGGGCGACATTCGCGCTATATGCCACGGAGACTTTGCCATATGACGAGAACCGCAAATGTTCTCAGGGGCTATGCTCAGAGCGTACTTCGGATGAGCACCTCACTTGGAAGGTTGATTGTGAGACTCCACGATGTATTATTATCTCGCCACAGGGGGAGACGCGGGTAGAGGGGCAGGTACAGACGGAACGGACGCTAGACGGGTAGCAACCAAGCCACTTGTCAAGCCACACCTGTAACTATTCGTCTTCGTGAACGCCCTCAGGTCTTGTACGGACGAATATATGGGAACCGCAGACCCCGTGCAATCGCTTCCCCTGTTCATGATAAGATGAGAAACCGGAATATAAGACAGAAAGCGGACGATCAACGCACTGATATAGGATGCAGTTGCTTGAGCTCGTGAGGAAACTCAGGATCTTGTTACTGTAGGCCGGCAGAACCTGCGTGCACTCTCCACCAGAGTACTGTTGAGTGACGCAGTCACCTCTGTAGTTCGGCCCTTCGCAGTAAAAGGCCGCCCATATTTTTGAATCGTCAGCCGGAGGGGAACGACGCTACGTTGTCAAAATGTATCAGGACCATATTTGTTATACAAAGCGAAGGCAGCATTACCTCAATGTAGTCATAACTTCCCCTTGGAATCAATGCCAACGCACACGACACGGCGTAGATGAAGCCAAGCGAAACGGTAGATTTGAACAAGAACATGGCCTATCGCTAACCTTCCCGAAGTGATCTCTTCGGGTATATCACCTCTGGGAAAACGAGGGGGATGGGGGAGACTTCGAGGTCGCGTTCCAACGGCTTTTGTAAGGCATAAAATCGAAGATGCTGTGGCTGTTGGCTGGACGATTAGTAGTGTCTTGGAGAGCGAGCTAGCCACGAACCATGCCGGGATTGGCTACGAGCGGTTATCCAGCAAGAGCGCTGTCCTGATGGGTTCGCTTAATATTAGAGACTGCTATTGTTCCAAGATACTCCGTATACGCTCGTCGTAGATTCAGAGTATGATACACCTGAACGATAGCCATGGGTAACCGATTGCTCTCTTCGCCTTTGCCAGTCAAAACATTCCGGCTGTGCCGACGCCGCTACGTGGCGAAAACGACTGCAGAATACTTAAGAAGTCTCGGGTCGGCCAGAGGGCGTCGCAAGCAGTTTCCAATATATGTATACAAAGTCTGGATACCAAGTTCACAAAGAGACTTGGGGTAAACTAGGGTTCGGCTGAGCAAGCTCAAGGCAAATCGAAATACGACTACACTTGCCGCGTGAAGATCTCCTAACTCCTATTTCATCAGAATTCTGCGCGTTAAGGGAAAATTTTGTCGAAGGGATGTAGCTATCAGCTATGTCAGGCTCCCTAGGCAATATTATCAACAGTAACACCTCGTATTTCGTTGTTTCATTTCTGATACTCTGACTGATGCCATCGCACTAGCCTCAAACAAGCAACCTTGATACATCTACTCTTTTTTTGGTCTCTGTTTAACCTACATCTACTCTATTCAACTCTCGGTAGGATTAAGGACAGTTCTACTTCTGGCGTCATTCCTGCAAAGGGACTATAACGCTCCAAGCTGAAATCCACCTCGAGTACATCTTTTTTCAGCAACTCCGTAAATCCAGTCACCAATTTCACCCAATGCAACTCCTCGTCTGCATCTAATGTACCCTCAACGAGGCCAACACCCACTGCAATCCACAGGACGATACTCCCCAAGTATCCATTCCCACATAGTTGTTGGAGGAATTGAAATAGCATGGCATAGTCCGATAGCTTAGGAAGAAGATCCTATGTTTTCGGAATGGTTGTCCATATGACCGTTCGTGATGTCGATTGTGAGCTCTTGAATGAGTCTGTGAGATGGAAGATGCCCGGTACCGTCTTTGACCCAAGTGAAGATTCAAGATACGAGTTGTTACTTTTTTTTTTTTTTTTTTTTTTGTTGAGTGTTTAGATAGCAGTCCTCCTCCGTCAATGCCAGAGTTCTTCTGCCCGCTGTTGCCCCCGGGAAAGTTTCCCCAGAGTGATTGAGCTAGTCAAGGTAACCACGAGGAAATGCTTTTACGCACTGTGTGTGGGACTCATGCCGGTTCTTGACGCTTTGCCTACTCCCCCCCCTGACTCCGCCCCGGCTTAATACCCACTAAAACCCCGTTTATTTTCGTTCAGTTCCTTGGGAGGTTTTTTTCCCCGTCAAGGGCGCCTTTCCACATTTGGAGGACGACTTTGGTTCGGATCTTGTGTTTCCCTAGGCGCTCGTCGGTCATTTCCCTGTCTAGGTCTAGCCGGGCGTTCATTGTGGCAATCCATTTGTTGCTTACTTCTTGGATTGTGAAGGGGGTGTTCTCGTTTTGTATTACCCTCTCGCATCGTAGTTTCCATATTAAATATGCGGATTCTGAGATCAATATGCGCCATAGCCTGTCGCCGCCTGGGTCGCGTTTTTCCTCTTTCCCCTTCGTTTTAGTGAGCGCGCATGCAACGATATTACCGATCCACGGTTGGGTCCATTTCCTTCCTGTTCTCGTCCAGAGGTCTTTCGCTAGTGCCCATATTTGTTCTTGTCCGGGGGACTCGCACCTGGACAGTATATGGGGCATATCTTCTGTTGTTCCGTTGCAGTGTGGGCATTCACTCCGTTTCCGGAGTTCTTCCGAGTAGTTCGTTTGGAGCCAGTGGGTTCCTATGCAGTAGGCATCGTGAGTTACCATCCATAGGTAATACCTTATCTGTCTCGAGAAGTCGTTATTTTTGATGGCTTTCCATATTCTCTCCTCGGTGGGGGCTTCTTCTATTACTTCTTCGACGTGATTCTGTATTGCGTCTATCATTTTTTGCGTCCTTTCTCTGTTCTTTCGTACCGCGGTTTTGAGGGCTCTTTCTCTGATCGCCTTGTATGCCAGGCTTTGCGTCATCTTCGATAGCTTTGCACCGGTGAGCGTTAGTTTCATCGGTATTTCTCCATTTATTTCGTGTTCGTTTTGGGGTTTCCGGGCTCCTTCATCGGCTAGTTTGTCCGCGGCTTCGTTGCCGGCGTGCCCGTTGTGCCCTTTGACCCAGCGGAAGCTCGTTCTGTTGTTGGTGTTTCGTATTCTTGCTACGGTGAGCTGTATTAATGCTCTGTTTGCTTTACCTATATATCCCGTGTCTTCTAAGTTTGTCAGGTTTTTGGTTAGTGTGTCTATGGCATACTTTGAGTCACTTTCGATTTCGATGTCGTTTCCTGGGTTGTTATTTTCTACAGCGGTTAGGATTGCTGTCACTTCGCCTGTCTGGTTTGTTTGTGCGAACTCATTGGGGACTCTTATGCTCATGTTCCTTTCGTCTCCGGGTGCGTAGAAGATTCCTGCGCCAGCTGTGGCCTTTTGGGTAGTTGCGTGCAGGCATGACCCGTCTGTTGCCACTCGTGTCCTCGTCCTCGGCTCGTTTACTTCCTCTTGGGCCTCTTCTTCCTCTTCTTGCGCTTGTTCAGCTGGGGCTTGACCGTCTGTGAAGATTCTTATTGCATCTTCCAGGTTGTCAACTTCGCTTGATTTGTGGTCGAAGTATTTCCATCCTTGTTGTGGTTCATCTTCCCTGTTTATTCGTTCGCTTATTCTCCTTGGGTCCCACTTCGGTGGGAGTTTGTTTAACAGTTGTTTCGCTCGTTCGAAACATTCCGCTGGGTGTGTGCACTTGTGGGTGTTTTTTGCTTCCGTGCATTCCGTGCATTTGCATCTTTTTGATTTCCTGTGTTCCGGGTTCGTTAGGTGGTTCGCGACTAGTTCTGCGTCTCCGACCAGTCTTACTTTGTGTTTTGTCCTTAGGCATATACTCGCGTTTGACGTCGTTGCCATTCTCAGCCTTGCATTTTCTCTTGCATGGGCCCATATCGGCATCTCCCTTGCGGCCTTCCTTGTTATCTTAATCGCTTCGAGTCTCGTGCCGTATTTTAATGCTGTTGTTATCATTGTCTTTAGGTCTTTGGGGCATTTGTTCGCCGGCCCGTTTAGCTTGGGCCGCCATGTCTGCAGAAACATGTTCTCTTTAAGTTCCATTTGTAGTGCTCCGTCGCATTTCCTTTTGTTTAGCGCCAGGATTTTGTCTGCGAAGTGTGCCCATAGCGGCCTGTCTGTCAGCTTCATGTAGTCTTTGAGCCACATTATCTGTATCGCTTCGTTTCTGGATCGTATATCAAGTACTCCTTGTCCACCATTCCCTGGCTGCGCGAAGATTGTTTCCTCTCGGACTGGGCTTCTTTTTTCTCCCCAGAAGAATTTCCTTATTCGTTTCCTTAGGTTGTCCTCAATTTGTTTGGGCATCCCCTGTACTCGGGCTAGGTATTGGGTCCTCCCTCCGACGACCATTTGTATGATTAGTTTCCTCCCTTCTGACGTGGGGTGCCCTCTTTCCCATCTTTCGAGGTCCTCATCGATTTTTTCCACGATGGGGGTCCAGGGGGATTCTTGGTTCCCGTTATTTCCAATCCACGCGCCTAGGATTCTAGTTAGTTGTCCGTCTGGGACTATTCTCATTCCTTCTGGTATCGCTTGGTGTTCTTGGTTTGTTTTGCGTTCTCTTATCACTCTTTCCCGGTATCTTGCACTGCCTATTGGCAGGATTTGGGTCTTTTTTGTGTTGAATTTCGCTCCCGCTGCTATGCACCACTTGTCAAGGATTGTCTGGAGGGCGTTGAAGTTATCTTCTTCATTTAGGAAGACTGTTGTATCGTCCGCGAACAGGTTTGCTATTAGTTTATCTTCGGTGCCCGGGACTTCGATACCTTTGATCCCGGACGTCCTTATCGCGACGCTCAGTGGCTCTATTCCGAGGTCGAAGAGTAAACA